CCCACTGCTCATGCTCTCTCTAAAAAATAAATAAATCTTGTAAAAGAAAGAAACCACATTTAAAAAAAACCCTACATCTGGGGGTTCCTGGGTGTCTCAGTTGATTAAGTATCCCCCTCATGATTTGGGCTTAAGTCATGATCTCAGGGTCATGAGGTCCAGCTCCCTGTGGGGCTCTGCTCAGCCGGCAGTCTGCTTGGGATTCTTTCTCCCTTGCCTGTTGCCCCTCCTCCCTCTCATGCTTGCATGCTGTCTCTCAAAACAAATAATGTAAGTGTCTGTTTAATGAAAAGCAATAAAATTGGACCTTTACCTGATACCATATATAAAAATTCAAAATAGATTAAAGATACAAATATAACTGTTAAATCTATAAAACTTTTTTTTTTTATTTAGTTATGATAGTCACAGAGAGAGAGAGAGAGGCAGAGACACAGGCAGAGGGAGAAGCAGGCTCCATGCACCGGAAGCCCGACGTGGGATTCGATCCCGGGCCTCCAGGATCGCGCCCTGGGCCAAAGGCAGGCGCCAAACCGCTGCGCCACCCAGGGATCCCTCTATAAAACTTTTTAAGAAAACATAAGGGTAAATCTGCCTACCTTGGTTTTGGAAAAGGATTCTTAGATGACAACAAAGACATGAGCAACAAAAGAAAAAATAGATAAATTAGACTTCATCAAAATAAAAAACGTGTTTTAAATGTTGAAAAACAACCTTATAGGAGAAAATACTTTTAAATCACATATCCTATAATGTATTTGTCTAGAATATATAAAGAACTCTTACAACTCAATAGAAGACAATTTAAAAATGGGCAAAGGGGGCACCTGGGTGGCTCAGTAGTTGAGCATCTGCCTTTGGCCCAGGTTGTGATCCTGGGGTTCTAGGATCAAGTGTCACATCAAGTGAGGAGCTGCCTCTCCCTCTGCTTGTGTCTGTGCCTCTCTCTGTTTGTCTCTCAATGAATAAATAAATAAAATCTAAAAAAAAAAATGGGCAAAGGATCTGAATTGACATTTCTCCAAAGAAGATGTGCAGATGGCCAGGAAGCACATGAAAAGATGCTTAACATCATGAGTCACGAATCTAAAAAGCATGCTGAATGGAAGAAGCAAACAGAAACCATATAACCACATGTTATATGGTTCCATTGATATGAAGTGTCCAGAATGGGTAGTAAATCTCTAGAGGGGTCAGAGGCATTAGTTGTTGCTTAAGTCTGAAGTGAAGGGGGGAAAGGAATTAGAGGGTGATTGCTAAAGGACATGTTTTTTTTTTTTAATAGAGAATTTGTTTTTTTTTGTAAAATACACATGAAATTTTTACCGTTTTAACTATTTTTTCAATGAACAATTTGGAGATTTCTTTTTGAGATGATGGATGTTCTAAAATTGTACTGATGGTTGCATATATCTGTGTACTAAAAGCCATGAAATCATACACATTAATTGTGTGATTTGTATGGAATGTAAACTATCTCAATAAAGCTGTTATAAAAGAAAAAATATTGCTCTTAACACCTGTTGATTAAAATCAAGGGACTCATAGCTAAGCAGAGAACATTTTGGAAAAATAAATTTATTGTGGGATTGTCTGCCTTTGGCTTTGAGGATTGAGTCCGGCATTGGGCTCCCTGTGAGGAAGCGTGCTTCTCCCTATGTCTGTGTCTCTGCCTCTCTGCATTTCTCATGAATGAATAAATAAAATCTTAAAAAAAAAAAAAAGTACTCAGGCAGGATTTATGTGGCTAGATCCACTTTACTGATTACAACAAGTAGTGCAAGTTTCCATTAACCTGTCTACTACTAATTGAAATTGAAATGTCATTAGTTGTTCCCAGGACCCACTACACAGTGTTTTGTTTTTTTAATTTTGAGAGAGAATAAGAGTGAGTGAGAGAGAGAGAGAGAGAGAGAGAGAGCTTGGGAGGTGGGGTGTGGAGGGAGATAGAGGGAGATAGAGGAGAGGGAGATAGAGTCCCAAGCAGGTTCCATGCCTTGTGTAGAACTCAACACAGGGCTCAAGCTCACCACCCTGAGATCATGACCTGAGCCAGAATCGAGAGTTGGAAGCTTAACTGACTGAGCCACCCAGACCTCCCTTAAAAAGTTGTTTAAAGCAACACAGTAGAGGTGTAACTTAACATATGTGCTATTTTTTAACACGTTTATTGAGGTATGAATTGAATGCTATAGGTTCACCGACTTTAAGTGTACATTTCAGTGATTTTTAGTAAATAGGATTTATACCTATTCCCATAATCTAATTTTAGAACATTTAATTTTGGGAATTCATTCAAGGCTAAACTGAAGATTATTTCTTCCACAGGTGATTTGAGATGATTTTGACCCTTTTACAAAGTCATTTTAAATATTTACAGCTAATCGTGTGTGTCTGTTTAGTGAGAGTGTGGCTCTGGGATTCCAAAGAGTTAATGATCATATTTCTATTATATTCTTATTACTTTGTTTTCAGAATTTCCACAGGAGTGGTGAACAATTATATCTTTGTAGCAGTGTTAATTCTGATTAGCAGTTGTTTACAATAGACATGATTTGTTATGTTGAGAAATTATCTTTCTAAGGTTTTCTAGGAATTTGACCTTCCTTGTAATTGAGTACCTTTAGTGTTGGGCCCTTCCTAAGTTTTCAGCATTTACTGAACACTGACATATATATTTAGCTCTTTGACTTTCAATAAAAATGTGGTAAATGAGGGAGCCTGGGTGGTTCAATCCATAAAATGTCTACTTCTGCTCAGGTTGGAGTCCTGGAGTCCTGGAATCCAACCTTGTTGGGCTCCCTGCTCAGCAGAAAGCCTGCTTCTCTCTCTCCCTCTGCCCTTCCCTCTGCTCATGCACATGTGTGCAGGTGTCCATGCATTCTCTCTCTCTCTCTCTCTCTGCCCCCACATCCTAAAATAAATAAAATCTTTAAAAAAAATGTGGTAAATGGTGAAATGTTTTCCTAGTATCCAAATCTTTTGCATTGCTGTGATGATTGTATATTTTATCCAAATGAAAATTTATTTATTTATTTTTAAGATTTTATTTATTTATTCATGGCAGACATAGGGAGAGAGAGAGGCAGGCCCCATGCAGGGAGCCCGATATGGGACTCGATCCCAGGTCTCCAGGATCACGCCCCAGGCTGAGGGCGGCGCTAAACCACTGGGCCACCGGGGCTGCCCTGAAAATTTATTTTAATGTCCTTTGAGTATTTGGCTTTTAGTTTTTATGTAGAGTGCTTTTGTCTATATTTCAAATGAAATTGGTATTGTCTATTTTGTGCTGTTTGTGAGCTTTTAGTAATTTATTGGGTTATACTGCCTTCATAAAATGAATGCGATAGCTTTTCTTTTGTTGCCACTTATATCCTGGAAAGTTCCCCTGGTAAAACTATTTTTCACTTACGACTCTTTGAACGATAATTGATTGGTATTCTTTTCAGTCTGCCACTGTTGTTTGTTTTCCTCACATTTTCTTTAAGTCAGTTTTAGTAATTTTTTACCTAGAAAATTGTCCATTTCATTGAGATTTCAAAATTTATTTATTTATTTTTAAGCTTTAGTTCACTTTTACTTTTCTTGTATAAAATTATATGGTAGTCACAGCTGGAGTCTAGGTCCTCTACACAGACTCTGGTGTGGATCTTTTATAAGATGGTCAGTGAATTCTTTATAGGGAAACTTGGTGAACAGAGTCTCTTTCCAGAGATCAGGGGTGAGATAGCTGTAAGTCTTGGAGATCGCATCAAAAGTAGCCTTTGGCAAAGTTCCCCAGGGTGGCAGTGCAGCCCCTGGCTGAAGTGTAGCAGTCATCAGTACCAGCCATCACCAGTAGCTTCTTGGGCACAGAGGCTGAGACAATGCCAGTGCCTCTGGGGCAGGGATGAGATGCATCAACATAGAACCACAGTGGCCAGTCACCTTGCATGGGACAGTATAGGGCTTGCTGATCTTGTTCCCCTAGGAGCCTCGCCGCCCGGGGATGATGGAAGGCTTGGCCAGGATGATGGTCCCATGTATGGCAGTGGCTACCTCCTTGGAGCACTTGACACCCAGACCAACATGTCCATTGTAATCTCTGATGGCAACAAATGCCTTGAACCTGGTCCGCTGGCCAGCACGGGTCTGCTTTTGCGCGGGAATGATTTTCAAAACCTCATCCTTGAGGGATGCCCCCCAAAAGAAGTCAGTGATCTCAGATTCCTTGATGGGCAGGGAAAAGAGATCTCTTTCAGGGACTTGATCTTTATGTCCTTGACCAGGCGGCCCAGCTTGGTGACAGGATCCACTACTTGTCATCTGCCTTGCCTCCAAGAGTGCCATGGCCTTGGCTCCAGATGCCGCTCCTGAAGCCTCTGCAGGCAGCCTCCCATTCCCATTCTGGGACCTCTGGGCCCTTCTGCAGAACCAGTGTCATCTGCCATTTGGTGTTCTCTGAGAGAAGAAGTGAGATTTCAAAATTTTTAGCATAGACTTATTTATATATACTAGTCTTGTTTTGTCTAATACTATTACAATTTCTGTATTTTTTTCTCTCAACTAAATCACTGAAAGATAAACCTACTTTATTTTTCTCTCTAATGAATAGCTCCTGGGTAATTTGATAATTTTTACTATGTATTTATTGTTTTTTAAAAATTACTGGGATCCCTGGGTGGTGCAGCGGTTTGGCGCCTGCCTTTGGCCCAGGGCGCGATCCTGGAGACCCGGGATCGAATCCCATATCGGGCTCCTGGTGCATGGAGCCTGCTTCTCCCTCTGCCTGTGTCTCTGCCTCTCTCTCTCTCTCTCTCTCTGTGACTATCATAAAATAAAAATAAAATAAAAAAAAATAAAAAATAAAAAAATAAATAAAAATAAAAATAAAAATTACTTTAACAATGCTTTTGATGTCCTCTTTGAAATGATAGCTTATAAATGCTTCAATTCTCAGAGAAATGATTGCCCTGATTTAATGGATTTATTTTTACAATGGTCTTTGCTTTGTTTTTTAGGCACGAGATGTGCGCACCAATGAAGTGGTGGCTATCAAGAAAATGTCTTATAGTGGAAAGCAGTCTACTGAGGTGGGTGAAATGGATATTTTCTCACTGGCATATTAGAGAATGACATGCTGTTTTTTTAATGGGGGTAGATGGGAATTCTTACAAAAAGTATAACGAAAAGTATAAAAAGTGTATATTTCGATGAATTCTCTTTCAGAAACTACATATACCCATTAAAGTTGTATCTAAAACCACAAAGAGAACAATAGAACAATAGTGGCATTACAAAAGCCTCCCAACTTGTACCCCTTGCTTTTAATTTTTTAATAAATATGCAGCTGAAATGAGCTTACTTTTTTAAACTGTGGATTAATATATTACTTATCTGTATCATAGAAGATGTACCAATATTTATAAAAGTAAACTAGAGTGAGATACATTTTACAATAAATTATATTGCTTATAATCTTTTAATGGTTTAGAAATTATTGAAGGCTTGTTTTAAACAAACTTTAATAACCAACAGGCAGTTATATCTAGTCTAAAAAATAGTGTGTAATAATTTGAAAAAAAAATCATTGATACTACTTTCATTCGCTAATATTCTGATTAGTTTTTTTCAGAATGTATTCTATTTAACTGTATAAATTTACTTTGTAACATGTATTCTACTTTCTAAATCTAGGATCTTTTGGTTTTAATTTTTAAAATTAATCATTTTAATTGTGATAAAATATACAAATTTTACCACCTTAACCATTTTTAAGTGTACAGTTCAGTGGCATTGAAAACATATTGTTGGGCAGTCATCACTGCCATTCTTCTCTAGAACTCTTTTCATCTTACAGAATTGAAATTCTTTAACTCATTAAACAGTAATTCCCCATTTTCTCCTTCTCCCAGCCCTGGAAATCACCATTCTCATTTCTGTCTATAAATTTGACTATTTTCATGTAAGTGAAATCATGCAGTATTAGACCTTTTGTGACTAGCTTATTTCACTTAAAATAATGTCCTCAAAATTCATCTATGTTATAGTATGTGTCAGAATTTCCTTCCTGAAGTGTGTATGTGTATATGTGTCTATGTGTGTGAACCACCACATTTTGTTTATGCATTCGTCAGTGGACACTTAGGTTGCTTCTACCACTTGGTTATTGTGTGGCTCTGAACTGAGTATGCTCATTTCTCTGAATCTCTGCTTTCAGGAATTTCAGGTATATGCCTAGAGGTAGAATTGCTGGGTTAGTCTTTCCTTTTTAAAGATTTTGGATTCCTACTTTTTTGGAATCACTATTTTATGGTAAATCTTATTTTTGTGAAAATTGTATTGTGGGTATGGTAACACTATTATGATTATATCACTCTTCCATCATTTTAATACCTAAAAAATTTCTAAAAATTCGTGAATTTTTACAAAGTTTCTTATAAGTTAACTATACTTTTATTTGCCATTCTATAGCACAACTTTAGAACTAGCTTTCACAGGCAGACTGGTACTGTGTTGGAATCTGATTAGTTATGCCTAGAACAAAGTTTCATTTAGTATATCATCTTTCCACATCAAATTATTAGTAGCCTTCATGAAAGTCTTTTTTATGTTGAAGAATATGGGTTTTTGTTTTGTTCTGAGCATTCAATTTTGAAATTTAAAGTCCATGAAATGTTCTCAGAATGTAGCATCTTATATTGTACACATTTTATATAAAACACTGTAAACGTATTTTGCTGAATTTTGTTGAGGACTTGTGAAATAAAGTAGATATATGATCTTAAATTTTAGTACAAAATATTTCTTAAAGTTTTCTATTATTCTAATAGTTTTCCTGCCTTTAGAAATATGGCAGCTTGCTTCTCCCTCTCCCTTTGCCCCTCCCCCAATTCATGTTCTCTCTTCTATCTCAAATAAATAAATAAAATCTTAAAAAAAAAAGAAAGGAGAAGAACTGATAAAGAAAAATCATTAATATGGTATATAGTTTTCATCAACATGCTTGGCGTGTGATTGTAAAATTTTAATGAGACTCATAAGTTTTATCAAACTAAAATTTGTTCTACCTTGAATAAAATAACTTTATAAATTATAAATTGAGTTTAAAGTATATAAATATAATTTATTTTAAATTTATTCATTTCCTATTTAAATATTACAAATACAGCAAAGTTGTATGTTAACCCTGCTTAATCAGGTAATTACTTTTTTTGTTATATAACTTTCTAAGGAAAAGCAACTGTTCATAATTCTTTCCTTTATTCCTTTTTTTTCTCCTCATAGAAATGGCAGGATATTATTAAGGAAGTCAAGTTTCTACAAAGAATAAAGCATCCCAACAGTATAGAATACAAAGGCTGCTATTTACGTGAGCACACGGCATGGGTAGGTATTTGCCCTCTCCTTGCTATAATTTAGTTGGTATTGTATTAGAATTAATTAATTCAAGAATGTCTCATAATGGTTGTGTAAAGCCATGCAAAAATACTTTGAAATGTTAGTTCATACTGAGAGAGGAGAGCAGCTTTTCTTAGACTCTTTGGCAATAAAAGATATAGAACTTTTACAGGTTACCTGTAGAGATTTAGCTGAACTTGATGTGTGTGGTAAAATGTTTTCTGACATTTTTTAGTATCATTTTTTAAGTGGTTTATCAAACATTGTACAACAATCCTTTATTTGAGGATGAAAGTTAGCATATCTTTTTTTTTTTTTTATAAATTTTTATTTATTTATGATAGTCACACAGAGAGAGAGAGAGAGAGAGAGAGAGAGGCAGAGACACAGGCAGAGGGAGAAGCAGGCTCCATGCACTGGGAGCCCGACGTGGGATTCGATCCCGGGTCTCCAGGATCGCGCCCTGGGTCAAAGGCAGGCGCCAAACCGCTGCGCCACCCAGGGATCCCTAGCATATCTTTTTGACATACATATATTGTAATCTGTTTAACCACAAACATTTTGGTAAAGTCTGGGTGAATCTTGGTGTAATATGAACAGATTGTAATTCCTTAGCTAAATAATACTAACAGTAGGGATCCCTGGGTGGCGCAGCGGTTTGGCGCCTGCCTTTGGCCCAGGGCGCGATCCTGGAGACCCAGGATCGAATCCCACATCGGGCTCCCGGTGCATGGAGCCTGCTTCTCCCTCTGCCTGTGTCTCTGCCTCTCTCTCTCTCTCTCTCTCTCTCTCTCTCTCTGTGACTATCATAAATAAATAAAAATAAAAAATAATAATAATACTAACAGTAGAGAATTGAGACACTTTATTACAAGAAATGGAGATTAATTTTGTTTCATTACCATTGAGGTAACAAGGTAGTAATCCAACAGTGGTATAGGCTTAATAACTGTATCTTTAAACAGTAAATTTTCTTTTGACGGAAATGATCCCCAAGGATAATAATAGGACCTACCTTATAAGGTAGTTGTGGGGACTAAATTAGTTAATATATTTAAAATACTGGCACACAAGAGGTGCTCTGTGTTTGCTTTAACAAAACATTTAAATTATAACCTAAACTTTGTACGTATAGATCCAGAGGACAGTTTTTTGTTTCCGTACAGTTATAACAATGTAACTATATTTTATAGTTTAGTTAGTGATTATAGATGAAATATACATCTTGTACAAGTGATTACATGTTGACATTAAAGATTAATGTATCACTGGCTTAACTTTATCATTTAACAAATTGCTAAATATATAAATATATATTTTTTAAAGTAAATGATGGATCGCTTTTATTTTACTTCAAGCCATCTTTTTTATCTCCTTGGTGAATTTATTTTATCTCAAATAGAATCTTTTTACTAATTGATTATAATTTTTCTTCCCATGTAGCTGGTAATGGAATATTGTTTAGGATCTGCTTCAGATTTACTGGAAGGTAGGTTTCCTTTAATTATTCAGGAAAAAAAGTAAGAGCATATGAAATGAGAATTCTGTTTGGTTTTCTTAAGTAATGTAAAAATTTTCTGGAAAGATTAAAATCACCTTTTCGAGATTCTCAGCATGGTATGCACTGTCCTGTAGTAGCATAAAATAGGTGAATTTTCTTACATTATGACATAACAAGCATTTTTCTTCATTCAGCTTAACCTGTTCTTCAGAATGAAGATACGTGAGAATAAGGAGAAGCTTCTCTATTGTTACTTTTGTTTTTATAATCAACTAGTTGTTAAATGTTGTTAGAGGAAAATTGGCTGTGAACTATACATTTTAACAACTAGACACAGCTGTAATACCAGTTATAAACTTCAGTAGCTTCAATGTTTTATTGTCTAGGAGAACAAATCTTCTCACTAAATGTTAGTTTTTTTAAATTGCGTCATATGTATGTTTATTTTTTTAAACAAAAATATTCTGTAAGTAATTATTTTCCAATAAATTCTTATTTTAAGTTCACAAAAAGCCATTACAAGAAGTGGAAATAGCAGCAATTACACATGGTGCTCTCCAGGGATTAGCCTACTTACATTCTCATACCATGATCCATAGGTAAGCACTTTGACAATTATCATGTATTAACAGCAAATGGCTTATTGGATTTATCAACCCTGGAACTTATTAACCCACTTAAAACTTAATAAGTTTTGTTGGTGTTAGCCACACAAAAGCATTTCAAAATCTTATAAACTCATATTTTTTGGGTTGTCCTACAAACATGCCAGTACATTTGATCTCCTTTTAGGATCAGTTTTTTTTTTTTTCATGATGATAAAAGATTTAATTCAAAATTAAAGAATTTTCATTATAGGATCATCTTTATCTTTGTTTACTTATGGTGCTGGGCTTTCTCACATATGAACATTTTATAGATTTGTGATAGGAATTTAATTGTAGAATCATTTAATTTTTAAGATGGAAAAGACATTAGGGATTGTGTAGTCTTATTTTTTTCATTTTACAGATAAAGTGATGCTCCATTTTGTGACTAATATTTCCAAGGTTTTACAAAGCCAGATAAACTAGACTAGAACTAAATCTAGGTCTTTTGTCTTTCCAGTAACTGATAATGCCAGATATCTTTCATTGATCCCATGACATGGATTTAACACTTTTTATATTTTTGAGTATTAATCCTTGATGATCCTTAATAACAGATAGTAATGTTAAAACTAAACTATTTCATAATGCATTTTTTTCATAATGCATTTTTAGCATTGATATAAGTTTGACTATTCTAAAGGGAAACTCACTTTTTTTTTATCATATATGTGGGTCAGGCAATACATATTAAATGCTGTAGCAGAGCTATTATAAGCTAAATGGCTTACCTGGTTTTTTTTTTTTAAGATGAGGATGGTAAGGTCCAAGAGAAATCTATATGCTTAATAAATAAACGAATAGAAGAGGTGGAATTAGAATCTAAAGTCTTATCAGCCTCAAATACCTCTTCTCTTTAATAAAGCAAATGGAAGGAAAAAGATATTTAATATTATACCCATTACAATACTATAGTTAGAATTGACAAGTGTTTGAAAATTTGGTTGGTTTGTTGGGTGGGTGGGTGGGTGGGTATTTTGTGTTTGTCTTTTGTTTTTTGTTTTTGTTTTTGGAAAGGTTAAATGTGTGTTTTGGTGCCACCTAGACATACAATCCTGTTATATAAATATCCATAATACTGTTATTTGCATGGACAGTATGTTTGCTGATTTTAAAAACTAAGCTTGAATGTAAATTTGCAATTATTAGATCCTACGTTATCCATGTGTTTCAGTTTTCATTCATGTTTAGTTAGAAGAACTATGCTAAGTTTTGGAAATGAGAAGAATAACTTTTAAAAAGAATTGGGGATATGAGTCCCTTCTTTCTTTCTTTTTTAATATATTCAGAAATCTTAAAATTATGGAGTGGGCAGCTAATTAAATTTTATTTTTAAAACCATTATTTGTATCAATAAACAGGAACTCAAATATACACTATGCTCTAATTACTTGATTTTCTCTCTTTTGTCTTTACAGCTATTTTGTCTTCTCTTTTAGAGAAGAAAATTGTCATTGTATATTTATATCACTTCTGTATTTTTTACTTTCTAATTTGGATCTTAAGTCTCATTATCCTAACAGAAATTATCCTAGGACTTAATTATTTTGATTTCTCCTTCCCTATTTTAAACTTTTTAATTTGATTTTTATCATTTTCAACACAATCTAATGAAGAAAAGAGAAATAATTTTCTGTGTTTCTTAAACCCAGAGATATCAAAGCAGGAAATATCCTTCTGACAGAACCAGGCCAGGTGAAACTTGCTGACTTTGGATCAGCTTCCATGGCATCTCCTGCCAATTCTTTTGTGGGAACGCCATATTGGTAAGAATAATCCTATTTGCTCTTGATCCTTATAATTAAAATAGGAAATATGTGGTTGTATTTTTTCAGATGGCTTATCTTTTTCCTGGTAATATAATACTATTTAGGACATCTTAACTTTAAGTATAGTTAGTTCAAATATAGATTTGGAGTGCTGCCCTTTACATCTCCTATTTTTCTTTTGTCCCCTTAACATTTTCTTCTCTATTATAACCTGAATATTTTGGGTGTGGGAGTGAAAAAGTTCAGTGAAAATCCAAGTGAGAAGATAGAAATGCTAAGTGGAAATTTGTGTGTTTTCTTTAGATTTATATTAACTAAGATAAGATTAAAGTACCTCAAGGTACTAAGAGTACTTAAAGACTGATAGCTGATTTGGAGATTTGGGGTTTAATTTTTATTGTGGAGAATTTAAAATATATATAAAAGTAGACAAAAGTATTATTGAAACCTCAGATACCAGTTACACAGCCCAATAACAATATCCCTTGGCCATTCCTGCCCCATGTACTCCTTTTTCTCTCTTCCCCTGGCCCTACCATTTGTGTAGCAAATTCTAGGCATCATCTGTTTTATCCCTAAATAATTCATTATTAATGTCAGCAGGTTTGAAGGGAATAGTTGTCCAAATCTTCAACTTCCATATGTTCTTGCATATAATGAGAGTGATATCTTAGGTCCACTACATCTTCTTTCCCATCTACTTTCTAATCTCCCTTTTCCTACTTTATAAAAAATAAGACTCCTTACCCATCCTGAATATTACAATGATGCATTGATCTGGGGTGTAAAAGCCTCAAAGGAATACCAGAAGGACAATATGAAGAATATATAGCAACTATCAGAAATACTGAAGAATCAGGATACGAACTCTTGGCAAGGCCTTGTGCCTATTCAGTCATCTCCCTTCCCTTCCTTTTACTCCTTCCTTTTTCTCTCTCCTCAGTTATCTTCCCCCTTCTTTCTTTCTAATATAAAATTAATAACTGAGATGGTTGTTATGGGGACACTTTAACATGTTATTTGCTTTGAAAATGAAGTGAGACTTTTTTTTTGACAGAAAGTGATTCTGATTTGACTGATTGGTAGGACAGTGAAGACTGGCTTTGCTAATTGGGTTATAGAGCAATGTAATATTTTTTAATAAATCAAATGAGCTAACTCTATAGCTCTGTATTTTAAATATCTTTAAATCGGGGATCCCTGGGTGGCTCAGCGGTTTGGTGCCTGCCTTTGGCCCAGGGTGCGATCCTGGAGTCCCGGGATCAAGTCCCACGTCAGGCTCCTGGCACAGAGCCTGCTTCTCCCTCCTCCTTTGTCTCTGCCTCTCTCTTTCTCTCTGTCTATCATAAATAAATAAACAAATCTTTAAAAAAAATAAATATCTTTAAATCACATATACCATATAAAGTATATATGTATGTGTGTATATGCTGTGCATTGTATCCTTTACAGCTATTAAACTTATAAAATTTAAATAATTCAAAAATATACAAGGGGTTAACTAATTTTCATAAATTCATTAGAGGCAAACAAATTTAAGAACTTGAAGAATTTCTATTCTTCTACTGCTCTAGATTACCAAACTTTAGATAGACTCCCTTTCGCTTCTATTAAAACGTCTCTGTGAGCAAATAATATTTCTTAATGGTTCTGTTGTTTAGAAAGTAATGATGAATATTAGATATTTTTAAAGGTCCTAAAAAGTTCTGCAATAAAAAACAAAATTACTTGTTAAACTCTGCCTAAATTAGTAATTTCCAAAACTTATTTCAACATCTTAAAAGAAAGCCTTTGAGGGATATCTGTGTGGCTTCATTGGTTAAGCATCCGACATTTGATTTCGCCTCAGGTCATGGTCTTAGGGTCATGAGATCCAGCCCCATATCAGGCTCTATACTAGGCATGGAGCCTGCTTTAGATTCTCTGCCCCTCCCTCTGCCCCTCCCTCCCTCTATTAAAAAAAAAAAAAGACCTTGGAAACACTCTGATATTGACAGTTGAAAATTTTCTTTGTTTACATATTCATTAATTTGTATATAGTATATTTGGAAAATAGGAGCTAGGTACATGTTTAGATGTTTTTACACTTACACACTCACATACACTGAAGAGCATGGTGACAATCCTACGTAAGCATCAACAGCTATTCTAAGTGTCTAGCTCTGCTTAACAACAAATACAAATGAAGTGTAAATTAAAGTACCATAAAAAATGTTAGACCTTAATTGAAAATATGAGTTAATGCTCCATTTTATAACCAAGATACCTGTAAGGTTGATAATTGTGTAATTGTCTTTGTTGTAAGCTGCCCTAGACACTTTTATCATGGAACACTATTCCTATTTAAAAGGAAGAATGACAAACTGTGGTTATTCAGTGTTGGTTATTGAGGCAGATATTTTCTCAAATAAATGGAGTGAGCTTGTCACTTCAAGGAGAGCAATTGACAGTATTCGGTGCCAATGATAAAAATTCAGTCTTTCCAGCATAAGTCAGACTTTCATAGTAGGATCCTGAGACCAAAATATTTAAGAATCACTAGCCTAAGGGGGAGTGTGCCTGGGTGCTTCAGTCAGTTAAACATCTGACTTTTGATTTCGGCTCAGGTCATGATCTCAGAGTCATGAAATTGAGCCCTGTGTCAACCTCTATGCTAGGAATGGAGCCTGCTTAGGATTCTCTCTCTCTCTCTCCCCCTCTGCCCCTTTCTTACTCTCTCTCTTTAAAAAAAAAAAAAAACGATAATAATTCTTTAAGATAATAATAAAAAAAACGGAGTTAAAAAAAAAGTCTCTAGCCTAAGGGTTATACAGTATTAGAATATACAACCGTGCTCCGGTATACATCCATTTCTTTTGGATGCTGTTATATGATCATGACAGATGGTGAGAATGAGTCTTACAGTATATATGTAATGGTAAATAATATGTGATTACCTGTGGTACATTTATTTCTCATTATAAAAATTCTTCTGTCCAGATACGATGGCTAGAATTCACACAGGTATTCTCTTATGTGGATACTCATTACATTGATAAAGAATAGTGTGCTTTTTTTTACTTTAAATGACATTTTATGTTTTAGGATGGCCCCGGAAGTAATTTTAGCCATGGATGAAGGACAGTATGATGGCAAAGTAGATGTATGGTCTCTTGGGATAACATGTATTGAACTAGGTAAGCGTTATTCCTTGTTATTATATAGTAAGTTTTGATCAGTGTTTTACTTCATTTTTCTGTACCATATCATAACTTTTTATTTTTTAGTCCATTACAGAAGGGGTCAATGAATCTATTAAAGTTTTCACTTTGGTTATCTGGTAATTTATATATATATTAGGTTAGGTATATTATATTTGCTCTGTTAAAATAATTTTCTAAAATAATTTTCCTCTGTGTTATTAAGTTTGAGGTATTTATGTTTAATATTTAATGAGTATTTGTTACACATCTAAAATATGTCTGTGATTACTAGATTTATCCTCTGTAGAAAGTCTCTATATAGCATTGATGAATTACTTACCTCTACCTAGGATACTTATTAGTTTGAATTAGGTATGAGAATTAGATGTCAGGCTGTATGCCATATTGTAGCAATTTGATTTTATGCACACATTTTATTCTGTTGCCCATAAAGGGAAATATGCTTAAGTCAGTGGACCATCATAACTTTACTAACATTCCCAGTGTAAGAGAGCCAGATAGATAATTGATTTGTCACTATAATTGAAGATGATGTCTATCATCTTGCTCTTGATTCTCCAAGCTTACCCCCTCTAGTCTTACATCCTTTCCCTTTTTTTTCCTTATAAAAATATTCCAGTGGTGCCTGGCTGGCACAGTTGATAGAGCATGCAACTCTTGATTTGGGGATTGTAAATTTGAGCCCCGTGATGGGTGTAGCAATTACTTACAAATAAAGTCTTTAAAAAAATATATTCCATTAAACTTTATTTAAGGGATGCCTGGGTGGCTCAGCAGTTGAGTGTCTGCCTTTGACTCAAGACGTGATCCCAGTTCAGGGATCGAGTCCTACATTGGGCTCCGTGTGAGGAACCTGTTTCTTCCTCTGCCTATATCTCTGCCTCTCTGTATCTATCATGAATAAAAAAAAAAAAATCTTTATATAATAAAAACCCCTCATTTAAAAGCAGTAAATATTGGGAATATTTAATTAAACATTCTAGGAGTGACCACAGATTGAAAATAACACATTAAATGTAAAATCCATGTGAGAGGTGTCTGAGTGGCTCAGTCAGTTGAGCATCCAACTCTCAATTTTGGCTCAGGTTGTGATCTTAGGATTGTGGGATCAAGCCTTGCCTCAGTCTTTAAGCTCCATGGGGAGTCTGCTTGTCCCTCTCCCTCTGCTCCTCCCCTTGCTTGTGCACATGAATGCTCTCTCTCTCTTTCAAATAAATAAAATCTTTTTTACAAAAAAGGTAAAATCCATGTGTAATTTGGTTAAATGGTTTTCAAATTGGGTTTCTCAGTAGTTTTGTAAAATAAGTAGATAAGGAAATTGAGGTAAAATAAAATCAAAAGCTTATCATTATGTAGTAGCTGAATATCCTAATTTCCATTATAAACCAAGCTCTTTCTATCTTACAGTCTAGTATTTTTTCAAAATTATATAATCTTGGGGTGCCTGGGTGGCTCAGATGGGGTGCCTGGGTGGCTCAGATGGGGTGCCCTAAGTGTCTGCCTTTGGCTCTGGTCATGATCTCTAGGTCCTAGGATTGAGCCCCACATCAGGCTCTCTGCTCAGTAGAGCCTGCTTCTCCCCCTCTCTCTCCCCCCGTTTGTTCTCTTTCTCTCTCAAATGCATAAATAAAATATTTTTTAAGAATGATATAATCTTGGGATCCCTGGGTGGCACAGCGGTTTGGCGCCTGCCTTTGGCCCAGGGCGTGATCCTGGAGACCCGGGATCGAGTCCCACGTCGGGCTCCTGGCGCATGGAGCCTGCTTCTCCCTCTGCCTGTGTCTCTACCTTTCTCTCTCTCTCTGTGTGACTATCATAAATAAATTTTTAAAAAAATTAAAAAAAAGAATTATATAGTCTTTAGACATTTTTGCTGTTTATTGTAATTCCTACATTAACCATTCCCTTCGAGCTCTATATCATTTTATTTATTTATTTTATTTTAAAGCATGACAGCTGAGGCACCTGAATGGCTCAGTGGCTGAGCATCTGCCTTTGGCTCAGGTTGAGATCCTGGGGTCCTGGGATTCAGTTCTATATCAGGTTCCCCACAGGGAGTCTGCTTCTCCCTTTGCCTCTGTCTCTGTCTCTATCTCTGTGTATCTCATGAATAAATAAATAAAATCTTTAAAAAAATAAATAAAGCATGACAGCATAAGGAAACAGAGATTTGGAGAGTACCACAGTAACATTCTTTTCTGATTTCTTGGTCTCTCTTTGAGGTTTGCAGAATCTTTTTTACATTTGAAAGTGTTTTAATTTCTATTCTTTTAACCTTGATTCTTCTTCTCACTGGTAGATCCTAATTAATTTCTTAAGAAACTTTGGATATAAATGTAGAGAAGCTGGTTAATATACTCTGCCCATGGGGTATTTTTATATGCTGGCTGATACATGTGCCCCTTGGTGATAGTGAAATTGCCTTAATGGTGCTATTAGATATTATTGATATATGTTTATAGTTATTTGATTACAAAGTATTCATTGACCACTTGTTTGCTCAAAAAGAAATCTGTCTAAAGTCCAGTTTATTCATTTATTTTAGAGCAAGGAGAGAACATGAGAGGGAGAGGCTGAGAGTGGAGCCTGACTTGGATATCCATCTCATGCCCCTGAAACTGTGACCTGAGCCAAAACCAAGAGTCTTTTTAATTTTTTTTTTTTTTATGATAGTCACAGAGAGAGAAAGAGAGAGACGCAGAGACATAGGCAGGGGGAGAACGGGCTCCATGCACCGGGAGCCCGATGTGGGATTCGATCCTGGGTCTCCAGGATCGCGCCCTGGGCCAAAGGCAGGCGCCAAACCGCTGCGCCACCCAGGGATCCCCAAAACCAAGAGTCTTGAGGCTTAACTGACTGCACCTTGCGAGCTTCTTTTTGTTATAGCTAATAAAATAGAATTCCTTCACAATGAGAGTCTTTACACTTAAAATAAAGCAATATCTGAAGATGAAACTGCCTTTAGATAATTTTAACGAGTGAGACACTTAAAGAAATTCTTAGTTTTTGGCATACTTTTGGCATCTTCATCTTTCATAATCACTTTTAAAAATTTTACTCACAAATGTTTTGAATTATGAAGCACTAAGTTAGGAACTACATTTTAAGCCTGCTTCTGGTTCCAGAGGAAAGGTCTACAGTAGCACAAGCCAATAAAATTTTCTGCAGTGATAAAAATGATTTGTATCTGCATGACTTTTGAGCACTTGATATGTGGCTGTTGCAACTAAGTGAATATTTAATTTTGTCATTTAAATAAATTTATATTTAAATAGTCACTTGTGGCTAGTGACTACCCTGTTAGAAAATAGAGATCAAGAGCATGATTTTCAATGCAAATTAGATTTGTAGTCTCTGGAAATATATATGCTTTTCTACTTTAAAATAGTTAAGGATAATGAGTTAAAGCAAATTATTATAGTGCAGGTAGGAGAACAAATGTAAGTCAATTGTACTCACCCTGGTTTTGATAAATATAGTTATTAATAAATACTATCATATTTCATTATCATAATGATTGAAGTAATTTGGTTATGTCTTATGACCAAGAGATCTTAAAGTACAGGCGTTTTCATAGGTGAGTTTATGTGTTTGTTTGCAATTAGTCTGATGAAAAAGTTCCCTACTTTGTTGTTTTCCAGGCTTTGTGCAGGATTGTACAATTGTGTCTATAAAAATAAAATTTACCATTTTTTTCTGATTATAAAGTATAGAGGACATGAATTTTCAGAAAATTAAAGGAGCAAAACGAAAATAAATCAAAATAAAGATAACTGCAGTAATTTGTTAACGGATATCCAAGATAAAAAGATGTAAATTGTGACATCAGAAACATAAAACATTGAGTTTGGAGAGTAAAAATGTAGAACTTTAGAATGTGTTCAAACTTAAGTTGTTACTAACTTAAAGTACTAATATGAATATAAGTTGTTTTATGTACACCTCATAGTAACTACAAAGCAAAAACCTGTAGTAGATACACAAAAGATCAAAAGAAAGGAATACTAATACAAAAATCATCAGATCACAAAAGAAGAGATTAAGAGGAAAGGATCAAAGGAATTACAAAACAATCAGCAAACAATTAACAAAATGGCAACAAGTACATACCTATCAATAATATTTTAATTATAAATGGACTAAATTCTCCAATCATAGAATGGCTAAATAGAATCCATCTGTATAATGCCTATAAGAGACTCACTTCAAATGTAAGGAAACACACAGACTAAAAGTGAAGGGGAATGATAAAGATATTCCATGTAAACAGAAACCAAAAGACAGGTGTGGTAGGTGTACTTACATCAGACAAAATAGACTTTAAAACAAAGACTGTATGGACACCTGGCTGGCTCAGTCTGTAGAGCATGTGACTCTTAATTTCAGGGTCATGAGTTTAAGCCCCATGTGGGGTGTAGAGCCTACTTAAAATTAAAAAAATAACAAGGTGCCTGGGTGACACAGTTAAGCCTCCAGTTCTTGGTTTTAGCTCAGGTTGTGATCTCAGGATTGTGAAATTGAGGCCCACTAAGTTTCTCTTTCCCTCTCCCTCTACTCCTCTCCTTCATACTCATATACACTCTTTCTCAAATATATAAATAAGTCTTTTCTTAAAAATTAAAAAAAATGGGCAGCCCAGGTGGCTCAGTGGTTTAGCACCACCTTCAGCCCAGGGCCTGATACTGGAGACCCAGGATCGAATTCCACTTCGGGCTCCCTGCATGGAGCCTACTTCTCCCTCTGCCTGTGTCTCTGCCTCTCTCTCTCTTTCTGCCTCTCTCTCTCTCTGTCTCTCATGAATAAATAAATAAAATCTTCAAAAAAAATTTTTTTTAAATAATAATACACTGACTTCTGAAAGAGACAGAAGGGCATTACATAATGGTGAAGAGGTCAGTCGAGCAAGAAAATATAACATTTGTAAATATTTATGTACCCAATGTAGGACCACCTAAATATATAAAGCAGTTTTAATACACCTAAAGGGAGAAATAGAAAGCAATGCAATAATAGTAAAGGACTTTGATACATCACTTTTATCAATGGATAGATCATCCAGATAGAAAATCAGTATGGAAGTATTGATCGTAACACGTTGAACTTAATGAACTAATGGACTACGTTGGACAGATGGACTTAATGGACATATACATATAGAACATTCCATCCAAAAGCACATTTTTCTCAAGTACACATGGAGCATTCTCCAAGATAGATCATATGTTAGACCACAAAATAAGTCTTAATAAGTTTAAGGAGACTGGAATCATATGAAGCATCTTTTCCAACAAAATGGTATGAAACTTAAAACGAATGATAAGGGTAAAACTAGAAATCCACAAATATATGGAGATTAAACAACATGCTACTGTAACAACCAATGGGTCAAAGAAGAAATCAGAAATAAAAAAGATTCCTGAGATAAATTAAAATGGAAATACAGCATACCAAAATGTATGAGAACAACAAAAGTGGTTCTAAGAGGGCAGTTCACAGGGATAAATACCTACATTGAGAAACAAGAAAGATCTGAAATAACCTAACTTTACACTTAAACTAGAAAAAGAAGAATAATCTAAGCATAAAATTAATAAAAGGAAGAAAATAACAAAGACCAGAGCAGAAATAAAAAGTCAGTATAAAAGATCAACAAAACTAAAAGCTGGCTTTTTGAAAAGATTAGCAAAACAGACAACCTTTGTCTAGATTTACCATGAAAAGAAGAGGATTCAAATTCAAAAATGAAAGAAATGTTATAACTGATACCACAGAAATACAAGTTATTACAAGAGACTATGGACAATTAGATGCCAACAAATTGGACAACCCTAGGAGAAATAGACAAATTACTAGAAGCATATAACCTCCAAGACTGGATCATGAAGAAATAGAAAATCTGAACAGACTGATTACTAGTAAGAAGATCGAATTAGTCATCAAAAACATTCCAACAAGCAGAAGTTCAGGACCAGGTGGTTTCACTGGTGAATTCTAACATACAAAGAAGAATTAATACTAAACCTTCTCAAAATCTTCCCCAAAAATAGAAGAGGTGAGAACACTTCCAAACTCATGAGGCCAGCATACCCTGATGCCAAAAGGTCACTTTTGAAAAAGAAAAGGACACTAAAAAGGAAAAATTGCAGGTCAGTATCTTGGTCAACGTCAATCCAGAAAACTCAACAAAATATTAGCAAACCAAATTCAACAATACAGTCAACCCTTGAACAACATAGGGGTTAGGGGCAATGACTCCTTCATGAGTCATGGAATTGGCTCAACATGGGATGTCAGAGACCAAGTAGGGTAAAGAGGTGACAATAGGGGAAACTTCCTATTGGGTCAGAGTCTAAGGAGTACCTCTATATTTGGAGGTGGCCTGATAACAGTGTTCATCTCTGATCAAAAGGAAGAGAGCTTTCCTCATAAAGACTGATGAAGAGGGCCACACTGCAGAGAAGTGACCCAGTTTAGGTTGGGTTTTAGAAACTGAGTGGATAAACAAATGTTCACACTGTAGAGTAACTTGGAATGGGGTTTCAAAACTTGAGGACGGAAAGAGGGCATCTGCTCAAGAGTGTGGTAGCAAAGATGGGGAGACTGGTTACCTACAGGGAGAATTTATCAGATAAGAAAATATTAATTAAGGATAATAAGAACAAGGTTCCTCATTGTCAGAAGGGTGTGACTAATAAAGGGAAGAGGTAAGCTAGAATAAATGCAGTAGGATTTGATTGGATTGAATATATTCTAGTGAACTCTTGTTTTCAGTAAACATGTTTAATGTACATGTATGTATATAAACATATTATGTATATGTGTTTCCTAACTCACTGAAAGAATCTAAGAGCAGTGACACCTCAGTAACTCTGATACACCTGTTGCCATAGCTTCTTGGAGAAATGGTTGAAACCTTAATCTGGAGTGTGGAAAGTACGAGATGAGCCTGGAAGATCATAGTGTACCAGAAAGCAAGGATGTGATCAGGGAATGATAGAGCCATGTCAAAAAGAAGCCAACATAAAGTGGTTCTCCCTGTTCAAATATGAGGCATTTTAAACATCAAAATAAAGGACAGTAGCAGATTATAAAAATAAAATAGATATCTACAAGCCTAGGGGTGCCTGGGTAGTTCAGTTAGTTAAACAAATGCCTTTGGCTCAGGTTATGATCCCAGAGTCCCGAGATCAAGCCCCATGTTGGGCTCCCTGTTGAGCAGAGGGCCTGCTTCTCCCTCTCCCCCTGCTCCGTCTCACTCTCTCAAATAATTTTTTTTTTAAAAAAGAGAAACTGCAAGCCCATATAGTAAATAGAGAAGAAAATTAAAGTTTTATGAGAAAACAGGATGTTAATATAGATTCAAGGTACCTTCTCAAAAAATATGTAATTACAAAGGAAAAAAAAGTTACCATGAAGAAGTCTAATACAGCCATAAGTAATACAATGTGAATGCCATCAATAATAGAAGTATTCAAAATCATGCACTATCTCATAGAATACAGTGAGGAAAATATAACACTTCTGTGATGCTCCTGCCCAAGATGTATAACCCAAATGTTATCATAGGACAAACTGAAATTGAGGGACAGGCAAGAGTCTTGTATACTTCAAAATTGCCAAGGTTATGACTTCAGCTGTTACTTTAAGAGACTAGAAAAAGAGGAGCAAAGGACTCAGTCAGCAGAGGATGTGACTTTAGATCTTTGGCATTGTGAGTTCAAGCCCAACATCAGGCATGGAGCCTACTTTTAAAAAGAAAGAAAAGAAAAAGAGGAGCAAATCAACCTAAAATAAGTAGAAGAAAGAGAACTTAAAAAATCAAAGCAGCAATCAATTAAAAAAAAAAGAGAGAACACCAATGAAACAAAAAACTAGTTTTCTGAGATGCACCTGGGTGGTTAGTTGGTTAAGCTTGAGACTCTTGATTTCAGCTCAGGTTGTGATTTCAAAGTTGTGAGATCAAGCCCAGCACTGGCTCTGTGCTCAGTGGATAGTCCGCTTGAGATTCATTTTCTCTCTCTCTTTCTTTCTCTCCCTTCTCCCCCCCCCAAAAAAAATAAATAAATCTTTAAAAAAAACAACTAGTTCTCTGAGAAAATTAATAAAATTGATAAACCTTTACCTAGATTGATCAGGAAACAAGAAAACACAGATTACCAATATCAGGGATAGGAAGTGATATCACTACATATTTTATAGGTATTAAAAGTATTATAGTATTATAATATTATAATATATATAATATAGTATTATAAAAGTATTATATAACACAATTTTATGTTAATTGTTAACAATTTAGATAAGATGCACACTTTCCTTGATGCAGGTGATCAAGGCTTGCTGTTGCTAAAAGGACATCATTGGAACATTTCCTTGAAATCTAAATGGGAGTTGAGGATTAGATGATAGTCATGTATCAGTATTAATGGCCTGATCTAATTGTGGTTCTTTAGTGGAAGATTCTTATTTATAGGAAATACACAGTAAAGTGTTTAGGGGTGGTAGGGCATGAGGCCAACAACTTAGTGTAAATCGACGCACTTGAGAAACTTCTTTGAGTTTTACTTGTAATTTTTTTTTTTGCTAAGACTCTTTCAAAAACAAAACATTAAAAATTTTTTTAAATTGAATTTAACTTATTTAATTTTTTTGAGAGAGGGAGGGGAGGCACAGAGGAGGAGGGAGAGAGAATCTTTAGTAGGCTGCACCTAGTGTGGAGCCCAAGACGCTCTAATCTCACAACCCTAAGATTATGACCTGAGCTGAAATCAAGAGTTGTGTGCTTAACTGACTGAGCCACCCAGGTGACCCCCTCAAAAAAATTTGTTAAACCATGTTTGCATGGCCCTTATATAATAAGCTCGTATTTTAACAAAGTTTCTTTCTTTTACAGCGGAAAGGAAGCCTCCTTTATTTAATATGAATGCAATGAGTGCCTTATATCACATAGCCCAAAATGAATCCCCTACACTACAGTCTAATGAATGGTGAGTATTCCTGAGACATAATATAACTCAACATTGTATAAGTTAAATACTTTGTTATAATGTTATTAAAATAATTTTATTTCAATTAGGTAAAGTGTATTAGCTGAAGAAATATTACATTGGTTTATTTTACCCTTATATCATGTTTATCTTCTATTAACATCTGCTATTCATAACATATATGTAATTCAGTTCAGAAATAGATGATGCCATATGGAAGCAACACATTGCTTTTTACAAAAATTTATATTTTATTTTTTTCTTTGAACTTTAGGAACACATATAACCCTGATTATATAATAAGTAATATATAATATATATTTAATAAATAGCATAATTTAAACAATATTTTATAACTAAAATACATAGATTGCCACAACCCATAGTGATATTTTATTAGGGAATGGTTTACAATTTATCAGGTATAAAACATAAATGATTTATCAGAATTATCAGGTAATTCGTAATTTGGGGGTTTTTTATTGTTATTATAATATTTATATTCCAAATGGTCTGTTACTCCACATCCTGGTGCTTCCTAGATTTGATAAAATTAAGCTCATTTATGTAAAGAAATCTATGAAGAACACATTGACAGTTTTAGAAAACTAGGGTTTTTATCAGTGATAGAAAATTTAATGTGTGTATATCCAAGTGTATTCAAGTGTGTCTAACATTTGAAAAATTCTAGGGAGATATCAACCATACTAAATAAGTATTTTTAATTGACAAGTAGATGCATAATTAGTGAAACTAATTTTTTAAAGATTACATATTTAAGGTGCATTCATAGATCTTTGCTACTATTTAGAGATATGTAGAAGGAATCTTTTGGCACAGAGTTTAGCATTATAGTACATACCAGTAATAAATATAGTGAACACAGAATGTCTTTACACTGTTTGATATTTTGGAGGATTCAAAAAAAGAATTCTTGCCTACAAGGAACTTAAAATATGAAAGACAAACACTGACAGAGTAATTATTACTTACTACTTTTCTCATTGAACTCTCATCAGTAACACTGTGCAAAATATGTTGTAGACTTCTGATGTTTTAAAAAATATATAAAAAAATAAAAATAAAAATAAAAAATAAAATAAATAAAAAATAAAAAAATAAAAAATATATTAATTGATTTTCTGGATTTAATGGAAGTTTTATCCATTTGCTTAGGAACATTTGGGTATAAAACTGCTCCCTCCAAAGCAAAATAGATTGATGTTCTAAAAATATATATAGAAGATGACCCAAGTAGCAACCAAGAAAGAGAGATGGCTTAGAGAAAAGAAAAAAAAAATTGAAAAGAACATTATCTTAAATATGAATGCAAAGAAGAAAAAATTGAGTTTCCTAATTTTGCCTCAATATAGAAAAAGTCATGATATTTAAATATGTGGAAGTATGATTTTTAAAGTTTTTAATTTAAGTTCCAGTTATTTAACATAACCATGTAATATTAGTTTCAGGTGTACAGTATAGTGATTCAGCATTTCCATACATTGCCCTGTGCTCATCGTGACAAATGCACTCCTTAGTCTCCATCTCCTATATCACCCATCCCCCAATCCACCTCCCTGCTGTTAACCATCAGTTTGTTCTCTATAGTTAAGGGTCTGTTTCTTGGTTTACCTCTCTCTTTCTTTTTTTTACCTTTGCTTGTTTGTTTCTTAAATTGTGGGAGCAGGATTTTTTTTTTTGGATTTTTAAATAATCTATGCAAATTTATCTTTGGAAAATGGTAAAGATTGCTTTAGATAGGTTTTCATAGACATAAAATCGATAGTATATTGTATCTGCTTATTTTTTTTGTATCTGCTTTTTTTATCATTCCTTTTCCATTCCCCTTCCCACCAATAGGCACATGCCCTGATTTATGGTTGTGTTTTGTTTTGTTTCTAATTAAGTATTTAAATTCCAGTTAATATGCAGTGTAATATTCTTTTCAGGTATAGAATTTAGTGGTTCAATATTTATATACAACACTTGGTGCTCAAACATGAACATGAATTTCCATGTCATCCTTGCACAAGATGCTAACTTCTCTGTATGGTTTGTGGATGTGTAAAAGGAAATAGCAATATGTTCACTTGATACTTTCCTTTACAATAGGTCTGATTATTTTCGCAACTTTGTAGATTCTTGCCTCCAGAAAATCCCTCAAGATCGCCCTACATCAGAGGAACTTTTAAAGGTCAGTTTTACTGGGACACCTGGGTGGCTCTGCTGTTGAGTGTTTGCCTTTGGCCCAGGGCATGATCCCAGATCCAGGGATGGAGTCCCACATTGGGCTCCCTGCAAGGAGCCTACTTCTCCCTGTCTGTGTCTTTGCTTCTCTCTCTGTGTCTCCCATGAATAAATAAAATAAACAAACAAATAAATAAATAAAGGTCAGTTTTACTAAGTCTGTTTTCTACCCCTAAGTAATTATTTAAAGATGTATTTTATTCTTCTTTGATTTTGAATCACTATGCTCTACTAATTTTTACTAAAATTATGGGGATCCCTGGGTGGCTCAGTGGTTTAGCGCCTGCCTTTGGCCCAGGGCGTGACCTGGAGTCCTGGGATCGAGTCCCACGTCGGGCTCCTTGCATGGAGCCTGCTTCTCCCTTGGCCTGTATCTCTGCCTCCCTCCCCCTCTCTCTTTCTGTGTCTCTCATGAGTAAATAAATAAAATCTTAAAAAAAAATTATACTAAAAAATTTACTATAAAATAAAATAACAAAATAAAGATAAAATGCTAACTTTATATACTGTTGTCTATTGGAACTTTTCTCAGAGGCCAAGTTTTTTCATTTGTGTTTTCAAAATTAATTAAGTGTTTTATGATGTTTGGATAGAATATATTCCAGATAGTACCAATTGGCTGTTTTTATGTGCAAGAATGTATTCATGAGTTATAACTCCACATTTTAATTCATGTGAAATAATGTCATATTTCAAAGTTAGTAAAACAGCTTAACTTTGGATTTAATTTTTATATCTGCCATATTTTATATGTTTATGTCCCACATTAAAATAATGTGAAAGAAAGAGAAATGTATATCTATATAAATATTGTGGGAGAAAAGAGTTTTCAAAAAATACATAATGATATCATGTTTCTGTTTCCTTTTTAGAAATATATTTTTCTAACTTGGCATTGAAAATATTTTAAGAATCATGTAAATTCTTTCAGTTTTCAGTGGGTTTGGTTGCTTAATTTAAATACATGATTGGTATATGCTTTCTGTTCTCAAAAATTTATTTCATTTGGAGTTTGACCATCTTATTGATAGCAATAATATTGTTGAACTTAATATAGTTCTTAAAACATCTAGATAAGGCAATGGTAAGTAGGATTTGATTCTCTCTCCTTGTGCCCCTAAGGAATATTATTGATTTTTCACTGTAAGATTTAAGTAGACTATTTTTACATGACTGTTTTAGAACTTCAGACATATTCAGTTTATTTTCGCCAACACATCAGTTAAAGATACAAAGAAATTGAAAAGATCATATATATGGGGATCCCTGGGTGGCTGAGCAGTTTAGTGCCTGCTTTCAGCCCAGGGCATGATGATCCTGGAATCCCAGGATCAAGTCCCTCAAGTCCCACATCAGTCTCCCTGCATAGAGCCTGCTACTCCCTCTGCCTGTGTCTCTGCCTGCCTCTCTCTCTCTCTCTCTCTGTGTCTCTCATTAATAAATAAATAAGTAAATAATCTTTAAATTTGTTTTTAAAAACAAAAAGATCGTGTGTGTGTGTGTGTGTATTATTATTTGCAACCACAGTATGTAGAAAACAGTATAGTTTTAAAAATGTTTGTGGGATTCTAGGCAGTTAGCTCACTCAGTCTCAGAAATGAAAGCCTGAATAAATAGAAACTCATAATAGCAGAAGGTTTAGTATAACTATGAATTATTTTAGTGATAAATAAGATCTATATGTAGAAAACTATCAAACTTAGAAATTTAAGGTTTATTATTTTTGGATAAGAAGATTGAGTATCGTAAACAGTGATACATACCAAACTAAGGCTCAGGAAAAAGAAAAAATCTGACTGGCTTCTTATACTTGCCTTATATAGGCAAAAGAAGCTGTTTTGTTAATAACCCAACCCACCAGGGCCAGGTATTTGGTGATTAGATCCCAAGTCTGCATATAGTATTCATTTACCTGGTTTATAGCAGGAAAATGAAAATCATAGGAAGTATCTATCAAGTACTTCTTTCCTTTGGCCTAATTATACGTCTGTTGCAGTTTATTGTAAAAAGAGTTAATAGGAAAAAATTTAAATTTATGAAACTAAGAATTAAAAATTGGAAGTAACCATCCAAAATTAGGATAATGGTTAAACATTTTTAGTATAAATATTTGATGAAATAACCTATAGGCATTAGTTTATGAATTCAAAATAACAATACTTAGACAACAGTAAAAGTAGAATAAAATACTGTATAGTTAAAATTCTTTAGAGAAACTTTTCAGGGGATGGCATCCATAGGCATTCAGAATGGTCTAGCATTTTTTTTTAAGATTTTTATTTTATTTTTATTATTATTTTTTTAGATTTTATTTATTTACTCATGAGGACACACATACACACACAGAGAGAGAGAGAGAGAGAAGCAGAGACACAGGCAGAGGGAGAAGCAGGCTCCATGCAGGAAGCCTGATGTGGGACTCGATCCCAGGCCTCCAGGATCACACCCTGGACTGAAGGCAGTGCCAAAACGCTGAGCCACCCGCGCTGCCCCGACTTTGAGGAGTTTGTGCTATAATACCCACAGTTCTTACGAAGTTGCCTAAAACGAAAAACACATCAGCAGGGCCTATGGTGATTCCATGTGTGCTAAGTATGTTCTTGACAGGATCAAGTGTCTTTCCTTATTGAGGAACAGAAAATTGTTGTGAATGTGTTGAAAGTCCAAGAATAGAGTCAAAAACCTAAATAAAGGGGGCCATGGGTGGCTTGGTCGGTTAAGGATCCGACTCTTGATTTCAGCTCAAGTCTCGATCTCAGTGTCATGAGTTTAAGAAGCCCTGGGTTGGGCTACAATACTAGGTGTGAAGCCTACTAAAAAACAAACAAAAAAACACAAGCTAAATAAAAAAATGATTCTTCTTTTGAGTAACAAAATCAAAAGGCAAAAGAAAAATATTTTAGAGAAGAAATACATTTGAACTAAAAAGGTAAGAGTATTACAGAATTCAAGTACATTTAATAGAACTCAAGGCAAAAGATGTCTTTCTGCAACCTAAATGCTAACTATGTATCTACAAATTTATATGTAGAAAATTTCTGTAAAAAAAATATCAAAATATAGCAGTGATAATTCTAATGGTGGAATTGTTCTATTTTTCTATATTAGATAAGGTTAAGCTTGTTAAATGTTAGTGGTAAAAATTACAAAGTAGGGGCAGCCTGGGTGGCTCAGCGGTTTAGCGCCGCCTTCAGCCCAGGATGTGATCCTGGAGACCCAGGATCGAGTCCCACATCAGGCTCCTTGCAGGGAGCCTGCTTCTCCCTCTGCCTGTGTCTCTGCCTCTCTCTGTGTGTCTCCCATGAATAAATAAATAAAATCTTAAAAAAAAAAATTACAAAGTATAATGGCTTTTAAGAAACTGCTAGTATTTTATGGAGTATTGTTTATGCAACACCTAAAGGAACTTATAATATCCAAGTTTATGTTACATATAAATACATTCATTATATGTTACAAATAACATATTAACAAAACATACATTATATGTTACATATAAATACATTGAAACCTGATATAACTCAGAACTGAAATGTCTTTTCTATGAAATCAGTTCTAAGAATACATAAACCTTTAGCCCTTTTTAGGGCTCTAATTGGACTTAATTCTTAGTGTTTAATTAGGCTCTTTGATTATTTCTCTTTTTTTAAAGATTTTATTTATTTATTCATAAGAGACACAAAGAGAGGCAGAGACATAGGCAGAGGGAGAAGCAGGCTCCCTGTGGGGAGTCCGATGCGGGACTGGATCCCAGGACCTCAGGATCACAACCTGAAGCTGAAGGCAGATGCTCAACCACCTAGCCACCCAGGCACCCCAGACTCTTTGATTATTTGAACTCTGCATTTTCAGTTGGCCAACAAAAATAACATGTTTCCATAAATTGTCCAGGGGTAGTTATGTATGCCCAGAATGTATATGTGTAGATGGCAGTTTTGTAAATACAAGAAGTCAAAAGTGTAATAAAATTAGATAGCTATAGATTATATGTGTTATCTTATCGTGATTACTTCAGATAGTAATTCCACTGTGAGGAAAGGATACATTTGTACTAATTGAAAAAATATAAGTTTCAATCTGACTTTTGCCTTGTACTCTTATTCAGCACATGTTTGTTCTTCGCGAGCGCCCTGAAACAGTGTTAATAGATCTCATTCAAAGGACAAAGGATGCAGTGAGAGAGCTGGACAATCTACAGTATCGAAAGATGAAGAAACTCCTTTTCCAGGAGGCACATAATGGACCAGCAGTAGAAGCACAGGAAGAAGAAGAGGTAATAACTTAGAAATGACTCACATTTTGAGCTCTGTTTCTTTATTGGCTTCTTTCCTTATACAACTTGTCTTACCACAAATGTTTTATATTAATGGTTCCCAGATTGTGTTTTCTTAACACTGGTCCTATAAGATCCCAGGTAGAAAAAAAAAGTTTTGCATTCTTTAAACCCAACCCCTTCGTAGCGCTTATTGGTATAGTAAAGTTCTGCAATCTTTTACTAAAGAAACCTGTTCAACTTTAATCTAGTCCTCATCAAATGTTTTGGATACTGAACCCTCTTTTGCCTTATTGTCGGATTCCGTGGGACATGCTTTTGGAAGCATTTGAAATTATAGACTGTGGAAATGGACAGTACTCATTCAGAAGTCTTTAGAATTACCAAGCATTATGCTCTGTCACCAGGGATACTTGATTCTTTTCAGTTCTGAATAATTTCATTCCATTTGCACAGTTCTAAAATACTCATTTTACAGATGAGTAAAGCAAAGCTCAGAGTAGTTAACTCATCATAGGTTCATTTAGGTTCAAATTCATGTATCTCTCACTCTCAAAGCAAAGTTCTTTCCATATTGCCTTTTAGGAAGTATGGAAGTTTAAGTTTGCAGTAGAAATGTTCCTCACAAGGAAATATACATTAGGAAAATATACATTTCCTCACAAGGAAATATACATTAGGAAATTAAGAAATATACTTTTCCTCACAAGGAAGTATACATTATTTTTGGAGCTTTTTTACTCTAAATATTTTCAGTTCTCTTTGCTCCTGTCAGAATTTATTGTTTTTCAGTAAGAGAGATCATTTTGCATTCTGAGACCTGGAGTAATAGTTACTTTTTTTTTTTTTTGATAGTGCTACATAATTAATGAACTATAAAATATAGGACTTATATATATAAATGTAAAGTTTTGGTGCTTTTGGTTTTGTTTTTTAGTTCATACAGTAAACATTAGAAAATTATTTTGAGGGTGCAGTCAGTTAAGCATGGACTCTTGTTTTTAGCTCAGGTCATGATCTCAGGATTGTGGGATCAAGCCTCGGCCTTGAACTCTGGTGTGGAAGGAACATCCTTGAGATTCCCTCTTTCCCTCTTCTGCCTCTCCCATCCTGCTTGCATGCACACACCAGCATACTCTCCCTCTTTACAAAAAACAACAACAACAACAACTAAAGGTGGTTATTTATAGGATTTAAAAAAGATTGAGGCTTGTTTTAACTATGGGAATTATTGAGAAATGAGCAGAATCTCTCTATATATACCACACATGAGATGTGTGGTAGAAATGGATTTCAAAAAAATGTCAAGCAATTTAGAGAAAATGTTATGCTTTGGAAATAACCAAGTGATGAACTGAATTTTTGACACAGGTGGTTGGAATTTTTGTTATTTATTTGTTGATCATTTTTATTTGTTTTTCAGTTGGTAAACTTCCTGGCCTTGACAAGTACAGGAAGTTTCTCACTAGACTTTTTGAGTTTCTTTCTAAAGACTGTGTACTAAGCAGTGTGATAAGTGATTATAATTAGCAATTTCAAAAGAGACAGATATTTTAACCTAATGCTCTTTTCCTTTAGGAACAAGATCATGGTGTTGGCCGAACAGGAACAGTGAATAGTGTTGGAAGTAATCAGTCTATTCCCAGTATGTCCATCAGTGCCAGTAGCCAAAGTAGTAGTGTTAACAGTCTTCCAGATGCCTCAGATGACAAGAGTGAGCTAGATATGATGGAGGGAGACCACACAGTGATGTCTAATAGTTCTGTTATCCATTTAAAACCTGTGAGTATTTGGATTTCAGTGAAAAAACTTTCAACTTTGGTAAATAATTTTCTTCAGCTGATTAGTTTAATTAGGAGATTGTCTTGGATGTTTCAGAAGTTTGGAACATTTTTAGGTAATTTATTTTAAAGTAGTAGGAGGCTTGTTTTCCTAGTATAATGTCTGCATTTGGGAAACTAATGTTTTGAAAATACTAAAAGAATATTTTTAAAATATCAGAAGAAAGAAATAAACACTACATAATATATAATTTGAGTTAATTTCATGAAAATAAAGTATTTAAAAGTAGGTATACACATTAAAGTCATGATAGTGGTTGTCTTTTAAAAGAAAGGGTTACAGTGGGTAATGATCAAAAGTGACTTGCACTGTCCATAATGTTTACATCTTTAAAATAAAACTAGGGCAGCCCTGGTGGCTCAGTGGTTTGGCGCCTGCCTTCAGCCCAGGGCATGACCCCAGGGTCCTGGGATCGAGTCCCACATTGGGCTCCCTGTGTGGAGCCTGCTTCTCCCTCTGCCTGTGTCTCTGCCTCTCTCTCTGTCTCTCCTGAATAAATAAATAAATAATATTTTTAAAAATAATAATAATGAAATAAATAAAATAAAATAAATAAAATAAAATAAAATAAAATAAAATAAAACTAATTGAGGATCCCTGGGTGGCTTAGCAGTTTGGCACCTGCCTTCGGCTCAGGTCGTGATCCTGGAATCCCAGGATCAAGTCCCGCATCAGGCTCCTGGCATGGAGCCTGCTTCTCCCTCTGCTTGTGTCTCTGTCTCTCTCTTTGTCTCTCTCTCTCTGTGTGTGTCTTTCATGAATAAATAAATAAAATCTTTTAAAAAATAAAATAAAACTAATTGCTAATAATTGTAAATTATTGGTTTAGGAAATAAGTACATTATTCTTTACACTCTGAATACAGAATTTTTAATTTTCTTGAAAACATTTTGAGAGGTAACTTGTTTTTAGCAATAGGAATACTTCCTTTTTAACTTCACAGCTTACAGTATTACCTAAAAATTTTTTAGGCACAGGAGCTAAAAGGTAGAACTAACCCAAGTGTTCATCAAGAGATAAATAGATAGATAAACCATAGTATATATATACAGTGGAATATTACCCAGTTATGAAAAAGAATGAAATTTTGATACATGCTATAACTTGAGTGATAATAAGCTGGATGCAAGAAGACAAATATTGCATAATTCCACTTTTATGAAATTTCTAGAATAGGCAGTTCATAAACACGCAAAGTAGATTAGTGGTTACCAGGGACTGAGTAGAGTATAAAATGAAGAGTTTTGGTTAACAGATACAATTTCCATTTGGGTGATGGAAAAGTTTTGGAAATGGCGGTGGTTGCACAAGATTGGGAATATAATTAATGCCACTGAATTGTACATTTAAAAATGGTTGAACTAAAAAATAAAAAAATAAAAAAAAATAAAAATGGTTGAACTGGCAAATTATATATATATTTTACTACACAAACACACACAAAAAGTGATTAAGAATGATTTAGTTATGGGACTCATGGGTGGCTCCGTGGTTGAATGTCTGCCATTGGCTCAGGTCATGATTCCAGGGTCCCAGGATAGAGTCCCACATCAGGCTTCCTGTGGGGAGCTTCCCTCTCCCTTTGCCAATGTCTCTGTCTCTCTCTCTGTGTTTCTTATGAATAAATAAAATCTTAAAAAAAAAAAAAAGAATGACTTAGTTATGTAGTAGTGTTCTTCAGGGCAAAATCATGTTTAATTTTCACATACTTAGGCAATAGAATCAAGAGTAACAAAGATTTTTCCCACAATTAGTTGGTTGCTGCTTAATTGACTTCCTCTTCAGTTAATAAACTAAGGCATATATAAGGAAAGACATCGTTCTTAAAATTTCTACAGTTATTTTTTGGTTACTTACTTCGGACAATGGCAGAAGTATTATAAATGTATTTTTTAAGATATATTATTGCTGGAAATCCCTGTGTGGCTCAGCGGTTTAGTGCCGCCTTCGGCCCAGGGTGTGATCCTGGAGACCTAGGATCGAGTCCCATGTTGGGTTCTCTGCATGGAGCCTACTTCTCCCTCTGCCTGTGTCTCTGCCTCTCTCTCTGTGTCTTTCATGAATAAATAAATAAAATCTTTAAAAAAAAAGAAAAGATATATTATTGCTTTGAAAACCCAAGAGCCAAAAAATAAAAATAAAAATAAAAACCAAGAGCCTTAGAATAATTCATTTTTTCCTGCTTTTTAAAACAACTAATCCTTTTTATTTTCTGTATAATAAGTAGGATATAAATCTAACCTCATACATTTCCTGATCCTAAATCTGTTGTACTGTTGTATACTCTGAGAGAATAATGTTTCCCGATTCTAATTATGTTGAAAATAAAATGTCAGCATTCATAATTTTTGTTTTTTGCTTTTTAAAATTATGTCTTTAAGATAAATTGGACAAGTTATCTTTAAATTTTCTTGAAACCTCAAGTGAACTGTATTTGTTCACCTGAAATAGTATTGTTTCTTTCTTTGTCTAGGAGGAAGAAAATTACAGAGAAGAGGGAGATCCTAGAACAAGAGCATCGGATCCACAGTCTCCACCACAAGTGTCTCGTCATAAATCACACTATCGTAATCGAGAACACTTTGCTACTATACGGACGGCATCACTGGTATGTTCTTCCCCTGATCAGAAATACATTTTTTATTTTGAACTGTGGCACCTGTACTAAAGAATAACTGTATCTTATTTTTTTGTATTTGGGGTTTATTTTTCAAAATACTCATTTAACATTTACGTGCCTCTTATGAGAAAGATCTACATAATACTCTGAGAGATGTTAAACTAGTAATGTCTTCAAGACATATACAAATAACTAATGTGTTAGAATATATTAAATGCTTACGAGGGCTAGAAGGTACTAAATAGTAATTCAGATTACTTTTGATTTGAGGTATAAAGGAAATATTTATAAAACAAATTGTTTACGGATGCTTAGGTGGCTCAGTCACTTAAGCATCCCACTCTTGGTTTTGGCTCAGGTCATGATCTCATGGTCCTGAGATCAAGCCCCAAGTGGAGCTCTGCGCTTAGCACAGAGTCTGCCTGAGATTCTTTCCCTTCCCTCTCCCTTCCTCTCTGCTCACACATGCTCGCTCGATTTCTCTCTCAAATAAATATAGAGATAGATAGATACATAAATACATAGGTATATAGATAGAATCAATCCTTTAAAAAATAATAAGAAATAAAACAAATTGAACTTTAATAGTTTGTTGATTTTAAGCTTAGAGAGGAAGAAAAAATGTTATTTCTAAGAATTAACAGTAAAGAAATACTAAAGCTAACCAAAATGAGGGGAAATGTTCCGGAAATGGCAAGTAATTCAATTTAGTGTATTCAAAGTATAGTTCTTCTGATTTCCCAAATAATAATGAAAGTGGATTACGGGGGCAGCCCGGTTTAGCACCACCTTTAGCCCAGGGCCTGATTCTGGAGATCCAGGATCGAGTCCCACGTCGGGGCTCCCTGCACGGAGCCTGCTTCTCCCTCTGCCTGTGTCTCTGCCTCTCTCTCTCTCTCTCTCTCTCTCTGTTTCTCATGAATAAATAAATAAAATCTTTAAAAAAAAAAAGTGGATTATAAATGATGCCCTATTTGCTCAGTCAGTAGAACATGTGACCCTTGATCTTAGGGATGTAAGTTAGAACCCCACATTGGGTATGAGAGATTACTATTTAAAAATGGATCGTGTGTCCTTTACAAGGATATTGTTTTAGTAGGCTACTTATTATCCTAATCAATCAGATAAGTAGGACCAAAACATGATAAAGAATACTAGGGATAAAAAGAAATTAAGATATCCTAGGAAAAGCAGGCTGTTAGAAAATCTAACAGGAAGTATAAAAGATATATCTGAGAGAAAAGTTATCTGAGTTTATCAACTACATAAGCAGATTTTATAAATCCCATGCAATGGCCCATAAATCTGTATGACATGGAGTCAAGAATGTCATCCTCCATCCTGAGGAATCAAGTCATTCTTGCTATTCTGTAACATGTAAATAACTTTTTGAACAGAGCAAGTAGCAAAGATTGCTTGACTTTTTTTTTTCTCATGACTATTTTAATAAATACCGAGAGAGGTATTACCTAAAGAGAGGCTAATTCGTGTGATTTTGTGACTTGGTATATATTAAATGTTTCTCAAACAAATTCTGTCCCAGTTTCTGGCTCCTTCAAATTAATTAGGGACACACTTTTTTTTTTTTCCTGGAGTATAGTTACCATACAATGTTATATTAATGTCAGTGTACAACATAGTAATTTGACAGTTATATGCATTACTCAGTGCTCACCACAATAAGGATAGTCACCATCTGTCACCATACAATGCTATTCACATTATTGACTATTTTCCCTGTGTATACTTTTCATCTCCATAACTTATTTATTTTATAACTGGAAGTTTATACCTCTTAATCCCTATCACTTATTTCACCCATCCCGCCATCCACTGGTTTGTTTTGTGTATTTTAAGTCTGTTTTTTTTTTTTTCTTAAAAAGATTTTATTTATTTATTTATTGGGGAGAGAGAGAGAAAAATAAAAAAGGGAAAGAGGGAGACTCTAAGGCGGACTCCATGCAGAGTGTGGCCTGATGTGGGGCTCGATTCCAGGACCCCAAAATCATGATCTGAGCTGAAACCAAGAGTCAGATGCTTACCTGAACATGCCTGCCACCCAAGTGCTTCAAGAGTCTGTTGGTTTTTGTTTATTTGTTCATTTGTTTTCTGGATTCTACATGTAAGTGAAATCATATGGTACTTTTCTTTCTTTGATTTATTTCACTTAGTATAATACCCTCTAAGTTTATCCATGTTGTTGCAAATGCCAAGATCTTCTTTTCTATGGCTAATATTCCATTTTGTATGTAATATACCACATGTGCTTTATCCATTCATTTATTGGTGGACACTTGGTTGTTTCCATATCGTGACTATTGTAAATACTACTGCAATGAACATAGGGGTGTTTTTAACATCTTTTTAAATTGATATTTTCTATTTCTTTTTTCTTTCTTTCTTTTCTTTCTTTTCTTTTCTTTTCTTTTCTTTTCTTTTCTTTTCTTTCTTTCTTTTCTTTTTCTTTTTTTAAGAGATAGTGTGAGGGGAGGGTCACAGGGAAGAGGGAAAGGAACTTAAGGCTTTTCTGGCCAGTGCAGAGCCCAGTGCAGGGTTTGATCTCAAATCTTGAGATCATGACCTGAGCCGAAATGAAGAGTTGGATGCTTACCCAACAGAACTTTTCTATTTCTCAGAGTTTTCTCCCCAGAGAGAACCCAGAGGGTCCCCCCCCTTGGGTAAATAATAGTGGAATTAATGGAACATAGGGTGTTTGTATTTTTTAATTTTTTAAGAACCTCCATACTGTTTCCCACAGTGGGATCATGACCTGAGCTGAAGGCAGATGCTTATCCAGCTGAGCCACCCTGGCACCTCAGATGTTCATCTTTTTAATATTGATTTGTAGATGTTCTTTATAAAACCTGTTTATGGGGGGCAGCCCCGGTGGCGCAGCAGTTTAGCGCTGCTTGCAGCCCAGGGTGTGATCCTGGAGACCCTGGATCGAGTCCTACGTCAGGCTCTCTGCATGGAGCCTGCTTCTCCCTCTGCCTGAGTCTCTGCCTCACTCTCTCTACATCTCTATGAATAAATAAATAAAATCTAAAAAAAAAAAATCTGTTTATGGTATTATATCTCATATATGTCTTGCCAATATTTTTTTCTTCATCTGTAATTTACCTGTTGTTTTTCCTAGATGATGAGAAATTAAAATTTTTTAGTTTTAAAATCAATTATAATAATCCAATTAAAAAATTGATAAAGGAGGGGCACCAACCAACTGGGTGGTGCAACTGGTTAAGCAACCAATTCTTAGTTTCAGCTCAAGTCATGATTTCAAAGCAGTGAGATTGAGCCCTGTCTTGTGCTCCCTGCTCAGTGCTGATTCTGCTTAGAATTCTTCCTCTCCCTCTGCCCCTCCTCACTACGTGCTCTCTCACTCTATCTCTCCACCCCCCCCAAAACAAAGTTTTTTTTTTTTTTTTTAATGCATAAAACGGGGTGCCTGGCTGGCTCAGTTAATTGTCTGACTCTTGATTTCAGCTCAGGTCATGATCTCAGGGTTGTAACGTGAGATCAAGCCCCAAGTCAGGCTCACACTGGGTGTGGAACCTGCTTAAGATTCTCTCTCCACACCTCCTCCCTTAAAAAAATGAATAAAGGTCTTGAAATAGACATTTCTCCAAAAAAAGTATACAAATGGCCAATTAGTTATTAGGGAAATGCAAATCAAAACCACAATGAGGGACTACCTCATACCCACTAGGATGCCTTTTTAAAAAAAGAAAAATAGGGACACCTGGGTGGCTCAGTGGTTAAGCATCTACCTTTGGCTCAGGTTGTGATCCCAGGGTTCTGGGATCAAGTCCTGCATCGGGTTCCCTTCAGGGAGCCTGCTTCTCCCTCTGCCTGTGTCTCTGCCTCTGTCTCTGTGTCTCTCATGAATAATTAAATAAAATTTTTCAAAATAAACAAAGATAAAAAGAAAGAAAAATAGTTACCAGAGAGCATACAGAGAAAATAGAACTCTTCTTGTATGTTTCTGGTAATATGTATGTAATAAGAGTGTAATTGTGTATATGTAATACAATTGTAATATGATTCAGTTTCTGTGGAAAATAGTTGACAGTTCCTCAGAAAATTAAACATAGAATTATCATATGACTCAGCAATTCTGTTCTTACATATATACCCAAAGAATCAAAAACTGGTATTCAAACAAGTACATGTACACACATATACATAATAGCACTATTCACAATAGCCACATCCATCAGCAGATGAATGATAAATTATGGTATATGTGTACAATAGAATATTATTCAGCTATAAAAAAGGAATGAAACACTGATACATGCTTACAACATGGATGAACCTTGAAAACATGCTAAATGAAGGAAGGAAGCCAGGCATAAAAGTTATATATTATATGACTATATGAAGTATCCAAAATAGATATGACTCCATAGAGATAGAAAATAAATTGGTCTCTTCCCAGGAGAGACTGGGGATTTTCTTCTAAAATGATAAAAATGTTTTGTAACTAGATAAATATGGTACTTGTATACCATTGTGAATATACTCACTACTATTGAGTTGTTCACTTTGAAATGATTAATTTGGGATTTCTGGGTGGCTCAGTCAGTTAAGAGTCAGACTCTTTCAGCTCAGGTCATGCTCCCAGAGTCCTGGGATCCCACCCCCACATTGGGCTCTGCACTTAGCAGAGTCTACTTGAGGATTCTCTTCCTCTCTCTTTGCCCTTCCCTACACTTGCTCACACACTTGTGTATGCTTTCTCTAAGGTAAATAAATAAATATTTTTTTAAAATGATTAATTTTTAGGGGCACCTGGCTGGCTCAGTTGGAAAAGCATGTGACTCATGATCTTGGGGTTGTAAGTTTATGCCTCACATTGGAGGTAGAGATTATTTAAATAAATAAAATTTCAAAAAATATCAAATGACTGAATTCATATATTTATATATATATATATTTAAATATTTTATTTATTTATTCATGAGAGACAGAGAGAGAGAGGCAGAGACAGAGGAAGAAGCAGGATCCACGCAGGGAGCCCAATGCGGGACTTGATCCCGGGTCTCCAGGATCATGCCCTGGGCTGAAGGCAGATGCCCAACCGCTGAGCGACCCAGGCGTCCCATGACTAAATTCATATTATGTGAATTTTAGCTCTTTTTAAGAATCTAGTTTATACATTCTTTCTGCCAAATTTTTATTTAAATTCTAGTTGGTTAACATATAGCATAATATTGATTTCAGGAATAGAATTTAGTGTAGTGCTTGGATGACTCAGTTGGTTGGACATCTGCCTTGGGCTTGAGTCGTGATCCTGGGTTCAAGCCCCACGTCAGGCTTCCTGCTTGGTGGGAAGCCTGCTTCTCTCTTTCCTCTCTGCTCGTGCTTTCTCTTGCTACCTCTGTCTCTGTCTCTCTCAAATAAATAAATGGAATCTTTTTTTTTAAAAAAAAGTAGAATTTAGTGATTCATCACTTAAATATAACACCCAGTACTCATCATAACAAATGCCCTCCTTAATCCTCATCACCCACTTAGCCTGTCTCCCAATCACATCTCTCCATCAACCCTTAGTTTGTTCTCTGTAAAGAGTCTCTTATGGTTTGCCTCCCCTTCTCTCTTATTTCCCTTCCCATATGTTCATCTGTTTTGTTTCGTAAATTGCACATAGGATTGAAACCATACAGTGCTTGTCTTTTTGACTTATTTTGCTTAGCATAATACACTTTAGCTCAATCCACATTGTTGGGAATGGCAAGGCTTCATTATTTTTGATGGCTGAGTAGTATCCCTGTGTGTGTGTGTTTGTGTGTGTGTGTGTGTGTCTATGTGTCTGTGTGTATATCATGTCATCTTTAACCATTCATAAGTCGATGGACGTTTAGGCTCTTTCCATAGTTTGGCTATTAAATTTTTTTCTTTATAGCCAGTGCCTTTTGTGTCCACCAGGAAATATTTGCTTACCCCAAGATTTTGATGGTAGTCCATGTCTTCTTTTGCTTTATGATTCTGAGTTTTATGTTTCGGTCAGATGATTCTTTTCAAATTAATTTTTGAATAGAGTGATACTGGAGTTAAGGTTTATTTTTTATACAGGGAACCAGTTGTTTCAGCAGGATTTGGTAAAAAACTACTTTCCTTTTTTAAATTTTTTTCCTTTTTTTAATTGACCTGAGTTTTTGGTAGAAAATCCAGGTGACTGAGTATATGTGGGTCTGTTTCTCAATTTTATTCAATTCCTTTTATCTAGTCAATCTGTCCTTAACACCAATACTGAACTGTTTTGATTGCTAAAGTGTATGTCTTCCAACATTTTTTTCTCCTCAAGATTGTTTTGGACCTTCTTGGCCCTTTACATTCCCACATAAATTTTAGAATCAAGTTGTTTATTTCCTCAAAAGACCTGCTGGAAATTTAATTGAAAAATACTAACTGGAATCTCTTAAATTAATTGCCTGCTTTGTTAATAACAGAGTGGTCTAAAATGCTTTTGAAAGAAATGTTTTGCTTTATTTTGTTCTTTTCTGTCAATCATTTGTATGTCTAGGTTACAAGGCAAATGCAAGAACATGAGCAGGACTCTGAGCTTAGAGAACAGATGTCTGGCTATAAGAGAATGAGGCGGCAACATCAAAAGCAATTGATGACTCTGGAAAATAAGCTAAAGGCTGAGATGGATGAACATCGCCTCAGATTAGACAAAGATCTTGAAACTCAGCGTAACAATTTTGCTGCAGAAATGGAGAAACTTATCAAGAAACATCAGGCTGCTATGGAAAAAGAGGTAGCTGTTTCACTATTATTTGTTCTAGCTTGTGACCATCCCAGAATTAACCAAGATAACATATTGATGTTAGAGTATCTCTTTCCCAGAACCAAGCAAATCAATTGGAAAAACATTTACTTAACATGTATAATACCAAGTACTGGGTCTGGGAACCAATAGACATGGAATTTATAGTGTCACAGTGGGTAAGTCAATCATCTGTTCTGGCCTCAGGTACTCTGGTTATCTGAAGAGTTTGATAAATCACCCATTAGTAACTTGGTTCAGATCTCAAAATATCACTTGTGATTCCTTTCTCTGTATATTTTTTGGAAACTGTCCTTAAATTTATAGTGGCATTCTTATATCAGAGAATAATTAAAGATTATATATAGAGGGAATGTTAGAGATTACAAATTATTCATATTAAGGTTTAGCCCATTTGTTTATTTACAGATAAGAGTCATTCTACTAAATGATAAAAGCAAATTTTTTTAGTATTCTTATTCTCTGAAACCTTTTCTTATTAAGGTTTTTGATGTCCCATCAGTTTCATTTTATTTTGATAATCATTTCTGTCAAGTAAAATGTAAACTTCTCAGTAAGTTTACAGGATATCTTCAAATATGCCTGGCTAGTTCCACATTGAGGCATTAATTCATGGCTATCCTGTTCACCATTCCCCCCTAAAAGAACCATTCTCTTATAATAGTAGAGAATTTAACAAAATAATTTATTGTATAAACATTTGATTTTGAAATAATTTGGTGAAAGAATTATCCTGTTGGTCATTGAATAGTATTTTTTAATAACTTAGGAAAAGGTAGATGGTAGCATATTTAGGAAAGCAATTCATGAAATGAGATGTAGAATGTGGTTAGAATTCTGTTTTAAAAATATATATGCAAAACATATATATATATAAAATAAAAAATAAAAAATATATTTGCATGGAAAAAATTAGAAGGGCATATACCAAAATGTTTATATTGGTTATCTCTGGGTGCTAAAATCGTGTAATATTTTCCTTCTTTGTGTTTTTCTATACTTCCTAAATGTTGTACAATGATACGTGTTGCATATATCATCAGAACTAAGGAGTGCCTGGCTTGGCAAGTGTTGGAATTATGACTCATGATCTTGGGGTTGTAAGTTTAAGCCCCATGTTGGGTGTAGAAATTACTTAAAAATAAAATCTTAAAAAAGAAATTCAGTATGATACATATGTCTAACATTCAATATTTCCATATCAATATATAAATAAAAGGTCAAATTTTAATTTAAAGATGAACATATTACATTATTTTGTATACAAATCAACAAAGATAAGAAGTCATGTTCGAATTATATTTGTAGATAAATGTGTGTTTGGTTTTTTATTGGAGGGAGGACATACTCCTATTAGGTGGAAAAGAAAAAAAAGGTGAAAGCATTCTGACCCTGTACAAGATCAACATTTTAAAGACAGGTGGCTCAGTGGTTTGGCGCCACCCTTGGCCCAGGGCGTGATCCTGGAGATCCGGGATCGAGTCCCGCGTCGGGCTCCCTGCATGGAGCCTGCTTCTCCCTCTGCCTGTGCCTCTCTCTCTCTCTTCTGTCTCTCATGAATAAGTGAATAAAATCTTGAAAAAAAAATTTTAAAGACAAGTTCCATTTTATTGGTTCTCTGAAATTCAAGTAAGGATGCTAAGTACTTCAGAAACGAGTATTGCACGTGTTAACTGCCAAAAATTTAAATAAAAATTAAAAATAAATAAAAATTTTAAAGGATGCTGAGTAACAAGTATAAATAATTTGTTGGATATTCTCTTTTTGGTAATACTTATATTCATTTTCTGTTCATGGGGAAAAATATTATCCTTGGTAATGTGTATTAAACTGCTGCTTTAAATCTATCAACCTAACTAATTTGGTCCTTTTTTAACTTTTTCTATAGGCTAAAGTGATGGCCAATGAGGAGAAAAAATTTCAGCAACATATTCAGGCACAACAAAAGAAAGAACTAAACAGTTTTTTGGAGTCCCAGAAAAGAGAATATAAACTTCGAAAAGAACAGCTTAAGGAGGTATTTATTTTATAAACATTTTCTTTTCTTTTCTTTATTTATTCATAAGAAACACAGAGAGAGAGAGAGAGAGAGAGAGAGAGAGAGAGAGAGAGATTGAGAGAGAGGCAGAGACATAGGCAGAGGGAGAAGCAGACTCCATGCAGGGAGCCCATGTGGGACTCGATCCTGGGACTCCAGGATCATGCCCTGGGCCGAAGGCAGGTGCTAAACCACTGAGCCACCCAGGGATTCCCCAAGATAAATTTATCTTATGTTGTTTGTCACCATGAAATGTGTATCAGTTTGAATGAAGACATTATTATAATCAATAACTCTTCAATGGACTGAGATCCTCAATTGAGGAGCCCTAAAAAGAATCCTTTGAAAACATAAGTTATTTTATTTAAGGTAGCTTTCTTAAGCACCTATTTAGTAACTGACTGATTCGAAATAAAAATATGTGAGCTGTGGAAAAAAAGCCACACATTTCTTTCTTTTTTTTTTTCTTTTTTTTTTAATTATTTATTTATTTATTTATGATAGTTACACAGAGAGAGAGAGAGAGAGAGGCAGAGACATAGGCAGAGGGAGAAGCAGGCTCCATGCACCGGGAGCCCGATGTGAGATTCAATTCTGGGTCTCCAAGATCGCGCCCTGGGCCAAAGGCAGGCGCCAATCCGCTGCGCCACCCAGGGATCCCTACACACATTTCTTTCTTTAAAAATAAACCATTCCTTCCTGCATGGAGCCTGCTTCTCCCTCTGCCTGTGTCTCTGCCTCTCTGTGTGTGTGTGTCTCTCATGAATAAGTAAATAAAAAATCTTTAAAAATTTAAAAAATAAAGAATAAAAAATAAACCATTCCTAAAAAAATAAAAAACCATTCTTGGGCGGCCCCAGTGGCTCAGTGGTTTAGTGCCACCTTTGGCCCAGGGTGTGATCCTGGGGACCTGGGATCGAGTCCCAATTTGGGCTCCCTGCACTGGGCCTGCTTCTCCCTTTGCCTGTGTCTTTGCCTCTCTCTCTCTCTCCCTCTCTCTCTCTCTCTCTCTCTCTCTCTTTCTGTGTCTCTCATGAATAAATAAATAATACCTTAAAAAAATAAAAACAAATCATTCCTGGGGTGCCTGGGTGGCTCAGATGGTTGGTGTCTGACTCTTGCTTTCAGCTAGGATTGTGGTCTCAAGCTCCATGCTCAGCAGAGAGTCTGCATGAGATTCTCTCCCTCTGCCCCTTCCCCATTCACATGCACATTCTCTAAGATGAATAAATCCTTAAATAATTCTTTAGGTGTATAGTGCATGTGTGTGTGTGTGTGTGTGTGTGTGTGTGTGTGTGTGTGTTCATTCAAAAATAATGATTCTCAGTATAGAGGAAAGGACATAGTAGACTTTTGGTGGGGAAATTTCCTGGCAGAAGATTTTGAGAAAGGGGCACCTGGGTGGCTCAGTGGTTGAGTATCTGCTGTTGTCTCAGGTTGTGATCTGGGGTCCTGAGATTGAGTCCTGCATCAGGCTCCCTGCAGGGAGCCTGCTTCTCTTTCTGCCTATGTCTTTGCCTCTCTCTCTGTGTCTCTCATGAATAAATAAATAAAATCTTAAAAAAAATAGATTTTGAGAAAGACACCAGGTGATTCTCAAGAAACAAAACAGAGGATAACAGGGGAAGGGAAGGAAAAATAAAAGAAAATGAAATCAGAGGGAGATAAACCATGAGAGACACTTAAATACATGAAACAGAATTGCTGGAGGGAAAGGGAGGAGATTGGGGTAACTGGGTGATGGGCATTAATGAGGGAACATGATATAATGAGCGCAGGATGTTATTTGCAACTGATGAATTACTGAACTCCACATCTGAAATTAATGATGCCACTATTTGTTAACTGAATTTATAAGTAAAAAAAAAAAAATACCAGGTGATTCTCTGTGTGCCTGTATTACTCATGTCTCTTTCTGTAGTGTGTGTACATATACACCCTTATTTGAGAACTACTAATTTATCTGCTTTTTATTTTTATCTGTTTGAATATCTTATGAATTTAAGTTATAAAGAATTGGTCTCAAAAAAAAAAAAAAGAATTGGTCTCTTTCTTGAATAACAGGAAGGACCATAAGGTTAGTATCTCTGAAAAATCTATTTAGACTTAGGAAAGATGACTGATTTGTATTCTCTGCAATATTGATGGCTTTTTATGGGTTGAAAATATACTAGTGGGATCTCTGGGTGGCTCAGCAGTTTAGTTCCTGCTTTCAGCCCAGGGCATGATCCTGGAGTCCCGGGATTGAGTCCCACATCGGGCTCCCTGCATGGAACCCACTTCTCCCTCTGCCTGTGTCTCTCCCTCCCTCCCTCTCTCTCTCTCTGTCTCTAATGAATAAATAAAGTCTTAAAAAAAAAAAAGAAAATATACTAGTATTAATTTAACATCCTAGAGTTTGCCTGGGTATATGATGAATGTTTTCATCTTGCCCAATACAAACATGTTTTCATGTAGATAGTTATTGAGATGATACTTAAAATGCTATAGAAAAGCATTGTTTTTTATTTGTTCATGGTTATTAATGCTTAGTATTAAATACCACTTCTAAAAAAGGTCTCTATTCTCCCATGGTTTTGTCGATTTTCCATTTAATTTCCAAGTCTTTTGGGACGCCTGGGTGGCTCAGTGTTTGTCTGCCTTCGGCTCAGGTTGTGATCCTATGGTCCTGGGATCAAGTCCTGCATCAGACTTTCCCTAGGGAGTCTGCTTTTCCCTCTGCCTGTTTCTGCCTCTCTTTGTCTCTCTATGAATAAATAAATAAAATATTTTTAAAATAATAATTTCCAAGACTTTTATATTGAGTACATCCATAATCTTGCCAAAAGCTTGATTTTTAGAATGCTAAAAACCAAGTGAGACATAACTGTATTTTATTTTTACTTTTTTATTTTTATTTTTTTAAGATTTATTTATTTATTCATGATAGACAGAGAGAGAGGCAGAGACACAGACAGAGGGAGAAGCAGGCTCCATTGCCGGGAGCCCGACACAGGACTCGATCCCAGGACCCCAGGATTGCGCCCTGGGCCAAAGGCAGACGCTAAACTGCTGAGCCACCCAGGGATCCCCCCATAACTGTATTTTAGCCTTAATTTTAATTTATATATGATTTCTACCGAAAACACTATCTCTGTCTCTTCTTGGGAATGATTTAAAGAAAGATGTTTTACTTCATTTACTTCATTATGTATTTTTGAATCATCATAAGTGTAACTGTGCAAAGCCAAAAGGTATGCATGTTTTCTAATGTACTTTTATCTTTCCCTGTCCTAATTCACTGGTAACTCAAGAAGAAGGAAACTATTACCTGCCTCCTGAAGGTCAGTGCCCTGCCTGAGCACTAGAGAGGATACAAGTTAAATAACGTGTTTTAAATTTACCAGCTACCGGGCAGTCCCAGTGGCGCAGCGGTTTAGCGCCGCCTGCAGCCCAGGGCGTGATCCTGGAGACCTTGGATCAAGTCCCACATCAGGCTCTCTGTATGATGCCTGCTTCTCTCTCTGCCTGTGTCTCTGCCTCTCTCTCTCTCTATGAATAAATAAATAAAATCTTAAAAAAAAAAAACCCTCTTTAAATAAATAAATAAATAAATAAATAAATAAATAAATAAATAAATAAATAAATAAATTTACCAGCTACCAAATTTTACAGTAACTGTATTCATGTAGTCAATTTTTATGTATTTTAAACTGAGTTTTTATTTTGCTAGGAACTGAATGAAAACCAGAGCACCCCCAAAAAAGAAAAACAAGAGTGGCTTTCAAAGCAGAAGGAGAATATACAGCATTTCCAAGCAGAGGAAGAGGCTAATCTTCTTCGACGACAAAGGCAATACCTAGAGCTAGAATGCCGTCGCTTCAAGAGAAGAATGTTACTTGGACGCCATAACTTGGAGCAAGACCTTGTCAGGGAGGTATGTTTGACAATGGTGTGATATCAGAAGTAGGTCTGCTACATCCCAGTTGCAAGGCCTTTGCACTCATAATTCCCTTGGCCTAACTTTTTCTTTCCCAGATATTCAATCCACATGGCTTGCTTTCTCATTTTATTCTTCTTTCTACTTCTTTCTTTTACACATACACACTTTCTGGGGGAAGTCTCTCTCCCCAGCTAGAATGGAAATTATATGAAGCCACAGGTTTTATTCAGGTCTTTGTATCTCTAGTATCTGGCCCATAGTTGGATATAATATTAATATTTATTTAATAAATATTAAATCATGAATAATGAAGGAAGTATTAATTTTTAAATATGAGAAAATTAATTGGATAATTTATGCCTTCTGATCTGAAGTGAGTGCCATGAATTGTGTGTTACCATTTAACATTGTTATAATCATGTAATTATTAACTAGGCAAATGTGGAAACTCTCATCACAATGAAAATGATTATTTTTATTATCAGGGACACCTATGAACATAGATAAATTTACTTCCAAGGTGGCATAAAATAAGCTTTAAATATAGCACAACTGTTCAAATTCAGTAATAATTATTAGAATTTCGAGTTAAAACAGTTGTATCAATTAGATAAGAATAATTTAAAAGGCTGGTAACATGGAGAGTTGGGCAGTGTTGATAAGTATAAACTAATACTGCCTCTTTGGAGCATAATTCAGCAATAGCTTTTTTATTTATTTATTTTTAGAGAGAGCATGAGGAGGGTAGGAGCAGAGGGAGAGATAGTAAGACAATCTCAAGCAGGCTTCACACCCAGTGCAGAGCCCAACCCAGACTTGATCTCACGACCCCGATCAGGATCATGACCTGAGCTGAAATCAAAAGTCGGAGGCTTAACTGAGCCACCCAGGTGCCCCCAGTGGTAGCTTGTAAAATTTAATATACACCTATATTTTTACCCACCAAATCCACTTCTGGAACTGTATCTTAAAGAAATAATAATATGATTATATGATGCATCATGCATGAGTATTGCCTGAAAATTTACTTAAAGCAAAAGAATGGAAAAATTATAGAATTGTAAAGCAGAAGCTTACTATTGAAACTTAAAAAGTCCTTTATGTACTGATCTGGTTGGAATATATGTCCATTATATTTTTAGTTGAAGAAAGCATATTACATGCCTATAACATATATTGGTATTCAGTATTAAAACTGTATGTTTTGTATAATAGACGTGTCACAATAAGCATGGGGGTAATTTTGGGAAGCTTTTGCACCAGACTGTTGGCCTCTGGAGAAATAGTTTGCAGAGGCAAAGGAGGCAACTTTGATTTTGACTGTGGGGAGTGGGGGGTGTACACTTGTTGTTTGTTTGTTTTTTTTTTCACTTGTTCTTTTTAATCTGAAAAAAATGTATCAAGCATGATGTGCTCAGTATTATTCTGAGTGAGGCCTATTTATGAACTTATTTCATCCTCACATTATATCTATGAAATAACTATATTATCTCCATTTGAAAAGTGATGAAGCTGAAGCAGAGAGTTTAGTTTTTAATTTAATATGATCTTTTTTTTAAAAAAGATATATTCATTTATTCATGAGAGACAGAGAGAGAGAGAGAGGCAGGCAGAGACACAGGCAGAGGGAGAAGCAGTCTCCCCACCGGGAGCCCAATGAGGAACTCTATCTCAGATCCCGAGATCACAACCTGAGCTGAGGGCAGGCACCCAACCACTGAGCCCACCCAGGCATCCCTAATTTAATCTTTTTAAAAGATTTTATTTATTTATTTGTCTGTTTGTTTGTTTATATTTATGAGAGACACAGGCAGAGAAATAGGCAGAGGGAGAAGGAGGCTCCCTGTGGGGAGCCTGATGCAAGACTCGATCTCAGGACCCCACAATCATGACCTGAGACAAAGGCAGATGCTCACCCACTGAGCCACCTAGATGCCCCTGAAGCAGAGTTTAAATGACTCACCCAAGGATTTGCTGCTCATAAACAGCAGAGCTAGGATTTAGAATACAGACAGCCTCAGGGCACTTGGGTGGCACAGTCAGTTAAGCATCTGACTCTTGATTTCAGCTCAGGTTGTAATCTCAAGGTTATGAGATCAAGCCCCAAGAAGGCTTCATGCTTATCTCGGAGTCTACTTGGGACACTCTCTCCTCCCTCTCCCCCTCCTCCCTGCACGGATGCACTCTCTCTCTCTTTCTCTGTCTCTTTCACAAATAACTAAGTCTTTAAAAAAAAAATAGAATACAGGCAGCCTAGCTCTACAGTCTATGTTCTTAACCACTACACTATATTGGGTATGCTCCTCGTAATATACTCTTAAAAAATTCAAAGGATGACTTTGAACCCTCTTCAAATATAAAAGTAGGAAACAAGAAAGAAAGGAAAGAGGGAAGGACAGTAACCTCTCGAGATAGATTTGATAGCTTTTAAGGTTTTTGCATAAAGCAGTGTTAGTGAATAGTAAATGAACAGGATTTGTGCTAATTGTTGATTTACTACAATAAATATTATGAAACTCTCATACTTACTATGTAGTCATTATTGAATCAGAGAATTACATCTATTTCCTGGTTATTCTGTTTCTTAGGATTTTTTTTCCTGGCATCATACAACAGTATTATTCCTTTGTCTTTTGTGTTATGGATTAGGAGTTAAATAAAAGGCAGACTCAAAAGGACTTAGAACATGCCATGCTACTGCGACAGCATGAATCCATGCAAGAACTGGAGTTCCGTCACCTCAATACAATTCAGAAGATGCGCTGTGAGTTGATCAGATTACAGCATCAAACTGAGCTGACAAACCAGCTGGAATATAACAAGCGAAGAGAACGAGAACTAAGGCGAAAGCATGTCATGGAGGTTCGACAACAGCCTAAGAGTCTGAAGGTACCTTTAACCTAAAGTTCTTGATAAAAAGGAAGAGATAAAAGGCATTCATGTAAACAGTAAAGGTCTAAGACAGAGGTCTGACATAAAATGAATAGACTTTTTTCTTTTCATTTTAAGAATATTTGGTTAGTTTTAATGTGGAGTGTCCATAGCTGTAGACTTTTTGCTTATGTATTTCTCAGCAGGAAAACTTTTAACTGTGAGATGTGCCATAAATAAGAATCAGAATTCTTATTTTAAATGTACCCAAATGTCCAATGCTGATATTACAGTTAACATGTCAACATGCTAACCTGTAGTCTTCTCTCTGCTGTTCCAAGTAATATTAGCACATCAGAGTAGAGCAAGCTGTTATATAGCCTTCCCTCACAAAAAGAAGTAAAGACAAGTATTGGTGATATATAATACCAAAGGACTTTATATTTTATACTTACTTTGAATACAGGAATTCATTTACATAGTATGAAATTTGAAAGATACCAAAGTGTATTCTGAAGATTTCCCTCTTCCCTTGTCTCTCTAGCCAGTTGGTCTAGCCCAGAGTCAACCAGAGCAATTCCAGGAGGTTTTCAAATTTTATAACTTGTAATAAATATTTGAATGAATACAATCACATTAATCTTAGTGAATAAAAGCAAAACCATCCACTGCATAGGCTGTAGTTTGGTACCTCAATTAATTTGTTTATGTCTGCAAACTTTAAACATTTATTTACATCCAATAAGGCCCATATCCCACAGTATTTCCTTTTTAAACTTTACGGCTTTTGGGCAGCCCTGGTGGCACAGCGGTTTAGTGCCACCTTCAGCCCAGGGTGTGATCCTGGAGACCCGGGATCGAGTCCCACATCAGGCTCCCTGCATGGAGCCTGCTTCTCCCTCTCTGCCTCTCTCCCTCTCTCGCTCATGAATCAATAAATAAAATATTTTAAAAAAAAACCCTAAATGTTAAATAAGTAAATAAACTTTACGGCTTTTATTTGATAATTTAACCATAAAACTGTTCTTTGGGCAGCCCCAGTGGCCCAGCAGTTTAGCACTGCCTTCGGCCCGGGGTGTGATCCTGGAGACCCAGGATCGAGTCCCATGTCGGGCTCCCTGCATGGAGCCTGCTTCTCCCTCTGCCTGTGTCTCTGCCTCTCTCTGTGTGTGTGTGTCTTTCTCATGAGTAAATAAATAAAATCTTTAAAAAATAAAAATAAAAATAAAAATAAAATAAAATAAAATTGTTCTTTGTCTTTAACTGTCCTGAACTGAAGTGAAATTCATTAACAGGGGTAATCTGTGTTAAAATCTAGAATCTATACTGTATCCAATTGTAACTCTGATTCCCATGCAACTCCATTCTAATAGACTATCTTGAATGAAATATAGAAGCAAAATTAAGATGGTTTACCCTTTACTTGTGAACTGGGGTAAAATTTTACTTTGTTATATCTTCAAAATAATTAGCATCATTTAGATTAGCTTATGTTGACTCCCCATGTAACTTTCATTAGTCATTGCTTAGAAAAATTGGAATTATAATGATTTTTCAGATTTATTTTGTCTTTGTAATGAAGAAAATATATACTCTTGTGGCTACAGAACAATTTCCCACCAAAAGATTTTTTAAACATGTCTGTAAGATTAATTATTGTTATAAAGTCAACAGTACCCAGAAGTAAACCAAACTGAAAGCTTGTTAGTTTTCTATAGTCATACCATAAATCTAGTATGATTGTATTTCTCTAAGACTTGAAATAGGTGGTTGTTTGATGTTTAAGCCTTCCTTTCTGTTTCCTCTTGTTGGAACCTTTTTGGTTTGAAAGCTTGTAAACACTGTATTTAATTTATGCAGATACTATACAAAAAGCGAGGAGAGCAATAATATCTCGCAATCATACTCAGACTTTAAATGATTTAGAATGCCTCCTTTGATGACCAGTGATCTCAAGATTTTCCATAAAGGAAATTGTTCTGTTACTTTTGTAGGGAAGAAAATCATGATGTTCCTCTGAATTATGTATATCCGTCTCCTTGCTTAAAGAAAATAGTCTATATTTTAACTCCCAAGTCATCCCATTTTTATTTGCTTAAGTCTTAATAGTTGTGTCTTCCAACTTCCTTCAAGACTTTAATGGGGGGATCCCTGGGTGGCGCAGCGGTTCGGCGCCTGCCTTTGGCCCAGGGCGCGATCCTGGAGACCCAGGGTTGAATCCCACATCGGGCTCCCGGTGCATGGAGCCTGCTTCTCCCTCTGCCTATGTCTCTGCCTCTCTCTCTGTGTGTGTGACTATCATAAATTTAAAATAAATAAATAAATAAATAAATAAATAAATAAATAAATAAATAAGACTTTAATGGGGAGTAGGGGGACTTTAGTTTGAGCACTTATGTAAGTGTGTCATTTCTGTAGAATGAGTTGGGTAATAAATACGTATTGCCTAAATACATTTCTTCATCTGCTATCCAGATAATAGTGTTAAATGAGTATAAGTCAAGAGAAACAACTGTAACTTTGTTTTTGTTTTCACTTGGGTTAACTATTGAGGGATATAGTTTATTCTTAGGTATAAGTGTTAACTCTTGTTGAAAAAAAATTTTCAAGTTCTTTTTTCTCTTTAGGCTAATGATATGGAATGATTATAGTTTTCTTGATAGCATATTTTAAAAATAAGAACTTTTTTTTTAAGATTTTATTTATTTATTCATGATAGACATAGAGAGAGAGAGAAGCAGAGACACAGGCAGAGGGAGAAGCAGGCTCCATGCCAGGAACCTGACGTGGGACTCGATCCCGTGACTCCAGGATCGCGCCCCGGGCCAAAGACAGGCGCCAAACCACTGAGCCACCCAAGGATACCCAAAATAAGAACTTTTAAAAGAGTGAATGTTATACAGAGACAGGAGAGAATGTCTAAATTTAATTGTTTCATTCCTAGCTAACTTGGAAGAATTTTGTTAACCAAGGACAGTATTTAAGTGTAGTGCTACAAAGCATAATTAAACCCAGAGTTTCTCTTTCTAGTTAGACAATTCTTGACCCTTCACAGAATAAAGTATTATGACTATGATCTAGTGCCTCAGTTAGTATGAAATATGGAAAAGTCTATTTGATGTTGTAGTATTACAAGGGGTGGTGAATAATAACTAGTTCCTTGACAAGTATTTTACTTTAGTAATATGTACATATGTTGCATACTGAAGCAACTAATCAATATCTGGCAGTATTTACATTAAGGTAAAATAATTTCAAGTGTAGGTTCTGCCTTAGTGGAGTAAATAAATATATTCTCACTTACAGACTCAATATACTTTCTAGAATTATATCTCATCTTATCAAATTGTGCTAAAACCTGAGTTCATAGAATAACCTGTGATTAACAAAAATTAAAGCCAAAACTGTCTCTGGGCTCAATTATTTTATCTCAGAAATATTTATGTAGGGTAGCCCAGGTGGCTCAGTGGTTTAGCGCTGCCTTCGGCCCAGGGCGTGATCCTGGAGACCCAGGGCGTGATCCTGGAGACCCGGATCGAGTTCCACATCGGGCTCCCTGCATGGAGCCTGCTTCTCCCTCTGCCTGTGTCTCTGCCTCTGTGTGTGTGTGTGTGTGTGTGTGTGTGTGTGTGTCTCATGAATAAATAAATAAAATCTTTAAAAATATATATTTATGTAACTTATGTAGCTTATCACTCCCAAGGAAGTTGTCCTCTCCCTTGCCCCATAACTTTTGTTTGACCTTTAAAAGATGAGTTAACCTGACTGACTTTCAGGTTTTTGCTTATGGTATTAAAGCATAAACCATTACTAAGTGTGTTTCTACCTAGTTTCAGATAAAAAGGATAATTAACTATAAATAACAATATTAGTCAGTTACTAATGCCCTGCTTTTGTGGGATCTGTTATACAGTATGTAGTTAGAGTTAAGATTATTATTAAAAGAAATTGAAGCAAAGTGTCTCAGATATTGTCTGGCTACTAAATGCATGAGAAGAAATTTAATTTTCTGTCATCAATATACATGGTAAAGCTAATTTTAATATTTACTTAGGTCACTAAATTTCTAACAAAATAATAACTATTGCTTTAAGTCCTGTGATAAGTGAGATTATTGATATTTTAATTTTTTTAATTAGAGCTTTTGTTTAAAAAATGCATGGAATCTAGTGGTGTGACCCAATAGCCAAGTGCAAAAGTAACTGCAACCTTATGATCTGACCTTTTTGTTTTTCTTCTCCTGTTTTCCTGGTAGCATTTGTTTTAATGTAAGCCTAAGGTATACCAAATGCCATATATTAAAAATTACATGCATCTATTTTTTTCTTCCTAGTCTAAAGAACTCCAAATAAAAAAGCAGTTTCAGGACACCTGCAAAATTCAAACCAGACAGTATAAAGCATTAAGAAATCACCTATTGGAGACGACACCAAAGAGTGAGCACAAGGCTGTTCTGAAACGACTCAAGGAGGAGCAGACCCGGAAGTTAGCCATCTTGGCTGAGCAGTATGACCACAGCATTAATGAAATGCTCTCCACACAAGCTGTGAGTTTGTTTTATTTAGGCAAAATAAATTTAGTTAGTGTTCCTTTCCCTTCTACAGCAATGAAATCCCAGCAATTAAAATGCTAATTAGAAATGATAGTTCTGGGCAGCCCGGGTGGCTCAGCGATTTAGCGCTGCCTTCAGCCCAGGGCCTGATCCTGGGGACCTGGGATTGAGTCTCGTGTCAGGCTCCCAGCATGGGACCTGCTTCTCCCTCTGCCTGTGTCTCTGCCTCACTCTCTCTCTCTCTCTATGTCTCTCATAAATAAATAAATAAAATCTTAAAAAAAAAGAAATGATAGTTCTCCTGCAGCTTGGGAAATAGTGGTGATGGTCCATAGTCTTCCTGTTCTAAGCATTGCTTGGAAGCATGCATGTGGATATAGAATTCTCATTGATACATTTAGACCTGAAGTTTTAAACAGGCTCTCTACCAGTGCTCCTCAGGTGTTTAGCACTTACCCCAATAACATGTCAAGATTGGAGCAGCAGCCTTGTTAGGTAGTAGGCAAAAAGTAGGACTGTATTTGGAATTCAGATGGTCACATTTAAATACAAATATGAAATATTTTTAAAGACGCCTGAGTGGCTCAGCGGTTGAGCGTCTACCTTTGACTCAGGGTGTGATCCCAGATTCCTTGGATGAAGTCCCACATCAGGCTCCTTGCATGGAGCCTGCTTGCTTCTCCCTCTGCCAGTGGCTGTCTCTCTTTCTGTGTCTCTCATGAATGAATAAATAAAATCTTTAAATAAAAAACATGAAATACTTTTAAAGATTTATTTATTTATTTTAGGGAGAGAGTGCAGGTGGTAGGTGGGTGGAGAAAGGCAGAGAGAGGGAAAAAAGAAGACTCCCTACTGAGTGTGGAGTCACACTTATGGCTGGATCCCATGACCCTGATACCATGACCAGAGCCAAAACAAGGAGTTGAGCATTTAATCAACTGAGCCACCCAAGGACCCCAAAATATTTTCTATATAAGTTTTGTAAACATTTTCTTAAAGGGCCAGATAGTAAATATTTTAGAGTTTGGAGGGCAGGAGGCAAAATTGAAGATACCATGTGGGTACTTATATAGCCATTTAAAAGGTAACTATTTCAAATGTAAAAACCATTCTTGAGGTTCCTGGGTGGCACAGTTGTTTAAGCCTCCAACTCTTGATTTTGGCTCAGGTTGTGGTCTTGGGGTCATGAGATTGAGCTCCCTGTCAGGCTCTGAGCTCAATGAGGAGTCTCCTTGGGATTCTTTCTCCCTCTCCCTCTGCACCTCCCTCTCGTGCTCTCTCCCTCTTTCTCTAGGACAAATAAATTTTTAAATTTTTTTTTATTTTATTATATTTTTTTTAAGATTTTATTTATTTATTCATGAGAGACAGAGAGAGAGAGGCAGGCAGACATATAGGCAGAGGGAGAAGCAGGCTCCATGCAGGGAGCCCAATGCAGAGCCCAATTGGGAGCCCAATCCGGGGACTGTGGGATCACACCCTGAGCCAAAGGCAGATGCTCAACCGCTGAGCCACCCAGGCGTCCCAATAATTTTTTTTTTAAGATTTTATTTATTTATTTGAGAGAGAGAGCACAGGCAGGGAAGGAATCGAGGGAGAGAGAGAAGCAGACTCCTCATTGAGCAGGGAGCCTGATGTGGGGCTAGATCCTGGGACTCCAGGATCATGACCCTAACCAAAGGCAAATGTTAACCAGCTGAGCCACCCAGGCTCCCCAAATAAATAAATCTTAAAAAAAAAAAAAAAAAAAAAAAAACCGTTCTTAACTAGTAGAGTGTATAAAAAAGTAAAAACAAAAAAACCCAGGCAACTGCCCAGATTTGGCCAGCAGGCTATTTGCTGGTCCCTATGCTATAGTTATTTCTATTGGATAGAAAGTATTCAGAGTCTTATATCATCTGATCATATTCTAGATTTTTCTTAAGAAAAATGTGGTTTTTAAGGCATCCTCCAGAGAGCTCATGATAGTTTTATCTTCCTAATGCCATCAGTTATTACTAGGCCTTCCTTTTCAGAGATGTTTACTCCGAGGCATGAGAGAGAAAGAACAATTGTGTATCCTACAAAAGAGAATAGTCTGTCTTTTCTCACCTCCTGTTTTCTGTAAGGTAAGGGATAGATAACTCACAGGATATTTTCTTTCTCTCTTTCAGCTACGTTTGGATGAAGCACAGGAAGCAGAGTGCCAGGTTTTGAAGATGCAGCTGCAGCAGGAACTGGAGCTGTTGAATGCATATCAGAGCAAAATCAAGATGCAAGCCGAGGCACAACATGATCGAGAGCTTCGAGAACTTGAACAGAGGGTCTCTCTCCGCAGGGCACTCTTAGAACAAAAGGTATAAGTAATACGAGGAAGGTAATTGTGCTAGTGTTTGCTTTCAGCAGAAGCATTTTATAAATATTTTTTCATATTGTTAGGTGGCATTAGATTGTTTTCACAATACTGTGCTTCCTTAATTCTAGTTTTGGTAGTGTTTTTCTTTTTCTTTAAAATTACTGATTCAGTAATGAACCTTATAATTATTGAGTACTAAACATCAAGGGGAAATATAAGTAGTAATTGCTAGAGGAAGGAATATGGAATTATATGAATTGGGAGAGAGTAGCTCTAGCATTGTGATTCTCACTTATTTTATGTACCTCACTCTAGGGAGATTGGAGAAAAACTTGGGATAGTAAAGAAAAAGAATGTTAGTCATTGCCTTATTTATCTTTACTTATTCTTTGTCAGATATATTAAAGAATCGAACTAGAATCCCCAAATTCATTTCATCCTTTAAGATAGTAAAATTGTGTGTGTGAGTATGAGTGTGTTTGGGGGGAAAGAATGATGGGCAGAAGATTTTTAAGACATTAAAGAGGACACTATTTGTTCTTAGAAGCATAGTTGATCCTTGAACAATGTGGGGGTTAGGGGCTGTGACAACCTGTCCGGTTGAAATTTGCATTAACTTTTCTTCATGTATAAAAGTGACCAAAAGCCTTACAAATAATATAGTCAACTAACACATATTTTGTATGTTATATGTATTACCTACTGTCTTCTTACAATATAGTAAGCTAGGGAAGAGAAAATACATTTACAGTATTATACTGTATTGGAAAAAAATCACATGTAAGGAGAAACATGTAGTTCAAACTCATGCTGTTCAAGGGTCAACTGTTGTAGAATATTCAGGATTCAAAGCTATGTTTAAGAATTCCTGAGCCATGGGATCCCTGGGTGGCTCAGCAGTTTAGCGCCTGCCTTTGGCCTAGGGCGTGATCCCGTCATGGAGCCTGCTTCTCCCTCCTCCTGTGTCTCTGCCTCTCTCTCTCTCTCTCTCTCTCTCTGTCTATCATAAATAAATAAATAAATCTTAAAAAAAAAGAAAAAAAGAATTCCTGAGCAAAAAAAAAAAAAAAAAAAAGAATTCCTGAGCCATAGTTCCCAATAGCGGGTATTGTCGTAGGTCCATTTTAAGTGAATATTTGCCTAATAGTCTTGCCTAATGAAAGTTGTCATTGTTTCTGGATAAAAATACAGTGTCTTATCATATTAAAAAAATTCACTTAACTAAGATGTTACTATTTCCCAAGACAGCTGTCTTTTATTCTCTAGCTTCTTTGAGAGTTATTTGGCTCTAAAAATTATCTCCGTTATGTTTCTCATTCAAGGTGAGAAAGATACATAAAATTTTTTTTAAATCTAGTTTTTCAGATTTTATAAATCTGATTCCAATTTGAACATTTAAAATTCAGCCCGAAGTCTGTCTCTTATGCTTCAAAATTATCTAAAAGGATAACCTATAATATTTTAGAAATAATATCGGGAGAAATATTGGTACTATTAAAATGTATTTGTATTTTTAGCTCCATCTAGTGGTTCAGAATTTAAACAGTGCTAATTAGTATCTTAGGTACAGTCTTTTTTCAATATATGAACCAAAGTCTACATGTTCTACAAAGCCTGTTTAAGACTGATACCCACTGGAGAAGGTACAGCGGTACTCTCATACACTGTAAATGCATTTTGAAAAGCAATTTGGATGTATATATTGAGCTTTGAATTGTTAAGCATTTGAGACTTTTAGAATTTGGCCTAAGGAAATCCAAAATACAGGGAAAATTATGCATATAAATGGTCATTATAACATTTTATAATGGTTTAAAATAACCATTTAGGTTACTGGAGGGGAAGTGGGCAGGTCAGTGGGGGAAATGGGTTAAATGAGTGATGAGGATTAAGTGCACTTGTGATATATCCGGTGTTGTATATATATAAGTGATGAATCACTAAATTCTACACCTAAAACTAATATTACACTCTGTTAACTAACTGGAATTTAAATAAAAGCTTGGGAAAAAAAATCACCTAACCATCTAAATAGAGATATAATTAAGTAATTAAGGCTAAGCCAATGAAATCTTGCTCAGCCATTTAAATGATGGCTACAAAGACAGTATTAATATGGAGAAATGCTTATGATGTATTGAACGAAATCAAAAAGACAAATTACACTTATAATGAATTGAAAGAATGTTAGTGGCTATTTAATACAGTAGATTTGTTCTTTTTTCTACTTTACTTTTTTAAATATTACTTTGGAGAATGGAAAATACTAACGATTATTTAGTATTAAAAATAATTTAAAAAACAATAGGATGATAATCTGTAGTGCTTTGAGTTGCTGCTTGATTTTTAGGGCTAATGGTTACATTTCAAATGAAGGGCATGACTGTAAAGCAGTTTGGATCAGTTGGCAACTGCCAAGTCCATGATGTACCCTCCCTATAAAAACTTTGAAAAGTTTTAACAGCTATTTTTCTGTACCTTGTATTTACTGGTTGTACAGAAAGGAAGCAGCCATCTGAAAATACAGATGGAATCTGAGTGAACATTAGTTGTTTATAGATGAATAATAATTCTGTTTAAAAAAATTGTTTTCAGGGGCAGCCCAGGTAGCTCAGCAGTTTAGTGCTGCCTTCAGCCCAGGGTCTGATCCTGGAGATCCAGGATCGAGTCCCATATCAGGCTCCCTGCATGGAGCCTGGTTCTCCCTCTGCCTGTGTCTCTGCCTCTCTCTCTCTCCCTCTCTGTGTCTCTCATGAATAAATAAATAAAATCTTTTAAAAAAATAAAAATTAGGGATCCCTGGGTGGCGGAGCGGTTTGGCGCCTGCCTTTGGCCCGGGGCGCGATCCTGGAGACCCGGGATCAAATCCCACATCGAGCTCCCGGTGCATGGAGCCTGCTTCACCCTCTGCCTATGTCTGTGCCTCTCTCTCTCACTGTGTGCCTATCATAAATAAATAAAAATTTAAAAAAATAAAAATAAAAAAATAAAAATTAAAGAAAAATGTTAAATCCCATGTGAATTTTATACATGCATGAAAAGTGGCAGTATCTCCAAAGTATAAGTGGGCTTTTTTATTATTATTTCATTTAGTTTTCTCTCAATATTTTACAGCATCAATAACATGGTTGGTAGTTTTTAAGTAAGAATTGGCAATTAGAACACTTTTTAGGACCTTTCTTTGTGGAACTGAAAATATTCATACAAAAATACCGCATTTGATTTCAAAGGAAATTGGCTGGAAGATCCTCTCAAAAGTCTTAATTACAGTAACTCTTATCAACCCAGTGAAGCCACTTTACTAATTTACAAAAACTAAGTCACAGGTTTTATTTTTTAAAGTCACAGGTTTTAAAAGAAATAGGAATTAATGTAGCCCATCATAAATCTTAGTTTCATTTTTATATTATTGAAAAATGTTCTGAGTTTCTTAAATGACAATACTAATCAGCAAACAAAACTGAATGCATACTACATAAAAGGTTGATAAGCATTAATGTTTAATATTTTTGTCAGGAGTTTCCTTCAGACAATATGCAAGACATTCAGATCAGTTATATACTCAGCACATTCCCATCATTAATTAGATCCCTTGAATTAAATGCTTTTAGTAAGTGGATTTTTTTAAGTTTTACATTAAAAGGGATCCCTGGCTGGCGCAGGGGTTTGGTGCCTGCCTTTGGCCCAGGGCGCGATCCTGGAGACCCGGGATCGAATCCCACATTGGGCTCCCGGTGCATGGAGCCTGCTTCTCCTTCTGCCTGTGTCTCTGCCTCTCTCTCTTTCTCTCTCTGTGACTATCATAAATAAATAAAAATTAAAAAAAAAATTAAAAAAAAAAGTTTTACATTAAAAATAGTTAAAAGATAAATTTGAAGTTCTTTGAATCCTTAGAGATACGTAAATTCTTTTTATATGGATTTATAGGATTTTATATGTAATTATTAAAAGTGGACATTTATTTTATTAAATACACAATCATTTTTCTTAAAACTTGATAAGTTTAAGGGGCACTTGGCTGGCTTCGTCATGAGAACATGTACCTCTTGATCACAGGGTTGTGAGTTTGAGCTCCATATTTGGTATTAAGATTACTTAAAAAATAAAAATCTTTACAGAAAAAAAAGCTTGACAAGTTTAGAAAAGCATAAATAGAAATTAAAATGTCTGTAGTCAGGGGAGCCCCGGTGGTGCAGCAGTTTAGCACTGCCTGCAGCCCAGGGCCTGGTCCTGGAGACCTGGGATCGAGTCCCACATCAGGCTCCTGCATGGAGCCTGCTTCTCCCTCCTCATGTGTCTCTGCCTCTCTCCCTCTCTATGTCTATCATAAATAAATAAATAAATAAATCTTTTTTAAAAAAATGTCTGTAGTCCCACCACTCAGAAATCACCACAGTTAACAATTTTGATGTCTTTCCCTCAAAAGCACTCTTGTCTAATCATAAGTTCTTCAGCCTTCACATAAAACGCTCACTCTAAAACTTTGTAACACTTTAGTACCTAGAAAATTCAATAATTTCTTTTTTTTTTTAAGATTTTATTTATTTATTCATGAGAGACAGAGGTGGGGGGCAGAGACACAGGCAGAAGGAGAACCAGGTTCCATACAGGGAGCTCAATGTGGGACTCGATCCCAGATCCCATGAGCACACCATGAACCAAAGGCAGACTCTCAACCACTGAGCCACCCAGGCACCCCCTTTCAATAATTTTCAAACTCTCCTTACTGGAATCTGTTCTGGCCAAAATACTTATCATTTTTCCATGTCTTTGCACATGTTCCCTTGGCTGAAAATATTTTTTCCTTCCCTTTCTCTTCCTGGTAAACTTGTATTCTTCCTTCACAATCCAGTCTCTGCCACCTCCTCTGGGAACACTTTATTTACACTTAACTTTCTCCCTTATAGAGTCAATCACTCCATCTCTTTTTATTTCTGCTATACCTTGTAAATCTGTTATTATGTCTTACCACATTCTATTAGGACTTTTTATTTGCATGTGTCTCCTCTGCGAAACTTCATATTTTTTTTTAAAAATTGGAACTTCTGAAAACTTGATACATAAAAACTAAACTCATTTGTTGAGTTCGATTTCTGCAGAGAGCAATAAGTATTGGTTTAAATCCTCAACAACCTTGATAACTGATTTAATGCTCCTTTTTAAATTATTTCTTATTTTTAAAAAACTTTTTATCATGGAAGTTTTTTTAAGAATTTATTTATTTATTCATGAGAGACCCAGAGAGAGAGAGAGAGGCAGAGGGAGAAGAAGGCTCCCATAGGGAGCCTCATGTGGGACTCAATCCCAGGACCCTGGAATCAGACCCGAGCCAAAGGAAGACACTCAACCACTGAGCCACCCAAGTATACAGAAGTAGGAGGCATTAATACAGTGCAACCCCAAGTACTTAACCACCCAGCTTCAATAGTTGCCAATATTTTGCTAAATTTTTCTTATCTATCCCCCTGCTCCACACATACAACTTTGTGGTAGAGGCAGGAGGTGAGGAAGAAATTTCAGCATACCACCATTTGATTCCAAAAATGTCTTAAGTTGGTTTATTTGGATTGGTTCAGTCCAGATATTACATTTAGCTAATTATCTTTTAAGTTTTTTAGTCTATAAGTGATCCCTGTCCACCTTTTTTTTTTTTTAATTGAGGATTGGATCATCTGTTCTGTAGGAATTCTCACGGATTTGGCTTATTTCATCTTCATAGTGTCATTTAATGTAGTCCTCTCTTCTTTATTTCATATTTCCTGTAAACTGGTAATTAGGTCTAGAGGCATGATTATATTTAGATTAAACTTTTTCTTTTCTTTAAAAAATTTTGCAGGGAATTGTCATAAGGGTTATAGTGTACTTCCTGTTGCATCACATCAAGAGATACATAATGTCTAACTATGCCACCTTTAAGTGATTTTTTTTTTAAGATTTTATTTATTTATTCATGAGAGACACACACACACACACAGAGGTAGAGACACAGGCAGAGGGAGAAACAGGCACCATGCAGGGAGCCCAACATGGGACTCGATCCCAGATCGCGAGGATCAGGCCCTGGGCTGAAGGCGGCGCTAAACCGCTGAGCCACTGGGGCTGCCGTTTAAGTGATATTAATATTGATCAGGGTGTTCAGGTTTTGTCAGTATGATCATTCATAAAATCCTCCAACTTGTGGATGCCTGGGTGGCTCAGTGGTTGAGTGTTGCCTTCGACTTAGGGCATGATCCCAGGATCTGGGATTGAGTCCCACATGGGGCTCCTTGCAGGGAGCCTGCTTCTCCCTCTGCCTATGTCTCTGCCTCTCTCTTGTCTCTCATGAATAAATAAATAAATCTTTTTTTAAAAAATCCCCAACTTTTTTTCATAGTCTATTCACTTTATGTATTTTTAATATTTAAAAAATTTTATATACAATCAGTTGTATTTATTTGTAATACTTTCAGTTTTCCAGAACTGATTATCATGGCTACTCAACTATGAATTTTTAGCTATATAAAATCTCCTAACTTTTCAATGAAAACTTTTTAGTTTTTTTGTTTGCTTTCACTTAAAGTTTTGGTCTGTCTGGAATGTAGTGTAGGATGGGATTCTATTGCCATTTCCTTCCAGATGTTGGCCAAATGTGCTTGTGCTATTTGTTTCTCCCATTAAACTAATTACTGCTTTTGTCTTGCTGCCTACAAAGAGGTGTCTGGGTGGCTCAGTCCATTGTCTCCCTTCGGTTCAGGTCGTTATTTCAAAGTCCTGGGATTGAGCCCCATATCAGCCTCCCTGGTCAGCAGGGATTCTTCTCTATCTCCCCCTGCCTGCCACTCCCCTACTAATTTTTCTCTCTCTCTCAAATAAACAAGTCAAATCATAAATAAATGCAAGCCTACAAACTGAGATCTTCATTCTGTTTCACTAAGTATTTTGCACCAGTACCGTATTTATTTTAAGATTGATTTATTTCTGAGAGAGAGAAAGAGATCAAGCACAAGCAGTAGGAGCAGAGGGAGAAAGAATCCCAAGCAGACTCTGCACTGAGTGCAGAGCCCAGTGTGGGACTGGATCTTATGACCCAAAGACCACAACCTGAGCCAAAGCCAAGAGTCAGATGCTCAACCGACTGAGCCACCCAGGTGTCCTTTGTATTTATTTTATTAGAGTGACATTATGGGATATCTGATAAGGCTAGTTTCCCCCTACACCTTTTCTTTCTCATTTAACTTTAATGGATTTAGTAGCTATTGATCATAATTGCTTTGATTTATTATTTCAATAGAAGTACTACCTTTGTTTTTTGTTTTTTTTTTTTTTAAGTAGGCTCCATGCCCAATATGGGGCTTAAACTCAAGACCCTGAGATCAGGAGTCACGTGATATACCGACTGAGCCAGCCAGGTGCTTTTAAGAACTTGATTTTAGGGGTGTCAGGTTGGGTCAGTCAGTACAGCATGTGACTCTTTTTTTTTTTTTAAGATTTTATTTATTTATTCATGAGATACACAGAAAGAGAGAGAGAGGCAGAGACACAGTCAGAGGGAGAAGCAGCCTCCATGCAGGAAGCCTGATGTGGAACTCAATCCCGGGACTCCAGGATCACACCCTGGTCTGAAGGCAGGTGCTGAACCGCTGAGCCACCCAGGGATCCCCCTACAGCATGTGACTCTTAATCTCAGGGTCACAAGTTCAAGCCCCATGTTGGGCATGGAGCCTATTTAAAAAACAACAACAACAACAACTTGATTTTAACCTGAAACTAATATAACCCCAACTATCTGCAAATGAAAAATAATAAATATTTTTCATATTTATTTTTCATATTTATTTATTAAATAAATAACAAACATCTTTAATTTTTAAAAAGAACTTGATCTTAGGATGCCTGGGTGGCTCAGCAGTTTAGCACCTGCCTTTGACCCAGGGTGTGATCCTGGAGTCCCAGGATCAAGTCCCATATCAGGCTTCCTGCATGGAGCCTGCTTCTCCCTCTGCCTGTGTCTCTGCCTCTCTGCCTCTCTCTCTGTGTCTCTCAATAAATTAATTAATTAATTAATTAATTAATTAATTAATTAAAAGAACTTACACATTTTTTTAAAAGATTTTATTTATTTGAGAGAGCAAGTGAGCACAAGTGGAGGCGAGGGGCAGAGGGAGATGGAGAGGGAGATGCAGACATCCTGCTGATCAGGGAGCCCACTGTGGGGCGGGATCCTGTGATCATGACCTGAGCTGAAGGCAGATGTTTAACCAACTGAGGTACCCCGATCTTACACATTTTAAAAATATAAATTATGTACAATTTCTACAGTACATCTCTTTAAATTTTTTCATACAATTTTTTAGTTTTTATTTATTTTTAAGTAAAAATAAAATACATTGGAAAAAAATAAAACATAAGGCTGGAACTCATGACCCTGAAATCAAGAGTCACACACTCTTCAGGGGCACCTGGATGGCTCAGTCAGTTAAGTGTTGGATGTTGGACTCTTTATTTCAGCTCAGGTCATGATCTCAGGGTTGTGCGATTGAGCCCTCTGCTGGGTGTAGAGTCTGCTTAAGATTCTGTCTGTGTGCCTCTCTCTTTCTCTCTCTCTCCCTCCCTCCCTGCCCCCCCCTTCTCCCTCTGTCTCATCTTAAAAATAAAAACAACAACTGGGACACCTGGGTGGCTCAGTGGTTGAGTGTCTGCCTTCAGCCCAGGGTGTGATCCTGGTGTCCCGGGATCAAGTCCAGCATTGAGTTCCCTGCATGGAGCCTGCTTCTCCTTCTGCCTGTGTCTCTGCCTCTCTCTTTGTGTCTCTTGTGAATAAATGAATAAAATCTTAAAAAAAAAAAAAAAGTTGGCATGCTCTTTAGACTGAACCAGCCAGACTCCCCACATCTCTTGAGTTTTTAAATGTCTGTCCATAAAGTAGCCAGAGTGAACTTTTTTATGAGTTCACTTCAAAGCTCAGTAATTATTGCTTCCTAGTTTATAGATTATAAAAAATAAATCAGCTTTCTTTTTGCTTCCTTCTCCCAACCTCAAACAGATTGAAGAAGAGATGTTGGCTTTGCAGAATGAACGCACAGAACGAATACGAAGCCTGCTGGAGCGTCAAGCCAGAGAAATTGAAGCTTTTGACTCTGAAAGCATGAGACTAGGTTTTAGTAACATGGTCCTTTCCAATCTCTCCCCTGAGGCATTTAGCCACAGCTACCCGGGAGCTTCTGGTTGGTCTCACAATCCTACTGGAGGTCCAGGACCTCACTGGGGTCATCCCATGGGTGGCCCACCACAAGCTTGGGGCCATCCAATGCAAGGTGGACCCCAGCCATGGGGTCACCCTTCAGGGCCAATGCAGGGGGTACCCCGAGGTAGCAGTATGGGAGTCCGCAATAGCCCTCAGGCTCTGAGGCGGACAGCTTCTGGGGGACGGACAGAGCAGGGCATGAGCAGAAGCACGAGTGTCACTTCACAAATATCCAATGGGTCACACATGTCTTATACATAACTTAATAATTGAGAGTGGCAATTCCGCTGGAGCTGTCTGCCAAAAGAAACTGCCTACAGACATCATCACAGAAGCCTCCTCACTTGGGTACTACAGTGTGGGAGCTGAGTGCATATGGTATATTTCATTCATTTTTGTAAAGCATTCTGGTTTGTGTTTACTAATTGAGATGTTATAGTATTTGGCTGCCGGGTTTTTTTTTGTTTTTTAACTTTTGGAAAAATTTTGAAAAGGAATTAATGTGTGTATGTAAAAAGAAATCCGCTAGATTGGGGGTATTTTCTGAACACTGCAAAAATGGAATGTAGCATGGTCGCTTGAGTCATCACTTTGGGGCAACCATATCCTAAGAAATTTGTGACAGGATCTGAAGTGTTTCTCCATACCCCAAATTCTTAGGAGCCACTCACAGCAGGCAGCATGTGCTGAAACAAGTGATTGTGGAAACACACCTGTATCCCCCTCACCCCTGTATTTTCTTTATTAAATTGGTCTGACTTCTCAGCCTCATTTGGAGTAAAAAAGTGGAAATCCATGAACACTAAAGGGTTGCATTGACTTTTTCAGAGAGTAGAAAAAACTTAGTTCTTTTTCTGAGTGGCTGCATAGGTTTGTCAGTTTTTGTTTTTGTTTTCGTTTTGTCCGTTCAATTGTGCCTTCTTTGTGGCATGGTGAGATGGAGGTGCTTCAGGAGATAATGAGTTGTGTGGGAATTGCATCAACAGACCTATGAGCCTTCAAAGGGGAGGCCAGAGGGTGAGAGAGGCCCCTGAAAGTTCATGTGGTGGGTAAGTTCAGCAGCAGAGTGAGGAGATGAAGCCTATATATCCTAACGTTTTGTTGCTTAAACTGTGATATCTCATCCTAGCTAAGCTCTGTAACTCCCAAAACCCCAAACAGTACTTTTACTTTGTACAAAAACAAAGACATATAGCCAATACATGTCAAATGCCAGAGGCATTTGAATTATGCCATGTTTGCAAACTGCCATCCATTGAAATTCTCATCACACTACAAAGACATAATTTGATTACCATCCCCACCCCCACCCCGGTTGGCTTGTGAGATTTCCTGTTTACAAGTAGAATAGCCAATTATTTAAATGTGTAGTTGCCATAGTGAACCAGGAGTCACTGAGCCAATGACTTTACCAGCTGCTGACTAATCCTCATCACCACTGTAGATTTTGCTGCATGTGCAGGTCCTTTTTTTTTTTTCCTGGCTGTTTTTGTTGCTGCAATACTTTACAAACTTCTAGTTCCTTGAGACTTAGTGACTGTTTGGCATCATGTTAACATCACACAATAGGAAACACCACTTCCAGAAGTCTCTAGCCTCAGTGCTAAAGTACTACTGAAAAGGAACTAGCAAGTTTGACAAATTAAAATTAAAAAAAAAAAAAAAAGTAAAATAAGTTATAGTGGTCAGGGAATCTCTTTAACGAAAGCTAACTTTTTTTCCAGAGGGGCATATTTTGTTTGGTTTTGTGTTGTTTTGCAATGAAGGATCAACCCAATGCTAAAAGTCAGATGTTACTTGGTATTCCACAGCCAGTGTGGAAATTGAATTGAAGGTAGGTAAGAAGCTATGAGTATGACTTGAAGGAAAAACATGTCCTGTCCAGTAACAGATCAGAGTTTCTTACAAATTATTGCCTGCCACCCACCTTGTCTTGAAGAACCCTTGCTGCTAACTCTGGGTCCTGCTTTTTATGTGGTCAGAGGGCTCCAAGTTAGAATTTTCTAAATCCTTCTCAATGATACTCTTCACCTAGACCTGACTAATGACCAAACAGTAATCTATCACTGTCGAAATCTTTGTCTCAACCAAATGTAAGTCTTCTCTAGGTATGTCAGCCTAATCTCCATGAATCCTCCCCTTTAGGAGTTTTGGCATTCATTTAAAGGTTAACTGGAGAAAAAATTAATAATTAAATGTAAATCTTTTTAAAACCAAGATAAAAGTATAATTCACACTCAGTTTTAGTGTTCAGGTAGTGTTCAGGTAGCACTCTAATACAATGTACTTTTCACTGTGCTTAAGATCACCAGTTTTTAGGTGAACATAACATGCACTTCTAATGAAAGGGGCTTTTAATTTTCTCAATATCTTTTTTGCATTAAAATACACAGTATTTCAAACATTGAAAAATGTACCTGTTTGGAGGAAAATGATAGGAAAGGTCTTTAGAATTAAGTGTCCAAAAATGTTATGGAATTTGATACCTTTTTAAAAAACTATTATTCAGTTTGGCCCATCTGTACTACTGGAGGGGTGGAATAGGGATGCAGATGAGTTTCACATGCAAAACACTTTAAAATCCAAAATACTACCAGTGATACATGTTAAAGTCTACTTGTAGACTTAAATTAGTCGAGTTACTCAGTTCATATACTTGTAAAATTGTGATTGAATACTGACTCCAAATGTCTATCCAGTAGGGCTTTGTATCTGATTTAATTGTGTGGCAACCAGTTTTACTTGTAGGTCATGACTATACCTGGATTATTCAATTAAGTTAATTTTAATTAAAATATTTATAGTTTGCAGAAATAATTCCAATTAATTGGTTTGTGTGTGTTTGTAAGATGTAACTTCTGAAGAATCTCATACATGGTAGGAATCATCAAAGAGTAATGCTTGTAGCAGAAAAATTTGAAAGGTTTTGAAAGATTCTAAAAAAGCAGGCACTTTCTGAATCAGTGTACAAATGTCAGCATTTGATCAGATTAATACTACCTCCTCCCCACTGTTGGTATTCACTTGGTATATATGTATTTAAGAAAAAAGTATGGGAAACTTGTCCAGCATATCAGAAAGGGTTCCCTTCCTTTTGCACATACCTTTTATCTTCTTATTAACATCATTCTAATCCTAGATTATAGTATCTGAAAGTATTTTCATCAATATAGATAATGTTAGCTGTAAAATGTGTTTATATTATTTTTATTTAGAGCTGCCATTCCTTTTAGTCATTTCTGTGCCTAGAGATGAATAGCCCTGCATTTGAACCACCCCACATGTATAATATCCTTGGTACCCAGGGCCAAGAATTTATTGGTGAGTTGATCTTTTTAGCATAGTCATGATTTTCAGCTGCCTAGACATCAGGTAAAGACCATTCAGTACACTAAAATGTCCTTGACACTCCCTCCTATTTTCCTCACCCCCTATCCAAAAATTGAAAACTCTAGGAGTATCTTTTTTCAGACCATAAGGCAGACTTTAGTAACTTTCGACTTCTTTAAGTACTAAATGTCTGGCATTTTAAACTTTTATAGAATACATTATGTTGGACACTGGAATAATACTGTTTATTTTCACCTGTGAAAAATATTGTACTTGAAACACCTCCTTTACATTTCTCCATGTGTGCCATTCACTAGTGGAAATAAATTGTATTATACCATGATCTACTGGCTTTTTAAAACTGTGTTAAATATGCACATTTTGGTATAGCTATTATCATTTGTATGTATATATTGTATATACATATGAGTGTCTATATGTGTGTATAGATAGGTGGATGTAACTCATACTGTATATTTCCATCAGGGCGCTTAAGGTTCTGTTATTGTGTTTGTTATTTCAGTCCTCAGTTAAGGCAAGAATGCATGTGTTTCTTCAGAATGAGTTGCTGGGTTAATATGAGAAGGTGGTCATTAGATGCAATCTTTTCTGTTTTACTCCCTTAGCACTTATGTGGGTAGAAAGAAAGTAAATTTGGGACCATAAGTTGCAATGCAGTAAAATATTGCTGGAAGAGGAGCCAGTCAGTGTTTCTATGAGTTTGTGTTGTGATGCAGTAAAAGATAAGTGATGCAGAAAGAAATGAACTGTGGAAATCCAAAACACTGGTGGTGATTCCTCTGCAAAGACTATGAAATGAACCAGGAAGTCACACAGTCTCCACGTGCACAATCTAAATGTGTTTCTTAGGAGTGATGCCATTGATCCTCTTAACTCTTGTTACTCGATTAATACTAATACTTATAAATTTTCCTAAGGACCGAAACAGCCAAGAAAGGAATTACTGCTAAAGCATCTAAGGTTCTCCTAAACTATGAGATCAACAGGAAATGGCCACTGGGAGAGAAGGATATGGTATTGGTGTGGGGCTTTCTCCCTTGAGCTGCCTCTTCTTGCTTGCTAATAGTAAGTTCTTCGTGCACCTTCCAGCCCTTCTGAGCCACTACTATTCAAGCACAGATTTGGCCCAACACAGCAACCCTTTCCTGGGAGGTTTATATGGTCCTGCATTCTGTCCTGTGTGCACAATGTGAAGTGTTTAGTGTGTATTCAAGTCCGAAAATAATATATTTAAGGTATATAAGTGTGAATCTCCTATATAATGATGGAAGAAGAGGTTCTTGTTTCTTAGAAAACTACCATCTCTAAGGAACAAAGCCAAAACTTGGGCTGTCATCTTTGAGCTGCTTACCAACATACAGATCATTATTAAAGAGAAATGAATTCTATTTTGTTTTTCATTCATCCAACATGATCATACCCTTAACCAGGTTGTAGCATTGCCTTTGAGAAGGCATTCACTCCTAGTTAAGAACTGGAAATTTCCCATCCTCTGATTCCTTAAAGGATGAAGAATGTGCTATATATACACTTAGCAGACTTGCCTCTTGTATGCAAGGACTACTGATTGAAGTCTATTTTGCTGTGTGTGTGGTTATGTTGTCTGCACTTTTATGAAATCACCATGATAAGCCTACATTGGAAATGATTATTCGTAAGGAAGTTTTTATTTAAACACTGTCTAGAAAAAAGTGAAGCTGAGAACTCTTATGTTAATGTACATTTATATTTTCTACTGAATTCTGGGAGCCCCCTTTAAAGTCATGTTGACTAATTTTTTCCCTCATTTATATTCAAATTTCCAAAATTTCACTCACAAGGGAAGAGAACCCATTTGTCCTAAGGATAGTCTTCAGATTCTAAGAAATATAAAGTAGTATGCACCTTATCTGCCTGTTGTGGGTTCCTTAAACTTGCACTTCCCTCCCACTCACCCAAAAATAGATATCCTTTAAAGAAAATAAAGGCAGAGAAAACTGGGGAGCCACTTAGTATGTCACCATCACTGTTAACTGTTTCCCAGCAATCCTAACTTTTTGAAGTTTCAGAGATTTTTTTTGCGTGTATGTATGTGTCTGTTTGATTGTGTCGGGTTTATTTTTTTATTTTAAATATACAAGAGATTCCTCTTTAATAGAGAAAAAAGTTAATCCTCTCTGAAACAGGATGCCCACTGGATATACCAACCTGGACATCTGTAGGTAGTTTGCCATGAAAAGTGGAGAGAAGAGACTTCTGAATGAATGAAAAGGGTGTCTTGATGCCCAAGGATTCCCCCCTAAGTACGGGTAATTCAGCCTGCACAGTTTGCTTTTCACTCATAGTTTTTAGCAATTATGAGTGAAAAATCATGTAATTATCTGTAAATATGTAGCTAACAAATTGACCTAGTTTCTGTATTTTTTTGTTTTTGTACTAAAGTTTATAAGTCTGTGCCAGCTAGAGAGGAGTTGCTGTCATTGCTAGTTGTGGTCCTAGCATCTAATCCTGAAACCATCCTAGGTGACATTTTTAGAATTAATGCTTACATGTTGTTAAACAGAGGAAAATGAAGCTTAATTATTGGTCAGGTTTTACATCTTTTGAAGCAAAGTCATTTTTTTTTTAATGATTACATGTTTTCAATCATGAATGAGGTAGGGAGCCTCCCTCCCCCAGTGGCCATGTTTACAGATGTGTGTTTTGTCTATAAAGTGCAAGAGTTGTAATGTTTATGTAAATTATGCAGGTGATAACCTTATGGCTTGGAACTGTTTATTGGGCTTTAGCTGAATTTTCAAATGAAATGAACTATGCTAATTGCTGGCACACTGATCCCATTTCTGGAGCATTTTTCCTATTTCCAGAATTACATATGTTCCTTTGTCATTGTCCCCACTAAACCCTTCTCTGAAATGCCTTGTAGCCTGAAGTTTGAAAGTCTGGTAAACACAGATGAAGGAAATGCATTTTTAAAAATCTGAGTCCTCGTTTTTGTGCATTCAGTACTCCTATGTTTCAGTGGCAGCTCTGAGGTCAGTGGAGTTTAGAAATGAGATACCACTGTTAATGAAAAGTGTGTACTCTGCTTTTGCATGGCTTGGCTTAGCTTCAAAGGTGTATTAGGGCCACTTGAAAGCATGAAGACCAGTAGAGTGGGAACAGGTTTCTCTCAGTGGCACATTTTGCTTTTTCTGAGCCCTTAAATACATTGCCTCAGCATGAACATTATTGTTATTATAAATTGCACATGGTCATGGAGTGAATTATGTGATTTAAAGATGTAACTACTTAATGTTTTCAGATTCTGGCTGGTCCATGTGACTATTTGGCACATATCAAACAAACAGTGAGGGGTTGGGTGTCCTGGAACCCTTCTAACCCCCTTTTTGTCATAGACAACTATATTTAGTTTATTAAGATGTTGGCTGCCCCTGGTGTGTTGCCAGATAGCTCTTTTTTGGTACCCATTCCAAATGTGCTTCCTTGAATTTTGTAATATCAAAGAAACTACCACCCCTTCTCCCCAACAACATTTTATGTGTTACACCTTTTATTCCACATTAAATGGGAGTTGTGCCTACTTAGAGTGCCCCACCAATTAGTTACATATATGTGTTCTATATAATCCAAGCCAGAGACACAAGGCGGAAAAATCTTAAAAAAAAAAAAAAAAAAAAAATCCACTTGAGGCCAGTAATTTATCTAACAAGATACTTTACCACAATATCTTGACACTTGATATGAGCCTAATAGGAGTTGCAGGTGGTTTCATAGGGCAAAATCCAAGTGGTGAGGATATGTGGGGTTTCTATTAGAAGATGATTTTGTTCTTATTTGACCTTTCCTTTTATGATCCTTCTCTGCTAGTTTGGAATAGGTTAATTCTCCAAATTTATTTAGTTTTGTTTTTTATCTTTTAGAGAAATTTTTACAAAAGCAATGGTCTGATGTAAATAACATTTTAAAGTAATAGTGCACATAACTTTCCCAGACTATTCCAACCAGATAATTTGTAAATGCTTTAGAGTTTTTTAAATTAACACTTGTGTTGCTAAATCCTATTTATGTAAGTCTGCTAAAATTCTTAACCCATTTAAAACTTAAAACAGACATTTAAATAATGGATGGGTTACTCTGATCAATCTAGCTTTCAGAAGCCCCTTGTTTCAGTATATGAAAAAGATAACCTAATGCGCATTAATGAGGTTGAAGAGACTTTGAGAAATATGTATAGTGTATATTTTAAAACAGCTTTGCTTGTATTGTGAAGATTTAAAAACAAACTTGAGATTTTTAACGTAACTATTAACACAGTTTTAACATAAGTTATCCCACTGGGTTTAAGAGCATCTTGAATGTATAATCCTTTTTGTAACCCAGGTTGGTTTCTGCTTTCACCAGTCATCCAAACATATTTATGTTTTTAGTTTTATATACTCATTTCCCTTTGTTTTCCTCAACCAGCATGATTTTTTTGCACATGTATTGTAGAAATTTTTAAAAAGAAAAGTTAATACATCGTTTTCTCTGAATTTTCTTCACTTCTCTCTTCCTTTCTACTAACTCCTTACCTTAAAGGCCATATCGCTCCATTTGCATTATTTGTGCAAATGCCAGGGTTGGTTTTTATTTTTATTTTTGCTATTTACCTAAAAAAAAAAAAAAAGAAAAAGAAAAAAAGAAAAATGCTTCAGTCAATTGCTTTTTTATTTAAAAAAGAAAAAAGAAAAGAAAAAAAGCTGTAACCTTATCATTTCTGAGTAGACCATTGAGAGATGAATGCACACCTGTAATAGCCCAAGACCAGCTTTGGTGGCTAAAGGGAATATTTTAACTAAGCAAGTTCTTTTCTAAAAGTGGTATGTATTATTCACAAATCTCTTTCAGTTATTCCCAAAAGTCAGAGGTCCAGATAAAATGAGGGTTATCAGCTAACTGATATGTTATCATTGAGGTTCATCAATGAATTTGTACATTTCTAGTTCCCTTTGGTGAAGGGAAAAATGATGATTTTGCAAGACCTAGATTTTGGCTTGGTTTCTTGCCTCCTTTTTTGGCAGCCTTCATCTTCTCATCTCCCAAAGCCCTTGAGCCTGTAGGGTTTTCATGGTAGACAAAGGACTTGTGGTCTCTTAAAACGAGGACTGATATTTTGGTGAGAGATTATTGTGCTGAAAGTGATGTTCTGCCACTTTTACTGATGACTAACTTTAAATATACACAGTCCTCTCAATTTTCGGACCAAACAGATGCCCACAGTGGAGGCTTATCAAGAGTTGCAATTGGGAAGGAGCCTCTCCCTCACTGTCAGCACCGGCTGGTTAAGGTGACTGGACAGATGTGCATTTTCCTTTTGGTAGAAATGGTCCGCAGCACTAACTGGTAAGGCTTATTGTACAGTATATTGTCAGTATTCTTCCGGTTCAACATACCTTATAGCTCATATATAACCTGTATTAATTGTATAGATTGTGCATTTAAAGCTGTTACCAAGTTGTCAGAACATAAGAGCGAAAACAAGGTCATATGTAATATTTTGTTTGTAAGTATCCTTTGTATCATAGCAAAGGAAATGTTTAAAAAAAATCAACTGTAATAAAGTAATTTTAGTACACAGAGTGTCTGCTTAGCTTTTTTTAAGCAACTTTATTTCCAAAGATAAAATGTTTTTCAATTTAGTGACTATTGGATAATCTCAGGCACTGGGCTGGGTGTTGGCTTTATTACAGAAATGTGTAAAATACAGGTAAGAATGAACTCGCTGATGTGGACATAAACCCTTTAGTCTAATTGCCGCAAATTGTTTGCTCAGAGAATGAAGTGGCCTGTTGTATTGTGGGTGTGAGGTGATCCTACCTTAGGTTTTAATGGTTTGATGCAGGTTCTTCAGCTTTATATAGACCTGTATTAGAGCATATATAGTTAAAACTCCCACACACATGGGCATGGGAATGTATGCAGTTCTTGAACCTTGTAAAAACTTTAAAAGGTGTTTTCACCCTTTGATGATTTGAAAATCATATTTTCTGCCCCTGTATGGGACAAATATCTAATCTAGTGCTGTTGCTTACAACACTGTTAAAGTGACTATTTTTGTAAGATGACTAATTTGGGGAGAAGGAGTTTCATGTCTTTTTTTTTTTCTTTTTTTTCTTTTTTTTTTTTTAATTTATTTATTTATGATAGTCACACACAGAGAGAGAGAGAGGCAGAGACACAGGCAGAGGGAGAAGCAGGCTTCATACACCGGGAGCCCGATATGGGATTTGATCCCGGGTCTCCAGGATCGCACCCTGAGCCAAAGGCAGGCGCCAAACCGCTGCGCCACCCAGGGATCCCAGTTTCATGTCTTTTAATTTAAAAAGTTTTAAGTGGGGCAGCCCCGGTGGCACAGCGGTTTAGCGCCGCCTGCAGCCTGGGGTGTGATCCTGGAGACCTAGGATCGAGTCCCACATCGGGCTTCCTGCATGGAGCCTGCTTCTCCCTCTGCTTGTGTCTCTGCCTCTCTCTTCACTCTCTCTGAATGAATAAATAAGTAAATCTTTAAAAAATAAAAAAAAAAGTTTTAAGTGTCATTTTTTTTAAGATTTTATTTTTTCATGAGAGAGAGAGAGAGAGAGGCAGAGACACAGGCAGAGGGATAAGCAGGCTCCATGCAGAGAGCCTGACGTGGGACTCGATCCCAGGTCCCCAGGATCACACCCTGGGCTGAAGGTGGCTCTAAACCGCTAAGCCACCCAGGCTTCCCTAAGTGTCATTTTAAAAAGTATTATTGCCCACTTTATTGAATAGAATATTGTCTAGAAAAGCACTTTCAACTTTTTAACATAGCTGTTTAACTCCTAGTGTGTTGATACGGAGCTATTTTGAAATTAACATTTTATATACTGTAATTTGCCTGGGTCAAACAGCTGTGTGGGAGCCAGGATGAGATCCCAGGTCACCTGTCGCCAACATCCAACATCCTTGAACTTGGAGGAACTCAAAAAAGGTTTAAGAAAAAAGATTTCTTTCTGCTTTTCAAACTATAGTGGAAGGAGAGTATCTTAAAATTGTACTTCTAGCCTGTATCCCCTATCAGCAACTCAAGACAAATGTCTAATATGTCATTGTCTAAATGCATCAAAGATACTCTTGGTTATGTTTAGAGGTCAAAGCCTATCCTACCTGACTGAAGAATTTTGAACATAAATATACTACACCATTCCACAGCCCAAGTGGTGATGAGCTAATGCTATCACTTACATCTCAAAGATGCCAGCTGCAGAACAAGGGTTTTCCTGTGTGTATGTGGCCAATTAATGACTTTAATTGCTACTATGTCTACAGATATTTGTTCTTAATGGTAGAGGGAGACAGAGTTGCTGAGTGGTGAGGCTATGGAATAAATAACTGAAAGGGTGACATTTATAGATTAATGTGCATGGCTTCCGCACAGAGTTGTGTACTAGAGGAGCTCTGAAGACGAGTTATTTTCCCTTCTGTTATATCTTTTACGTTATGAAGTCTAAAATGGGCATTATTTATACTGTCATCTCAGCCTGTGATGGACTAGGAAAAAAAGTATGGCATAAACTGCACTGATTTGGGTTCTGGTCTTTAGTTCTATCACTAATAATGGTGAAATCTTAAAGCCATATCTTCTCTGACCATCATTTATTAAGAACTAGGAAAGCAGATGGGTTTTGCCCAGAACAAATGAACCAGTGTGAAAGCTATATTAGCTGTAACAAGATTATTGAGTATGTGTATATGCACATGTGTTTGGGAAGGAAGTGGGGTACCTCAATTGGGTAACCCAGGACCCAGCTCATATAGGCCCTTCCCAACTTTGCAATGGGATAACTGGAACTTTTGGGCCTTATTAGAATTGGGGAATACATACATACATACATACATACATACATACATACATAAAAGAATTGGGGAATACATTCTGATCTGAAAGCTGATGCCATCCCATCATAGGGGACTTTGAGCTCCAGTTGACAAACTAAGCAAACTTGGGAGAATGGGATATCACCTACTTTTACTATTCATTATATCCTAACAAACCTCTTAAATTAAGACCTATTGGGGTGCCTGGGTGCTCAGTTGGTTAAGCGTTCTACTCTTGACTGCAGCTCAGGTCATGATCTCAGGATCCTGAGATCAAAGCCCATGTCAGGCTCCCTACTCAGCAGGGAATCTGCTTCTCTTCTCACTCTGCCCTTCCCTGCCACCCTGCCCCACTTCACTCTCTAAAATAAGTAAATCCTTAAAAGAAATAAGTTAGGGCCTATTTATCATCTCGTCTTTTCCTATGGAACAGTTTGTAAAATAACTTTCCCAAAGTCATACAAGTCGCAGATAAAGTAGAACCTAGAACCCACATCTCCAAGCTACTTCAGTGTTCTATACTTAATGCCCACATTACTAACTGCTCAATGGGAAATATCTCTATGTAGGTACCATTGATGATCAGGGAATTTTGAGCTTGCTGGGAAATTATTAGCCCAGAGCAGAAGGCCTGGTTGTTGATTAAACAGCTGCCACTGGTTAGTGTCAGGGGACACAAGGCTAGATGTACAGGAGTGAAGCAACAGCCGGTGAATAGAGAATGTGCGGGGAGGCGTTGTTAACTCCGCAGGTAGGTAAGCATGCATGGCTCAGTACACATAGGACTTCAGAAGACAAACAGTGCCTTTGTTTCTGGAGATTTAAAAAATAATGACATTCCATTGTTGCAGGGAGAGTGCAATTTATTATTCAGAGGCAAAGAGGTTGGAGAGAAATTTTTGTTCAACTACACTAGTGATAATAAGTACTAGGGTATTACCTTAATACACAGGAAGGCTGGAGGCAGAGGGGCTAGAGATTTTTATCTTTGATGTTAGTGTCTTTTGTTTGTTTTAATGAAATTCCACCTTTCCTTCAAACTTTTAGTTCTTCCTGGACATTTCAAAACCCTCTGGTCACTTTGGCAAGGTTATTTTAATTAAAATCTTTATGTCATCTCCCAGAATCTGGATCAGGTCTGTGATCTCCTTGATTCTCAAACCGACCAAAAGTCTTTACAACCCACTGAGCTCATTAGCATTATTTTAGTTCACTGACTCACAGATGAGAAAAGACCTATCAAATCTAGGTCACCCTTGGGACATCTGGCTGGCTTAGTCTGTAGTGCATGTGACTCTTGATCTCAGGGCTGTGAGTTCAAGCCCCACGCTGAGCATAAATCTTTTTTTTTTTTTTAAGATTTTATTCATAGAGACACAGAGAGAGAGAGAGAGAGAGAGAGAGAGAGGCAGAGACCCAGGCAGAGGGAGAAGCAGGCTCCATGCAGGAAGCCAGACATGGGCCTCTATCCTGGGTCTCCAGGATCACACCCCAGGCTGCGGGCGGCACTAAACTGCTGTGCCACCGGGGCTGCCCCCCACGTTGAGCATAGAGCTTACTTAAAAAAAAAAAACCTAATTTAAGACACCCTTATTTCTCGGCGTATGTCCCCACCATCATGTGTGCCAAACAGCAGTCTAGCTTGCATGTCCCACCAGTGAGATGGAGATTCCTGCTTCCTGAGGTGTTCATTATGTCTTCAGGCACCCGCTGTGTATAACTTCACCATCTTGCCAATGGTGGTAACTAGGGAAGATTTTTGATGCCATCCTTTGTGGCTTGGCTAGAGAATCACAAATACTCACTGGCATTCTTACCAGGTTCTACTCAAGTGGCCAATTGTATCTGCTTGTTTAAGCAGGGAGAGGAATTCATGCTGAAGTTCATTTCTAAAGGAAGATACCTTGGCACTTAGGGTGGCTGACTGACAAAAGATCTGTGGTCTAGGTGGAAGATACTCAGACAGGAACTTCTGACTCTGGGGTAATTTTGAGGCTGTATATAAAGCCATGCTGACACTTCCTGTGTCAAGACCTTTAAAAAAAAAATAAATAAAAAAAACACAGTACTGAAGCCTTAGAAAGGATACCTTCACTCAAAACAGAGATGATAATCTCCTCAAGGTGAGGATCTGGTACTTTGTTCTGCATACTGTCGTCTCTGGCCAAGCCACCCTAGAAACCTAGGTAAATAACGTAAAATACTAACTCTCTAAGAGAATTAAGTTATAGTTAGCACAGTCTTAGGTCTCAGATCAGAAGCCTTCAGAGGCAGTCCTTTGCTTCCTGCATTCTGACCCAATGGGAGAGAGAGAGGACCCCGTCTCCTTCTGAGATCATGCCTCCTCTAAGCCATTGCGTTTTGGGTTTTTTTTTTTTTTCCTCTGACCACTTGAAGGTGGTTATAAATAATTAAGAGGCCAAAAGGAAGGCAAGCAAGTGAATGAGGACTGTGAGGATCGCTTAAAAGACTCAAGACCTGGAAAACCAACTCAGTCGTCCTTCCTTGGGTTGTCTTACTTTTATTTTGTTGTTTGTTTCTTGTTTCCTCAAACTCAAATTTAGGATTTTGTTCAAGGACACATATTCTCTCAGAATAGTGTGCCTGGGGTTCTTCCAGTGGGTTTTGTATGCTTAGCTGTTCACCAAAGCAGAGCCAATACAGGTGATTCCTTCAGTGTTAGACTGAAGGTCAGGGTCACCCAAACCTGCTTGAATGGGAACTGCACATTCTTGGCAAAACTTGCTTGAAAAAGCAGCATCACTTTCATCACCATCGGAAGATGAGAAAGAAGCAGCTTCCTGAGACTGGTTATAAACTCACATGGCATGAGGGATACAGAGGAGAAATCCTTCAGGGTCTAGGGATTAGGGCCTTGGGTCCAAGGGAATGAATGGAGCCTGGGCTGTAACTGAATGAAATATGTTACAGGTATATAGGCACACCCCACCCCTGCAAGCTTGCTTTTTTGTAGAAAAGGAGAAGACCAACCACAATTTCTCCAAAAGCTATTACCTTAAAGAACCAGAGTCCCATGGTATCTGGCCTAGAGAAACAATCCAAAGTTCAGCCGTTGAGGGCCCCCCATAAGCCGCAGGTTAAAAGCCACTGGGCTGCTTCCCACCTTGCAGTCAGTTCTGAATGATCCTGGGGTCCTGCATGGGGGACTGCAGCACCCTAACTAATTGAAATCCCCACTGTACCAGATGCTGGGGGGAGGGTGGTTGCCAGATGTCAGCAATTCTTCCTCCACAAGCCCTGTAACAAGACTGTAAACCAGCAGTAGAACGGCTTCTTTAGATTTCAGTTCTTGTTATTTCTCCTGCTCAGAAAGGGTAAAGTATGTCAGATGAGTAACGTGAAGGAGGAGGAGCAGGACATGAGGAAGGAGGGAAGTGATTTTTTTTCATGACAGGATAATGTGCCTTTAATACAATTGAGTGTTGCCTGCATTTCAAGTGAGATTCTAGGATAGTTCAGAGTTTCTTCCTATTTGATCTAGAAGAACAAGGCTGGACTAAGATTATCCAAACCTGAAGTTTCAGCCCCGGACATTCCTCATACTGAGCCATAGGACATGGATTTTGAGAAATATCTCTCCTCTTTAAAATTGCTTTGCTGTTTCTGAGGCCAGGAGGGAGCTTTCTGTCAAAACAGGTATCTTCTTAAATGACAGATTAAAATAAAACTTCAGAGCAAAGCTCTTAGCAACACATAGAACCAGATGTCCTAGTGTATTGTTTAATGGCCTAAATCAAACCAGGATATGCGAATCAATCTGTACAATGCTTTGTTTTACTCTGATCTTCAGCATTATTCCTCATAAAACCAAATACCATAAAACAAGTCACTGAGTGGCCAGGTCCAAGAAGCAGCTTTGTCTACATCTAGATGGATGGCCTTTTGAATAAATTGAGCAGAAAAAGTGTGGTAATGTGAAATATTCATAAATCACTGAGTAAGCACTAACTAACCTCTTGGAACTTTTGTTTTCTCTGGTCCCAGCTGTCTCCAGGCTCCGGAAAAAAAAGCAGCTAGTCGTAGTGTCAGAAAAGAGGGAAACCAACTAGAAAATACCAAAGATACCAGGTTTATACTCTTTACCACTTAGAAAAAGCCCACATGGCAGAAGAAAAACAGCTTTAGTTAGGACTCTCTGGTGTAATCTCCAGGTACCGGAGGGAGCAGCCAGAGTGCCTGAGAGTCTGGCTCTTTGAGCCAGGGTCTGGCAGGTCCTGTGTGCAAGGACTTCCTCTTCCTAAAATCGTCCTTAAGATCTCTCTAGGCTTGAAGTCCTACCTGAAGCCCCAGATCAGCCCAACCGAGACCTGGGGAACGAGTCTGAAAGATAGGACCTCAGTCCTCCAGACACAGACGTATGCTCTGTACCTCGTCACCCTCACCAACCCAGGCTCAGGACCACACTTAACTGCCTCCAGCACCTTTCTCACACTCACGCAAGACTGACGCACCACACCATGATCTAGGAGCTCATTTCCACAGCTGTGACAGCATGAAGTCAGCAGAGTGCCACAACCACAGAGCCCAGTGAGGGAAGTGGGACCAAGACACAAACATCCTGTCCTCACGACATTGAGTGGCTCCAATTCAAGAATCAGGGTCACAGAGCTGATTATTTATGTGGGACAGAGCTTCCCAATGACATGCAGAAACCCATTTTCCCTACAATCCTTGCAAGTGACAGAGCATTTTCTCCTGAGTCCATAGACTCAAATGGTGCTATTCTTGGCTTATAAGGTCGGTGACAGGAGAGAGTGACAGTGACAGACCAGTTGCTGACCAGGAAGAGTTGGAATGTGTGGAGCTAAGCCTGAGGTAGGAGTGTCCTCAGGATAACGTGAGCACCAGCTCACTGGAAGTTCCATCTCTTTCCACAAACCAGTTTAAGAGAGAGGGGGCTGAATCAGTGGCAAAGAGCTGGCCCTGCAGTCCCCTTCCCGTGCTCACGGCCGTGTCAGGACTCTGGCATGTCCAGCCCTGTTCTTCCGTGCAGGACTGGGGGTGTTTTTGGGCCAGGTCTCACCTCGTATACGATCGTTTCCAGCTAAAGATCTCCTCCAGATGGGAAGAGGGAGAGACCTCCCGCTTCTGCAGGGTTCCCCAGCGACGCCGGCCCCCTAGGAATGAAGCCCGATGCCTGCTCAGCCCCTTCATCCTCTCTTCTGTTCGGAAGAACTCTGTCAAGGCCCGGAAGTACTCCAAAATGACCTCATGGCTCCAGGCTGGCAAGGGCTCCTGGCGCAGGAAGCCACAGTGGCCTCCGTGGTGACTGAGCAGCAGGAAGAAGTAGGGGTTGCTGTGGAAGAGTTCCGTCGGCAGAAAGTGGTCTGGGGGCCCGCACACGGGGTCGTCAGCACTACAGATACACAACACGGGCACGGCCGCCTCATCCACATCCCGGAGGGGGTCGTTGTGGTCCCAATAGGTGTCCCAGCTGATGGGGAAACTCTTGGTGTGGCAGAAGAGGGTTTCCTCAAACTCTCGCAGAGAGCGGCTCCTGAACAGTTTGTGGGTGTCCACCGTGTCCTGGAGGGCCGAGGCGTATCTGGCAGCAAGAAGTGGAACAGGGAAGGTAGGAAATGATAGAAGAATGAGAAAATGAATCGACAACAGAAATTATAGCAGCCTGCAGACCAGGTTTCTGGTCACGGAGGCATTCTTTGGCCATATGGTATTTTTGAATTCCATTTTGTTGTCATCACTTGAAGATTTTTTTTTTTTTTTTTTTTTTTTAGGTAATTCTATGCCCAAAGTCGGGCTCGAACTCACAACCCTGAGATAAAGAGTCATACCCTCTACTGACTGAGCCAGCCAGGCATCCCTTTGTCATCATTTAAAACCAGGAGATTTCACATAAAATGCAGGTATTTGGGTTCTCTAGGGAAATGGAAAGGTCTGGCAACATGGGCTGGCATTTCTCAAGGCAACAAGGGGGCATTTCTTCCCTCATTTCTGTGTCATGGTTCCTACTAGGCCTTGTGTTACCTGCTTAGCCCTGGGGCAGGAAATGACTTTACAGCTGCTGATCTATAGTGACAGCTCTACTCCTACCCTCAACTCCTGACCCTCTATAGGCAACTTGCTTTGAACTGAGCCCCTCCTGGAACACCCTGGCTCAGAAATTCCAAACCTGCAGGTGACATCCCCCCTATCGTCAACATTTTACTTCAGGTTTATTAGTCTGTTTTTTAATTTATTTTATTTATTTATTTTTATGATATTAGTCTGTTTTTTAAAAGCTAACATGCTGTCTAGATAATAGCAAACAAGTGTGACATTGAGCAGTAGTACAGGTATTCCTAGAGACGGCTGAGCAGCAGCAGAAGAGGCTCCTAGGAGTATAATTATTTTACAGGGTAAGTTGTAAAATGGGAGCCTGAGAGCCACTGCTCTGGGGAAGAGGGGCATTTTTTTTTTTTTTAATTTATGATAGTCACAAAGAGAGAGAGAGAGAGAGAGAGGCAGAGAGGTAGAGACACAGGCAGAGGGAGAAGCAGGCTCCATGCACCAGGAGCCCGATGTGGGATTCGATCCCGGGTCTCCAGGATCGCGCCCTGGGCCAAAGGCAGGCGCCAAACCGCTGCGCCACCCAGGGATCCCAAGAGGGGCATTTTTGCTCTTTCCACTTCCATGGAGAGAGTCTGGCACAGGAGGTCAGGATGGGCAGCTAGTGCTTTGAGTGAATTGATGCAGACTTAGCCAGTTGCATTTGGATGTGCGTCTCAGCAAACATTCAAAGAGGCTTGCCCTGAGTTTTCCATCCCAAACTTCCTGGGCAGGACAGACCCTAAAGGCCCAGATTTCCTCTCCACTTCCCTCACCTTATCGTCTAGCTGGTGTTTAGGGTCAACACTGGTGGTTGTCATTTGGGGATGGAAACTAGCAATGAAGCCAAATAAGAACACTTTGTCTTGGACTGCTCAAGTTCTGGGCTGCTATGACAGCCCTTTGGGCTATTGGTGAGTTCAGGGCTTGACCTTCTCAGAGCACAATGGGGGCAAAATCACACACCAACAGATTTCCGATTCCTGTCACCTCCAGGCTGAGACACTATATAAGGAAATATTCTAGACAGATAATCAGTTGTAATTGCTTCCAGAGCCCCATTGCTGATTTGACAAACTGTGGATTAAGCGGTGAATGCCAGGGGCTGCCTCTGCTGCTGGTGGGGCAGGTGCTCAGGACACCCCGGGGCTGAGATGAGGCCCGCGGGCCCCAGGGCAAAGTTCCTGCTCTAGCATAATGATGCTGAGTCCGACCACGGCCCTTAAATCTGCTCCCCTGGTTCTGTCTAGACTCGAGGGTTTTTGGACAGCTTCGCAAAGCGTTTGCCTCAACTGTCCTGAACCGTGTGATTCGATACGGTATCCTCGTCAGCCCAAGACCCCTCTTTCCCACTTGGCCGCCCGCCTGCGGCCACCGTTACCCACCTGCTGAGGGCGATCTTCTGGTGGAGCAGAAAGCCCCGCTCGTAGGGCCAGGGCAGGCCGGCCTCAAACCACTCGCGGCAGCGCAGCACCGGCGAGATGCACGCGGCGCCGGTCACATAGCTGGAGGAGCCGCACTCTCCCAGGTAGGACAGCAGAAGCGCTGAGCCGGAGCCCTCGCTCACCGCGAACAGAGGGGCAGCCGGGTGTCGGAAGCGGATGTAAGTGACCGCCTCCTTGAGGTCGGACGGGTCGCCGAAAGGCTGCAGCCGGGGGCTGACCAAAGGGCAGCCGTGGTGGCCGCGCCGGTGGAAGATGACCGGGTAGTAGCCGCGCTCCAGGGCGAGCAGGCAGAGGCCGAGCACGTTGCGGGTGAGGCGCCCCCAGGCATTGGGGATCACCAGCAGCACGGCGGGAAGGCCCCCGGCGTTAGTGACCCGTCGACCCCGGGGGCAAGGTCCCACGACCCAGTCCAGGGCCACCAGCCCGTCGTCCGCCAACTGCAGGTACTCCCTGGCCAGCTCAGGCCCGGGCCCCACCGGCAGCACGAAGTGGCAGAGGGTCTGCAGGTGGGGCCCGGAGAGCCAGGAGCGCGGCAGCGGCTCCAGCGCTGTCGAGCGTCGCAAGGCGCTCAGCAGGCACCGGGCCAGCGCCGACGGTTTACAGATGAGCCTGCACCCGCCCGGCAGCGGCTCGCGCCCGTCGCTGAATCTGTCCGCGGCGCCTCCGCCGTCTGCCTCCTCCCGGTGGTCCTGGCCGAGGGCCCCCGGTACAGCACTCGCTCCGACGGCGCGCCGCAGCCGCTGGGCCAGCAGGCCAAGCAGGGCGAGCGCGGCCAGGAGCAGGGCGAGGGCGGCGCCCCACGGCGGCATGGCGAGGCAGGAGAGCCCCCCGCGGGCGGCGGGCGGCGGCGGCGGCGGCGGGCGGCGGGCGGCGGGGCTGCGCCCTTGGCGAGCTCCCCGCTCTACTCGCGGCTCCGCCCGGCCGCCGGCTGCAGCCCTGGGCTCTCCTGCGCAGGGGGTGGGGGTGGGGGCGGGGGCGGTGGGCGCTCCGGATTGGTCGTGGCCCTGCGGGAGGCAGCCAGTTCGGGCCCGGCTCCCCTCGCCCGCCCCCCAATCCCTCCCCAGGTCCTTTGTACAGCGATTGCGACAAGCTGGAGCAGAAGGTGAAAGGAGCCTAGGCCACACAAAAGGGCCGAGGACGCGCCAGCGAGCCGGAAGGGAGTGGGGAGGGCCGCGACCCGAGCAGTGGGGGTGTCGGCGGCCGAGAGCGGGGAGACTCGGAGACCGAGGATCGCGGCTTGGGGGTGCGCATCGGAGTCCCCGCCGAGCCCTCCCCTCGGCCCCGCTCGGTGTGTAGCTGAGCGGGGGCGGGGGGACCCTGCGTCGCTGCGCCCTCAGGAGCCGCGGTTGAGAAGTAGCCAAAGAGAGACGTGAATAAACCCCAGCTCCGGGAGCAGGCTCTCGGGCTCCCGCGGGGCGGCTGCAGCTGCGGCCGGAGCCACTGGCCGCTCCTCCCTCCCGGGCTTGGCCGCGCTCTCTGACCTCGGTGTTTGTCTCGGCCCCGCGGGCACCCTCGACTGCGCCAGAGCCCGGCTGGGAGGGGGGTCGGGCTCCCGGCCAGCGAGCGCTGGGCGGGCGTCCCGCCAGACAGCGGATCGGCTGCAGGGGGCCCGGGCGCCGGGGGCTGCTAGTTCCCTGGCCTGCATCTGCGCGCCGGCCGGATCCCCCGGGAGCATGGGGCTCCCCAGGAGCCTGGATTCAGATAATGGAAATCCTCAACACCGCTCCCCGAGAGGGCCTTCCCCAGAAACAACAGCCTCAAGCTGGGGGAAAAGATGCACCCAGGCGCCTGCGAGGGGGTTGCCTGTCACCCTGCGACGGGGCCGTGGCAACGGATAGATTGCAGTTCCTTCATCAGTTCAGTAGCTGGCGTTTACAGGGGAACGAGGGAGGGACGGGTAAGAAACCCCCTTGTAAGTCACATTCTTGCTCTCTATCGAAATAACCCGTTTTCGCTCTATTTCGAAGTTTGAGGCTGGGCATCTCAACCTTCATCCTCCATTCAGGTTCCCGTCTTGCCTCAAAATCCTGACCGGGGCCAAGGAGAAGGGCACTAGAAAGAGGCCGGCGCCCCCCTGCAAGGGGCAAAGCCTGTGACTCCTACACCTCACGGTGACAAACGTCTCCCTGGGCACACGCTGGCCATCGTTGGACAAACGACAAGAGCAGAGGCAGGCATGCGGGAGCAATGCAGCCGCAGGCCGGATTCGGCTTCCTCGGACTTCTGGGCCTGGGGAGGGTAGAGGCCAGAGAGCCTCCGAAGCTCCTCCAGGTTCAGGCCCTACTTGCGAGGGTGCGAGTGGGATGGACTGAAGGTGAAGCCCTAAAGCGGGGACCCTCTTCCTTCCGCAGCTCCGACTTCATGATTCTGCCGCTCTTCTAGTTGCGGGTCACACTAACGTGTCTGAAGCGGGTTTGCCGGAGGAGCGTACGGGTCTCCCCTTCGGGGCCACTCGGTCCACTGGGATCCCATTTCCCGCCCTTTGCCCCGCTCCATGATCCCACCCGGGCACTGCAGCTGAGCTCTGCAGGCGGCAGAGAAGCGCCGGGACGAAAGTGCGGGCGAAGGACCGGTCCCCGTCCGCCTCGCGGGGCCGTGCGCTCGGGCCCGGCTCCAGCACAAAACTTTTCCGGCTCTGAGTTTAAGACGCGTGCGCGCAAGGTCCGCGGTTGTGGGCGGGCATTGGGGTGGGCGGAGGCGGGGCGAGAGGAGCGCGCGGCTGTGGGGGCGGGGCGAGGCGGAGAGCGCGCGATCCTGGGGCGTTGGGGCGCGCGCGCGCGAGCCCGGGGTCTACGTGGGCTTACTGGCGGCGCGGGGGACGGCGCGGGGGTGCGCGCTCCCGGGCCTGCGGTGCGGCCGGCAGGTCCCCGGCGGACCGGGATGGCACCTCCTCCGCCTTCGCCCCAGCTACTTCTCCTTGCAGCCCTTGCGGGGCTTCTGGGTCCCAGTGAGGTAAGGCGACCGGTCCCTGAGCAGGCTTCGGCCTGGGATCTCAAAGCGCCGTGCCCAAAGTTCCTCCTGGAAGGAGTGGCGCGTGCAGAGGGGATAGGAGTCGTCCCCTGGCGGACTGGGCCTGGGAGGAAGAGGGCAGGGCCCACGCCGAGGCCAGTGCCCCAACTCTTGTGTGCCTTCGACTCACAGGTGGTGGCCGAGCCGGAGGAGGAAGCGGGAGCCCGCTGTCCCGAGGGCCTGTGGCCTCTACCCCCACAGGTAGGAGCCTGGCGCGGGGCGGGTGTGTGTGTGTGTGTGTGTGTGTGTGTGTGTGTGTGTGTGTGTGAGTGTGTGAGTGTGGGTGTGAGTGTGAGGGCTCTGGCTGTGTGTGTGTGTGTGTGTGTGTGTGTGTGTGTGTGTGAAGGAGCGGCTCTGGCCTCGCCGCGCCCTCACAGTCACCCTCTGAGGACCTCTGCCGGCTCCTCAGCCCCTCAGTCGCCGGCGTCTGCATCCCAGCCGCGGCGTGGGGCCTGCTGCCCCCTCCCCACCCCCACACGGAGTTCCCCAGCTGCTCTAAGCCCTCTTTTTCCCCATGCATAGGTGTCACCAAGAGTGGTTTTCGTGCGGATGAGCCGATGGCAGGTGGGTACAAGCCCGGAGCCATCCTTGGTGTCTGCACCAGAAACGGCGGGCTCTTTGCAGGTTTTCTCTGCCTTTTCAGCTCCCCAGCTCCATTCTTGAGGCTTCCCTCAGGAAGAGAGTGAGCCACGGGTCTCTGTCCTGTGCATTGCTGTGTCAGGAATTGTGTGGAGTAGCTGTCTGCCCGTGGGCAGGAGGCTGCAAGGGCAACCCACAAAACCACCCATGCCCCAACTCTGCTGTGTGGCTGTGGGAAGCCTCCGGACCCCAGTTTCCTTAAGAGGGGCATCAGTAATGTCCCTGCTCTCCAGGACTAAACGAATTGTGTGTGATACCACTTGGAGGAAATAGGAATCTATGTGAGGTAAAGAATGTGCCCGAGATTACAGGACACCAAACCATGTATGTGTTCACCTTGCACGCCCGCCTCTGTTTTCATGCCAATGCCAATGGTCAGATGGCTTCCCTGTCCCTTTGGTTTTCCTTTAAAATATCCATCTCTTTTTGAAATTTATAATAGCTCCAGGCCCAAAAACCTCATGCCACCTACCTGATTCCTTCCCTCAAACACTCTTTCATTAAATCATTCCCCAGTTTAAAAGCCTTCAATGGTTCTTTATTTCTCACCCTATCATGGTCATACCCATCTGACGCCTCTCCCAGACCCCCACCCCCACCCCCACCCCCAGGTTTTCAGGCCCTGCTTAGTTAAATAAGCTTCACCTGACATTCCCAAATCTTGGGTTGCTCTTGGGTTGTGTTGGTCTCCTCATCACACATGTGAGTGCCGGGCTCATTCCCACTGCTGTACCTCTGCTACTGCTTATTCTCCATACCTGGCCTAATCTGACCTGAAGCTGAAGTGGGCAGCTCCCTGCCCTCCTGCAATCCTTCCCATCTACTTCCAAAGCCCAGTGCAAGAGTCAGCTCTTTCTTGAGAACTTGCCTCATCACCCCAGCCCTTATTCACCACCTTCTCCAAATTCATGTAATGCTTACAGCTTTTCTCTTATAACGGTAAATCACTTTGAGTTTTATTAGTTTGTTCTTTCATTTGCATTAGTTCTGTTGCCCTGAGTTTCCTGCACATTCCCTGCAAGCAGAGCCCAGGAGTTGTCTTTTGGCATCTCCTATAGCGTCTGGCACAGTGCTGAGCATCAGGTCAGCTCCAGCAAAGAATAATTAATAATTGATGAAGTGTTCCCATCGTGGGACCATGCACCTGCTGCCTGACTGCCCTGTATTTGGATGTTTTGGGGAGATATGTGGATAGAATCAATACATAGAAGACCTGGTCTCCACTTAGAGGATGCTTACAGTCTAGACTGGGGTCCTGTGGAACCACTGTTGCACAGGTGCAGAGAAATAGAGCTGAAGAGTGGGGTCTAACAGCCTTACCTAGGCTTGTGAGCTTTGAGGGGTAGCACCTGATGGAGAGGCGGGGGTGGGGTGGGGTGGGGTGGGATGGGATGGAGAGGAACAGAGGCAGGAGGGAATGCCTGCCCCTACCCAGGGATCTCTGTCCTTCCCTGAGCCCTGAAGGTGGGCATCTGGCCACCCTGGGAATCCCTTTAAGCTGGCCCCCAGGATGGGAAACCTTAGGATTGTCAGCGAGTGCCCTGGGCCTGGCGCGATGCCTCCGTATTTTTTCTCTAGGCTGAGGATGTCAGCTTCCTCTACCACCCCTGTGCACACCCATGGCTGAAGCTCCAGCTTGCCCTTCTGGCCCACCTTTGTGTGGCCCGGCCCTCACTGGCCCCTGACTCTAGCCTCACTCAGGAGCGGGTAAGTGGTTGAGGAAAGGTGGTCATCTGCACTGGCAGAGGCTGTAGCCCCATCTGCAAGGGAAGGAAGATTCAGGGGCTTCCTCTTGCTTGCTCCCCACCTTCATCTTAGTTGTCCTTTCCTAGCCCCTGGTGTTGGCAGCATGGGGGGTGGTGCTGGAAATGGCGTGGATAGAGCCAGCCTGGGCTGCCCACCTGCTGAAGAGGCGGCGGCGGCGGAGGAGGAGGCAGAGGAAGAAGGCCTGGTTCTGCCCTGATGGTCTTTCTGGGTTGTCTCCCTTGGTCCCAAGGCCAGGGCGAAGGAGGCTGTGCTGGAGAGGGTGTGTGCAGGTAAGGGGTGCTGGGCATGGTTGGTGGTGGGGTCACTGGGTTATCTGGGCAGGAAAAGGGTGACTGCTATCTCTCTTCCCAAAGGCCCCAGCTTTAGCCTTTACTCTGTGGAGCTGGAGGCCCTCCAGTGCAGAGGAGGCAACTAGAGGGCCCAGGCGCCTCTCTCCTGGCGGTGCCAAGAGGCGTGGGCTGCGTGCTGCCTTCGGTCTCCAGCCCACCCCCTCAGCCCTGAGGTTCCCCTCTGCTTCTCCACCGAGCTTGGAGGCCAAGTGGCCCGTATTGGCAGCTCAGGGTGAGGGAGGTAAGGCGCCCTCTGTGCCCACTCTCTCCTTGCTGCCCGAGGGTCTGGGCGGCAATGCCAGCTCTGGGCTAGAGACCCAGGAGCCCAAAGGGCAGAGCAGCCCAGGCGGCTGCACCTGTCCAGGTGGGGCTTCCCCAGCCCCTCAGGCAGCAGTGCCTCCACCCGTAGTCCGGGGTCCCACCCCTCGCACGGAGGAGGCCGCTTGGGCTGCCATGGCCCTGACCTTCCTGCTAGTGCTGCTCACTCTGGCCACGCTCTGCACTCGGCTGCACCGGAACTTTCGACGCGGGGAGAGCATCTACTGGGAGCCCACAGCGGACAGCCAGGACACGGTGGCCGGTGAGGAGCTACCCTCCTTACCAACCGGCGGGGGCCCGGCACCTCCCAGGCACTCCTGCCATTCCCTGATCGCCCCACCCCGCCCACAGCTGTGCTGAAGCGGAGGCTGCTCTTGCCCCCGCGCCGTCTCAAGCGCTCCCGCCGGAGACCCCTTCTCCCGCCCTCGCCGGACAGCGGCCCAGACGGGGACAGCTCCGACTGACCTGCCCCAGCCCTGCCACTGCAGTGGTGGTGGTGAAGGGGACCTTTGCCCAGGAGGCCGTGACCTCTGCCACGTGGACCCTGCGCGGGACCGCCTCCTGGCGGCCGGCCGAAGCGCATCCCGCCTAAGCATCGCAAAGGGGCTTGTCCCTCCGCCTCCAGTGTGGCTTGCTACCTTGCTACCGAGGGTTGAGGGAAGGGGCCCACAGCCTCCCTTGCCTGTATTTCTAATTAAATTATTTTGGTAGAGTCTGGGGCTGAGCTGGTGCATCTGCCACGCAGACACTCCCACCTAGGACCCTGTTCCGGGCCACTGAAGTGGGCTTTTACCAAAAAATCATTAGGCCCCCACCAGCCTGCCTCCACCTGCCCACTTGGCCTTGGCCAGTTTTAGTAGTGGGATAGAACCCAACCTGCTACCATGATGGGGAGGGGGAGGCAGCGTTAGCAACTGAAACCTTATTTCCCAGCTCCTTTTCTAGAACACAAGGGCTTTCGAGTTTCAGGTCTGGAACAGTTGTGGTCTTCATTTGCTTCATGCTCTTGCCAGGTTTTTTTCTCCCTTTTGTGTCTGCCACCTCCCCAATACCCCCTGCTCCCCCCGATTCTGTAAGCATCAGCAAGAGCACATGGTCACTTATTTATTTTTGATACAAATGTACATGACACATGTCTTGACAGCCCACCCACCACCACACAGGTAGAGCCTGGCCCCAGGGGGACAGGGAGAGCTGGTAGGCACTGCCATCTGCCTCTCCAGCTCCCAGGCTGCAGCTCAGATTCCAGATACCCAGATACCACAGGGCAGGTGCTGGCCTCTCAGAGGTTATGGGAAGGGGGCTCTCAGCTGAGTCAGGGACCCCGGGGAGCCAGCCCCAGGCTCAGACGCTTAGTTCTCTGCCCCAGCCAGCACATCCTCCTCCACAAGGGAGGGGGTGGAGAAATGTAGGGAAGTGGTTTTTGTTATAAGTTCATAGAGAAAGGGGTAGGAGTGGGGGGACAGATGAGGGGAGGTGATGGGTTGGACCCCAGCTGGTTACCAGCAGTCCCTGGCCCCAGGATGGGGAAGGGGGGATGATCCCTAACACTGGTCCTGCTGTTCTGGTCCCCTCACCCTTCATAGAACTCCAGATGGGCCAGGCCTCCGGAACGGCACTGCCGCCCCGCACACTCACACACAAGCACGCAGGGACACTCAGTTACCACAATGTTAAAATTAAGGAGTGGAAGAGAGAGAAAAAAAACATTTTCCAGTGTTTGTTTGCTGCTAGGGACCCTGGGAACACAGGCTGGGGCCAGTGTTCTCGGCAGGGGCCATTTGGCATTCAAGGACAGCAGCAGGGGGGCTGGTGGCTACAGGATGGGGGGACATCCACAGAGATTATGTACAAAGGAAGAGATGCCCCCGTTCAGCCCCCAGTAGGGCTGAACTGGCTCATGGGGGTGGGGTGCCTGTAGGGGGAACCATCCTACTTGGAGTGTCCCTACCTGACCCTCTGCTGAGGGTGCCCCAGAGGGCCAGGGGCTGGGAGTGATACCTTACAGGCCCCTGCACGCTAGAAGGGGGGTGGGAGGGGAATGCTATGTACAGGAGGAGGTGTGTGGAATGTGGGGGACAGAAGCTCCTGCTACCCCACCTCCCTATCCTTGGGGGGCTCGAGGAGGGTGGGCACCGGGGCACCTGGCTGCCAGGGGAGGGTGGCAGCACTGAGGGCACTTGTGCCAGCAGCTCTGTGAGGGTGGGGATTAGTGTCTGGAGTGGCCCAGCTCCCATGGCCAGTGAGGTCCCAGGGTGCAGGTGAGGGTGCAGGGAGAGTTGTCACTGCTTCTTTTCTCGGGTGGTGATGGTAACCAGCTGCTTGGCGGCCTTGGCGATGTCATAGGCGCACTGGATCACCTGCTGAGTCAGCAGCTGGAAGTCCACAGGGGCACCGGGCTCTGGGGGCACGGTCTTCCGGCATTCACTCTGCAGCCGGTAGGCGCTGGCATTGAGCAGCCGCAGTGAGCTGCGCACAGGCTCCAGGGCTGGCCTCTGGAGGGGAGGCGGGAGTTGGGCCTTAAACTTCAAACTATGAGCCTCGAACATGGCCCAGTGTGTCCTCATGTCCACCTAGGTAGCAGTCACATTCCCTGTACCTGCCCCACCCCAAGACCCTTCCCAATCCTGCTCGTCTTTCTGGCCCCAGTACCTTTGGGAAGAGAGAGGCCATCTCAGTCACAGCCAAATGGATCTTCTCTGAGCAGGGCACAAAGCTTTGGGAGGAGAGAGGGTAAAAATTAGGAGAGTTTGCAGGGACAGTGGAACACTGGCCCCTCTTACCCTCTCCAACGCCCAGGGGCTGCTAGGAGCCTTGCATCCCACCCACATACCTGTCATGCTTGAATTCTTGGGCAGCCCGCAACAATTCCTGAATGTTCTTGGTGACCTGTTCTGTCTTCAGGATGACATCCTCTGTGCTGGGAAGCCCGGGGTCGAGATCTCCGTCCAGGCTCTCCAACTCTGGGTGGAAGTCTTCTTCCTTGCCCAGCTCAAGAAACCTCTTCCCTTCCAGTCTGAGGTCAGGGTTAGAAAGAGATATTCCAGTGGTGAGGCTGCTTGCCTGCACCCTCCCAGACACTCCAGCACCCACTCAGCCTTCTTCCCTGGGGTGCCTCACCCAAGCAGCGGGTCCCCACTTTGCGTGTTCTCATAGTCACTGTCAGCACCGCTGCCGTGGCGGGAAAGCTTGCTCTGGAGGATCAGGGAAGGGGTAGTAGGTGACATACATGTTCATAGACCCACATGGCCTGGCCTGTCCGTTTCCATGCATGCATCTCATTCAGCCTGTCCCTCGGGCACTAGGGATGGGAACTGGGAATGCGAATGTTACCGTGTGACGGCTTCCTTCCTGGGAACAGGACAGCAGTGGGGAGGAGGGAGTGAAGGGCACAGCTGAGGCTGACACCCCCTTCCGGATCTGAAACCCAGGGGGACTAGAGTCAGTTCTTCCTCCCTGCCACCTGTCTTCCAGTTTCCCAGCATAAGGAGGAGGGGGGCGACACGTGTATCTAGTCATCCCTGTGCCCAGCAGCCGGCACAAAACCTGGCACCCACTGGGGCTAAGAACCAATCTGCAGAAATGGATCCACTTCCCCCAAGCCCTGCTTACCCGGTAAAGGCCAGCAGGGACGTGTACTGAATAGATGGCATCATCCTCCAGCTCCTGGGGGATGGCACAATAGGCATCACAGAGGACCCTACGGCAGCTCCAACCCTGTTTCCCCCAATCCTTGACACCCAGAGGCAACTCACAGTGCTGTGGAAAGGCTGTAGCCGGGTGGTAAGCTCGTCCCCAGGTGGGCCCCCAAAGGGCTTCAGGGCAGAGCCTGGTTCATACATGGAGAAGGCCTGGCGGTCCCTGCGGTGGGCACTCCCACCAGGCCCCATCGATGTATGTTCTGCTCTGTCGCTGGGCAGTGGGGGTGTGGGCACTGGCCCCGGCGGCTGCCGAATCTGCAAGTTCTCTGCCTGCAGCTTGTGGATCTGAGAGCGCACGGTGGTGTCAGAACCTCCAGAGGCTCCAGGAGTACCCCCACATCTGGGGGCAGGGGATCCTCCAGGACCAGGATGCTAGAAGCCCCACTCCCACCAAGCCTGCTGCCCTTACCTCCCTCTGTAGCCTCCGGAGCTCATCACTCAAGCTGCTGTTGACCTTCATGAGCTGCTGTACCTTGGCCTCGGAGGTAGCCAGAGCCTTCTTGAGCTCCAGATATTCCTGCAGTGTTACAGCCCCATCGGATAGGTCTGAGGAGTCCATGCTCTGCAGAGCGAGACAGAAGTGAGTCAGTCATCAGGGGCAGGGGGTGAATGCCCACAGAAGGCTCTTCTCTAGGCCATAACCAGCCCCTTGTCCCCGAAGCCCCCAGCTATAAGGGGATAGAGCTGGCCCTTGATGGAGGCCCAGGGAGGGGCATTGCTCAGACCCGGGCACGGTTGTTCCTAGTGGCACCAGCGCTGCGCAGGGGCTCCTGGTCCGTGTCCTCGTCCGAGGCTACACTGTCGTAGTCATGTTGGTCGTCGAGGTCACTCTGGCTCCGCGCAGAGAGCTCAAGGTTGTCTGAGGGCACAGTCCTGTCACTCAGGATTCAGCCACACAACCCTTCTATCATGCCACCCCAAAAGGGAGACATGAGAGAGAATATTCTAGAAAGATGCCCATTGCCTGTAGCCCTATCCACACCCTTCCCACCTGTGGGGCTGCTCAGGCTCTTGCCCTGCTGTCTCCGCTTGGCCTCGCTGAGAATGTCTATGATCAAGGTGGCAAACTCTCGGGCATTAAAGCGGGCCAACTTCTGTCGCCCCTACAAGGCAGAAAGAACCCGGCTGGCATGACAGGCCCCCTTATAGCTGACAGATGGGGGTGGGAACAAAGCTGCAAGGGAGTCCCGTTATCTGGCTCATGGCCAGAGCACAGGGTTGAAGATGACACAGGTTCTGGGTGCCGAGTGGAGCTCTCAAGAAGAGGCTGGAACCACCGCCTCCTCCATGAGGCTGCTCACCAAGTGCTCAAAGAAACAGCTTCTTCCCCATATCCAAATCCTAGTGCCAGCAGAGCCCCGAGAGGCCTAGGGCAGGGGAGAAGAGTAGGCCCAGACAACAGCCGCTGAGGAAGGGCAGGGCCCACAGAGCTGGTGACCCCAGGAGAGGAGGAGACTGCCCCAGGCCCCCCCATCCAGCCCCCTCACCTGATTCCGTGTGGCTGAGTACTCGGGGTTCACAGGCAGGAAGGGCACAGCACTGCGCTCTGTCACCAGGGTGCTGTGGTTTTGGGTAGCCAGCCACACTATGGGGGAGGAGCAGAGAGCAAATCATCCAGAGCATCTACGGTGTCCAAGCCCACAGGGTGGAGGTGGGAACATGCTGAGCACAGCCTTCCTCACTCCTCCCCACGCCCACCAAGTGCTGATATTCAAAACAGGGATGGTCTTCAGACAACAAAAGCAAGGCTGGGTCAGGTCAAGGCTGGGCGAGGCTGGCCAGGCTGATGACGAACAGAGCAAGGCGACCCCTTCTTGCCAGGCCCAGCCCAGAGTTTGCGCTGGAATTTGGCTGTGGCCAGGAAGGAGTGAGGTAGGGGGAGGGCGTGGAGTGGGACTGGGGAGTCAGCCAAAGTGGGAGGCAGCCAGAGCAGAGATGAGCCCCAGTCCAGGGGTGGGGGCGGAGGAACAGGCTGGCTGCCTCCAACTAAGCACACTCCGCCTGGCTGGGGAGGCTGTCCAGACTGCTGCTCACAGCCAGCAGGGACCGATATGCAGACCTGCTGAGCAGACCAACCCCAGGCACCCCCTCTTGGTCCCAGTGAAAGGACCTGAGAGCCACACCAGGTCCTAGCCCTTCCGCAGCAGGCGGGCAGGCACCCTCATCTCATCCACCCATGACCTTAGATGCCCTCTTGGCTCACCAGCATCATTTTCTCTTCTATCCACCTCGTCATACACATCCATGGCAAGTTCCTCAAAAAGCCGGTTGCTGAGCTAGAGGCAAAGAGGGGGACCCAGGCTTTGTCAGATCAATTGCTCCCTAGTGGTGACAAGGCCAGCCCAACCAAGATGTCATAAGACATGGGAAATGGCTTGTGTCCCCTGTGCTGCCTAGCCCCTTCTCAGAACTGGAAACTGAGGCAGGGGTCTCTCTGTCAAGCTCCAAGGTGGGAGACGACAGAGAGAGACCAGGTCAGAACAGTTAGTGCCCTCATACATCAGAGGGGGAGCTAGGGCCCTGAAGCCTGCAGAGGGCAGAGCCAGAGTCAAAGACAAAAGGCTGGGAGGGGATAGGAAGGGAGCCAGGAAGGCAGGAGGGAGGGGGACCAATGGCAGGGGTGTAGGTCAGAAATGGGGACAGCTCTAAGCATCAGGGGCCTGTCCAAGCAGACTCACCGCCTGCAGCTTCTTCTTGGCAGCTTTGGCCAACTCAGACAGGTCTAGGCTGTGGACGAAGGAGGCAGACGGGAATGGGCAGACATTAGAGGTGGCCAGGCCCCTGCCTGTGACTCCAGAACATGCAGGGATCCCAGGAAGACAACATCCCAGATGCTGCACACCAAACACCCCCCCCCCCCCAGCCCTCCCAACCTCCAGAGCCTGCTCCCGCAGCAGGCACCATATACCTCTGAGACATGCACTTTTGCCGAGATCTAAGTCCAGAGGGAGGCAGCAGAGGAAAGAACAGGACAGAGGCACCAATTACCCAGGAGCAGGGCAGTGCAAGCCTTCCTGGGGCAAACTCATGCCCACCTCTCTGCACACGTGAGCCCCAGAGTGCACACACCAGAACTCGTCTCTCCCCAAAACCTGCTCCTCCACAGGCTTGCTCTCTCCCTCTGTGCCCCACTCCCTGGGCACCTGTGTCCCCGGCCCCGGTGGAGCTTCCCCCAGCTTCTGCCCTCAGTCTCTCTTCCCTAGGCCTTTGCCAGAGTTTTTTTTTTTTTTAAGATTTTATTTATTTATTCATGAGAGACACAAAGAGGGAGAGAGAGAGAGAGAGAGAGAAGCAGAGACACAGGCAGAGGGAGAAGCAGGCTCCATGCAGGGAGCCAGACGTGAGACTAGATCCCTGGTCTCCAGGATCACGCCCTGACTGAAGGTGGTGCTAAACCGCTGAGCGCCAACCCCCCCCTCACCCCCTCCCCAGGGCTGCCTGTTTGCTAGAGTTTCTTCATCCATCTTCCCACTTCTGATCCTTCCCCTACAATCCCCTTTCCCACCCACCAGCTGGGGTGATGTTTCTGACACACTGGGCCATGCTATTCCTGGCCTTAGAAACAACTCAATAACAAAATATGTGTATGGGGCATACTTTAACCGTACTTCAACAAAAAGCTCACTTAAACAATATGCTATGTGCTTGGCATGCATTATCTTAATCCTCTCAACAGCCCAGAAAAGGCAGGAACTCTTGCCCTCATTGCCACGAGGCAACTAAGAGAGGTCAAGCAGCCTGCCTGAAGTCAAACAGCCAATAAATGGCAGAGCTGACTCCACATATCAGTGCTTGGAACCCTCTCTACTCTTGTGGGGGCTCACAGGACTGGCCATTCTCTCGCCTGTTTCTATCCCAGTCCTGCTCCTGGGATTTCTCACACTATACTCCAGCCCCACAGACTGCCTGCAGTTCCCTGCACAGCACTTCCCACTTATATCATATCATCTATGCCCTTATTTCTCTTGCGGTACTCCCCACAGGGAACTACAGCTGTCTTGAGTAGGCGGCCTCCCTCTCCATACTGCAAGCTCCTTTGGGGCAGAGATCATGTCTGAGTTACGTGACGTGAACAGTAGGGCCGAGAACAGTAGCTGGCACCGGGACGGAGCTCGGTTACCATTTCACTGAGTACATGCCGATATGTGTTTGAAACACACACACCAGGCAGAGTAAGACCAGAGAAGCAGGAGGGACGCTCGGCGTCTCAGAACAGAGTAGGCCTGGGTTCAAGGATCCAAGCTGCCTAGGCCTGACCATCCCTGTCTGCCCACACTGGCCTTCGGAGAGGAAGAGAGAGCCTCCTCTCTCTCTCAGATCCCCAGGCCAGCTGGCAAAGCCTGGCGAGGCTTGGCCATCAGAAGTGGCCACTAGGTGGCGCTAGCATCCATCTCGTAAGCTGAGTGAGTGGTCCCCACAGCCTAGGCGCCTGAGATCGTCAGATCAGAGGCAGAAACACCTCAGTAGTACTGTGCCCTGCACTCCAGCCCCTGCACAATTTCTGAGCACCCCACAGAGGCCTGGTCAGCAGTCCCAAAGTTAGTCAAATCCCTGGAGCCCACCATCTGTTCACCAAAGAACAGAGGTTTGTCTAAAGATTGTACAGCGGGGTGAGTGCCACTGGAAACAAGTCCGCAATCCACCACTCCTAGGGAAGGTGTTCTTGTACTCGAGCCTGTGTGGGATAGCCATGGGGCTCAGGCTGTGTTGGCCATATGTTGAGCTGACATCTCTCACCTGCCTGGGGGCCCAGCATCAGGGAGTGAGGACTGGGCAGAAATGCCAGCCCCCAGAGAGTGGAGAACCCTACAGCCTGGGGAGATGGAAGGGTGGAAGCTCTGGGCTCAGGCACCCACATGGCATCCAACAGCCTCTGGGAAGGGGCATCAGGTGGGCACTCACCTGTCAGCCATCTGTGGGATGATGTAATGCCCATTCTTGTGATCTGAACAAAAATAAAAATGCCAAGTCACTGGTGCAAGCTGGCCTGGGCAACTGGGAGCCCATCTCACTGCCATGAGCAGGGCTTGGCACCCAGAAGTGTCAGGGGACAGGGAGGAGGGCAGGCCACCCCCAAGAGCCATGGGAGCTGACTGAAGTTGTGCCCACCCCCACTCCTATCCCAGTGTGCTGTAGCCAAGAGCCTGCATCAATTTCACAGGAGCCAGTTGCCTAGCAACACCGTTCCCCAGCCAGCTTTGTCACCATGGCACCTGCTGCTGGGGTGTGTCTGGGTCCCACCTGCCTGGCCCTCCCAGGCCTGCCCGGAGCTCTGCTCACCCGGCTTGCGTCCACAGAGATAGAAGGCCAACCGGTCAGTGAGCTCATACTGGCACTCGACTAGCCTTTCCGCCAGCTCATGGTGCCCCGCCTGCCTGTGGGGAGGGGGCATGCCTCAGCCCTGCAGCAGCAGCCTAGCACCCCCACCCGCCAAAGCCTCACCCACCATCTGACCCTCACCTGGCATAATCAATGGGTGTGCGGCCATTCACATCAGGGGAGCCTGGGTCAGCCCCATACACCACGAGCAGCTCAGCCTGCAGTGTCTGCCCCGCCTTGGCAGCCACGTGCAGAGGTGTGGTGCCCTTCTCTGGATGGAAGAAGTTGGCTTGGGCACCCAGGGACAGCAAGCGCAGACACGTCTCCAAGTTGCCTGTCCGAACACTTGAGTGCAGTTGCTGCAAGGAGCAGAGTGTGCCACTGATGTGTGTATGAGGCCCTGCCCCTCCTCAAGCTGCACCACGTCAGGCAGCTGCTGGGACTCCTACCAGCTCCAGGGGCCCAGCTGAAGTTGGGTTGTCAGGGAGGACAGAGGACTTCCCCCAAGGAGTTAATGCCAAACAACAGCTGCCATCAGTCACTGGCTACCTGGGCTGCGAACTCTGGTTGAGACAGATGTTGTCTATGAGGGAGATGCTGTTCGTTCTTTCCCATTTTACAGAGAAGACTGAGGCTCTGAGTGGCTAAGAAATGGCCCCAAGTCTTCACAGCATTTGAGTGGCAGATGGAGGATTTTAGCCCTGTTGTGTCCACTTGGGAGCTGAGGGGCCTTGACCACATGCTACCTGACCACACAATCTTGTCCCCCTGCTGTACCCCCTATTCTTGCCTGACCTGAACACCTTTGAGGCCTAGGGCTCAGTGGTGATGCAGGAGAGGCCCTAAAGGGTGTCACAGGTGACAAAAGAGGAGGCCCACCCATCCCCCATGGGGCCCCTCCAACCTTGCTGAGATCTTTGGCAGTCACCCCATCATCGTCCCGGCAAGGAAGCTTGTGCACAAACGCCAGCATCTGGTACTTGGCCCTGATGAATTCTGACTTGATGGGGCTGGGCAGGGCGCATAGGATGCGACGGTGAGCAGAGCGGGAGAGGCCAGTCACCGGTCCACCTCTTGGACCCGCATCTCAGACCATGCACCCCCTGCCACCACCCCTCTGCCCCAACTCACTGGACTTTGTCTTGGGGGTTGGCTTTGCGCCGGCCACTCTGCACTTGTGCGGGGTCCAGCAGGGAATGCTCCCAGATGGAGTTGGCCCCGTTGCTGGCGAGTGTGTGCACCATCTGCAGGGAAGAGGTGCCAAGTCAGGGTGCCCACTGTGCACCGGCTACTGGGGGAAACCCCTCCAAGTGCTGGCCACAGCCAGCGGAGCTAGAAACAGTACCAATGGGCCTCCCGTGTACCTGCCACCGGTGCACCTTCAACCAGGCGGGCCACCCGAGCATGTGGGTCCCACTTGGCACTTCAGGTGGCACAGCAAGTGTGCCAAGGCTCAGAGAAGTTAAGTGACTTGCTCAGTGCTACATGGCCAAGCTAGTACATGGCAGAGCTGGGGTGAGTGCCCAGATCTGTAAGACCCCAGTCTTAGAACCCTCCTGTCTACATGGCTAGCATAATGGGTGGAAAGGGTCAGAGTCAGGTTCTGCCCCAGGTGAGTGCTGCCCTTTGGAAGCTGCCAAAATCCCGAGCAGTGTGAGTGTAGGGGGAAACGTGTCCATGCTCAGCACATTCTGCAGAATGAAGACCCGCCCGGCCTAGCCCCGTACCTGCAGCAGTGTGGGAGGCCAGGCGCTGTGGCGAAGGTGCTTGACGATGGAAATGTGGCGGCCCAGGCTCCGGTGCACACTGCAGCACTCGTCACACACCAGCACTCCCCTGCTGATGGAGGCCCAGCCGGGGTCTGCCAGTGGGGGAACCAGGGTCAGCCAAGGCCAGATCACCGGCAATGTCTCCTGGGCACCTGCTCTGGGCTCACACCATGCTCACACGTTCCCTTACTCAGCTTCCCAAAGCCCCAGGAGCTGGGACCCTCAGGGCACACAGGTTACTGATGAGGAAGCTGAGCCATGGCGTAGGAGGGATTTCCCCAAAGGCTCACGGCAGGTGACTGGCAGCTGTGCCCCTGCCTACACATCTCTGCCTGTCTAGGGGTGAGTGGGGGGAGTGGTCCCCAGGGTCTACTCAGCGGACATGTCTTCTTGTCCTGCAGCCTTTCCCAGGGAACAAGACAATTGGCCTAGCCCTTCTCCCGGAGGCAGGAATCCCCTAAGGGATGCAACATTGCTGTTGCGTGTCAGACAACCCTAGGTACCCCTCCTGTGTCTGGGTCAGTGCCACATGCCTCCTGCACCCAGGCTTCTGCTGGACCCACTGGCCCACCAGCCTGACCCACTGTATGCTTCCATGGGTTCCTGCCTCTGTCCTCATCTTGGCAGGCAAGAGGCCTTCTCATGCTGAGCTTCCTGGCCTCATCACTGATGGGCTGAGCCGGAACCCCTCTTAACTGGGATGGAGAGGGCAAAGGAACTAAAACTGGATACCCACTCTGTACTAGCTGGGCCTGTATGCACGATGTCTCTCACAACTGTTAGGCAAGGCAGGAAGCGCTACCCTTGCTATACCAATGAGAAACAGTGGCTCAGAGAGATTAGAGTGCTGGCTCAAGGTCACAAAGCTAGTGAGTGGGGTTGCTGGGATGTGGACCCAGCACAAGATGCCAGAAACCGTGCCCTGTTCACACCCACTGCTCTCCTTCTGCTCCTGCCCCTAAGGAAGAAGCCCCAAGTGGGCAAGGGCCCTGGAGGGCACTCTCCACTCCTTGGAGAGAAGCAAACTTTGGAAACAAGAAGAGGGGGCCAGGATAGGGTCCTTCTCAGGGGCAGGGGAGATGTCACCCATCCCCGGCCCCTTGGGAGAGGGGGAGGAGACAGCTGCATACAGCTCAGGCTGTGGAAAGGTCACAGGGGAGAAAGCAGCCATTGTGTGCCTCCAAGAGTGGGGGCAGGGAACCTCTCTCCCAGGACACTGTGCTCTGCCCAGGCCCCCTGCCCCAGTCTCAGGAAGTCCAGAAGTGGGCCCCCCAGCGGAGGGACAGGCTTGAGATAATGAGAGTCTCTCCAACCAGAAGGTGATTCCCAGACCCTTCCCCTGAAGGACTTCCATAGAAGTTCCAGGAGAACTATAAGGAGATTGAGTCAGGGTGAAGCCTGAGTTCTGCCTACAGCAAGTATTCCCTCTATGGAGACAGGAAGAAACAAGAAGTGAAAGAGGGAGTTCAGCTCTTTAGGTCTCGGCTTCTTTGGGCAGCCCCTCAAAAAACAGGACAACCAGCTGCCTGTCATACACCTTCCTGGGAGTTGACTTCAGAGGCCCATGAGGAAGGGACCCACCACCTGTGCCAAGAGGGGGAGCCTAGGACACTCCTTAGTATTGGCTTTCCCCAAACAGTGAGGCACCCCAGTGAGCCACATGAAAGCTCCCTCCCCCCACTCCCAAGCACCACTGGGTGAGGGGTCTGCCCACCAGCCACCTCTGGCAACTCAAGCAGGAAGCTGGAAATGACGCAGCCTAAATTCCTCTTGTTGAAATGGTGGGGTTTCCTGTAAGCGGGGAGCCGCCCAGGCCAGGATCATAAATGGGCCACCCTGAGGCCTCCACCCCAGGCCCACTGCCCGACCAGAGAAGCCAGTCCTGAGAGGACTGCACAGATATCCCAAGCCAGACATGGTAAGAGATCAGGAGTTGGGGAATAAGGTCCAAGGCTTTGCTCGGTACTCTCCCAGCCTGGGGGAGGGGTCCTACCTCTCTTCCACAGTGGCCTGAAATAGGAAGGTTGAGCAGGGGACACTGTCCTGGCCTGGGGCACACCGGTGCCAGCTCAGTTCTTGATTACACAGATGAAAAGCCCACCCTAACTCTACTGCCTACTTCTTATATGCCCAAGGGGCCTTGGGCCTACCCAAGCCGGAGCCCTTAAGCCCCACTTAGGCCACTTCCTCAGGCCTGAAGGGCTTCTGTAATTCAAATGACTATTGCAGTTTAAGGTTAAGGGACCTTGCTCCCAAAAGGCTCCCTAGATCATACTTGGGGTAGAAAGGACAGGGACATAAGGTGTTGTTTTGTTTTTAATAGGCTCCATGCCCAAAGCCCCAAGGTGGGGCTTGAACTCACAACACCAAGAGTCACATGCTCTACTGATTGAGCTAGCCAGGTGCCTCCAGGGAACATAAGGTTCAGGAGATGTGGTGACCTCAGTACCCTGCTGAGATCCAGATGGGGGTCTGGTATGTGTGGGCAAGTGGTAGGAGGGATCCTGGGATAATGTTAACTCATCATCAAGGCCTCTACTAAGGTGAATTCGTGTTACTGCCCAAAGCCATTCCTGGTCTCTAGGGGCAGTAGGTTTGCTATAAAGGCCAGGGTCTCCTGAGCAGATCCTCACTAGGAAAGAGAGAATTCTCTGCCACTCTCTCTTTCTGTGGGTCTCTCATGAATGAATAAATAAATCTCTTAAAAAAAAAAAAAAAAAGGAAAAGAAAAGAGGGAGAAGCCCACCATCTTGAAAGCAGGCAAGAGTAATCCATGGAAATAAAGGTCAGAATGGCCAGAATGGCAGTTACCTTTGGGGGGTGTTGACTGGGAGGGGGCAGAGGAAAGGCCCAGAGAGCAATAGAAATGCTTTACCTTCAGATGGGAGTGGCTACTATGCAGGAGGTAAACAGGTAAAAAAAAAAAGCATCCATCCGGCTCAACAATAAGGTGCAGGAACTTTGCTATGTGTAAGTTAAACCTCAATAAAAGAGAAAGAAAGCCCCCCCCCCCCCGCCCCGCATTCACTCCTCCCCGAACCCACCATCTACATTATGAAGAGACAAATGAGCCTGCAGGTTTCCAAATGTCCCCTAGCCAGTAGCCATCCTTGCTCACCCAAGTGCCTGGCACCCTGAGGTTCCACTCCCATGACCTGGGCTGCCCAGGTGGAAAAGCTGAGATGGAGAACCATGGGATGAGGAGCAGGCCCCTGAGCTGGATCAGGACTGTGAGCAGAGCATGTGGAGGGGAAGGAAGGGGGGGAGACACATTCTCCAGGGTTCCTTGACTCCTGCCCTCTCTTGGACACCCACAGCAGACAGGTACACATACGGTGCCTGATGACATTGCGCAGATGCCATAGCTGCCATGCTATGTCCAGCCGTCTTACAAAATACACTTGTCACTTGTATGCCCATGCCTGGAAGCAGAGGGAGGACGAGGACCTTTGCAGTCAGCCTGTATCTCACCTTTCACCTCTATGGTCTCCTCAAATTTACCAACCACAAAAAGGCCACAGCCCCACTCCTAGGGCTGGAACCCCATTCACAGTGAGAGAAGCCTTTGACTGGGTAGGAGGCATGTCCCTATGGGGTCCCAACTGTTGATCACCCTCAAGCCTTGTTGTACCTGGGCTGCTATAGTTCCCACACTGAGAATGCCACTCCTTGCGTCCCACAGAGATTGGGTGCTATGGTGGGGAATGGGGGAGCCCCAAGTAGCCAGCTGGGGTCCTGATAAGCATCTAAACACTCAGGGAGGCTCAACATGTGCTAGACACCATGCCAGGTGCTGGGGTAGGGTGATGTGTAAGACTTTGTCAGCACCCTGCCTACCTCACCATCCTTACCCCCTGCCTATTCCTGACATGTATTCTGGGTCAGGGGAAAAGGAGGTACCTGGGGCACAAGCAATCCAAGACATCAGATACACATCACTCCTCCCTGAACCCATTAGGCTTCCATAGGTTTCAGACAGTCAAATGCAGTGGAGAAAGGAGAACTACCTTGCTGATTCTGTCCTATGTCCCTTTGGCTGAGAATGAGAACCACAGACATGAAGATGGGATGGTCTTCAAAAACCATTTCTACTCCCAATTTCTTTGCTTCACAATTGAGAAAACTGAGGAAGAGCCCTGCCATGGGTCACAGAGTAAGCTGACAGAGGCACCCTCCCCCCAGTCCTTCTGGACCTTCCACCCTCACCCCCATGCTATGCCCACCCTGCAGAGGTTTACACAACAGCCTGGGACACCCACAGAAGGCAAGCTCTCCTCTTGGCCCTTCCATCCTCAGACCTGCATGCAGCTAGAAGATCACCGTTTCCAGCTCATTAGGATAAGGATATGTAAGCCCAGATAGCTTCTTGAAGGCCCTCTAGATCATGACATGCCCTGAGAGAAGTCCCAGGGTCGCAACCACCCACGGAGTACCATGCCTCTGCCAGGTATCCACAGTCACCAAACACTTGAGCTTGGAGCCATCGGAACCACTGGAGTATCTGTGGTTCTCAACCTGTTGGGGTCTTAGGCCTGTCCTAAGGGTGGCTCAAAGTTATGGGTGCGTGGAACAGTACCTCACACTCTCATGTTTAATTATGCCCACAGTCCCCCTGGAATTCACAGACACCCTGAGCCTGCCCAGAGGTCTCCTAGGGAGTTAGTTTCTTTATTTTAAGGAGAGGATGGACAAAAGCCACGGCTTCCTTCCCCAGGCCAACTGCTGAGCCCCATCACTGGCATGGTCCTCCCACATCAGAAGGTAGCAGCCACTCAGGTCACCACTCCTCACTTCCTCAGCTGGTCAGGGGGGTTTCACATCAGCCTGGACCTGACTGTGCCGGGAAGAAGGGAAACCCCAGGGTAAATACAGCCAGGAGGTTGGCCAGGAAGCCAGCGATATCCTGGGTACTGCTCCTTATCCACTTCTGGCCAGACTGGGCTACACAGGGCTAGGAGGGGTCTGTGCCCAAGCTGGGACAATGCTAAGCCCACCTGACAGGGTTAAGCAGACCTTACTGGGGCATAAGAATAGCTGAGTCTAGTGGCTCCCAGGCACCAGGCAGCCTGGGGATGCCTGAGAGAAAGATGCCCAGGCTGTACTGGCCCTCAACACCAGGCCCTGCAAGTAGCCCCGGCCTTGGGAACCAGGGGCAGGCAGTCCTAGGAGTAGCTACCGCCTCTCCACCCCCCGCCCCCATCTGCTCCCAAAGAAACACTACCCCAGCCTCCCCTGGCCCATCTGCCCAGCTTTCTGCCCCTTGACCTCCGCCACCTCAGCGGGCGCCCAGACCATGCGAGCAGCAGGTGCAAGACGCGGGGGTGGCACCGAGATGACACAAAACCCCACTCGCCCCCACCTCCTAAACCTTGCGGGCCTCCGCCACAGCCCTCCTGCCACCCCAGGCTGGCGCTTCCGTCGGGATGTAGAGATGGGGGTGGGGGGCAGCCAGCCGCCTGCCTCCCTCAGACTCAGGGGTGGCGCCGGGAATGTCCTTCCCCGCTCGACCGCGGACGCGAGGGCACCGGGGCCCCCCAGCCGGCCATCCCGCCGAGGACGCGGCTCCGCAGCGGCCCGGGCGGGGGCCGAGGCCGCAGCCCGCAGCCCGCAGCCCCCAGCCCCGCGCCCCGCCCTCCGGCCCCGCACGGCGCTCTCGCCAGGCCCGGCGCCCGCCCGGCGGCCTCGCAGCGCGGTCCCGCCCCCGGCCCGGCCTTGCTTACCCGGGGCGCTGCAGTCCGCACACACCTCCGCCCGCGGCCCCTTCCGGGACATCCTCAGCGGCGACGCGGCCGCAGCCCTCTGGGCCAGCGTGGGGGGCGCGGGCGGCGGGCCCGGGCGGCGGCTGCCTCTGCTGCCCGGCCCGGCTCCGGCAAGGCCCCGGCTAGGCTCCGCGCGCCCGGCCAACCGTCCGCCCCCGGGGCTGGCCCGGAACCTGCCGTGCCCGCCTGCCCGCTCGCCCTCCGGCGCCCTCCGCCCCGCGCCGCCCCGCGCCGCCCTGCCGCCGCTCGCTCTCTCCGCCCCCTGCGCGGCTCCCGGCCGCTCCTGCAGGAAGCGGCGCAGGCCCTGCCCACCGGGGGAGGGGCAGCCCGCAACCCGCCCCGCCGCCCGGCCCTGCGGGCCGCGCCTCCCGGAGAAAGGAAGCCGGGAGCGCGGGCGGGAGGGGGCGGGGGTGCTTAAAGGGGCCGCGGCCGCCGCTCTGCAGGCCCTAGAGGGCAGCGTCGCCTGCGCGCGGGGCCTCGCCTCCCTCGCTCTCCGGCCCCGCGGCTGTGTGAGTTCCCCTCACAGCCCTCTCCTCTTCGCTTTCCAGGTGGAGGGTAGCCCGAAGGGCTCAGGCCCCGGGACGGTGACCCTTGGGGGACCTGGGAAGAGAGAAAGGAGCTAGAGGCCCGGGCCCCCTTCCTCGTCAGAGCGCTGTGGTTTGGGGTGCCCGCCTCTGTGTGGCTGAGGTGAGGTGTGCGACCTGGTCCCCCATATATCCACATCTGTGTGTCCAGGTGTGTGTGGTCACACCCTTGCTGCTTGCGCACAAAGCCAACAATATGGACGCCCAGGTGTACCCCTGCCTCCCAGCTAAAAATACACCTATACCTCATCCATGCTGCTGTCCCGAGAGGAAAGAATCTGGGCAGTTTTTAAAGACCTCCCGAGGGGTGACCTCTGTGCCCGTGGGCAGTAATATCCACTCTGCATTCGTCTTGTATACCTCCACGGTGTTTCTGGGCCACTGCAGGTTTGTGTGTCCAGGGCGTGTGCATATAACATACAGGGACCTTTTCTTATGGTGGCCTTACTTCCTAGACTTCACACGGAGACGGCAATAGGCGGGGGGACAGGAAGCGGAGGCGCAGGCGGCACGTGGGTGCACCCCTGCACTGAGCATGCTCCCCCATACACGTGTGCCCCGCGTGCACCCAGCCCCCATCCCTGCAGCAGCAAAATGCCAGAGCGCTTTGCTTCTGGGGCCAGGCCCCGGGTGGCCGGGACCAGGCCTGGGGGCCAGGTCAGTGGTGACCAGAATTAAGGGAAGATTCCCAAGGGGCAGGGAGCCCTTCTCAGTAACAAGGGGGAGAAGGGGAGTCCTTGGGCAGGGGTTTGGGAGTTGGTCGATTTTATCCCAGCGGTGCCAGAACAGCAGTGGCTTGTGGGTGGGCAGGCTGCTTCCCTGGGGGAGACAAGTAATGCTCATGAGTCACACCACCCGAAATACAAGCAAAGCTGCCTCTATCGCCTTTTGCTGCAGCCCAGATTGACAAGTTTGTTTGAAATCGCGATCCACGGGGTATATTTATAATCGCACCTTTAAGAAAAATCTTTTTGCAGGCCTCTCCTCCCCCCACAGCCAGCCGCTCAGCTGGTGGGGCTTCTGCAAGCGAAGATACCTCGCGGTGGGGGAGCACCACCTGCCGCACGGTGCCGCACCCTCACCGAGAAGCCAGTCTGTGGGCTTGGTAGCCCCAGGCTGGACGACGGAATGGAGCGGCCTGGCCGCTCTTCCCGGCGCCCCCCACCCCCACCCCCAGGAGCGGTGGCCGCCCATTCACCCCCGATCGACCCCCAGCTATGGAATTTCATTTATTAAATGTCGAGGCGGCTACTGGCAGCTCCATCGCTTGGCTGTCTTTGTTTCTCTGCTGTGTGGGCGCGTCTTGAGCACGTGGCAGCTGGAGGGCGCAGACCCGAGGAAAGGCGACCTGGGTTTGGTCTAGGGCCGCCTGGCAAAGAGACCCGGCTGCTAAGGGCATAGGTCCCCCAATCCTGGCCGAGCTCCCCCTCTCCCAGAACTCCAACACTTTTCAGGGGAAGAATGATTCACCCCGTCGCCCCCTCCCGCCCGCCAGCTCTACCTCCGGGCTGGCCCGGGGACTACCTGGGAGTGGCCTAGGCAAGGAGCCACACTCTAAACTTTGTTCCGGAAGACCCCAGCCCCGCCACTGCGGAGCTTCTGGGCCCAGGACTAGGGATAAAAGGGTTCCAGGATCTCCCTCTGGAGACGTCGCCACCTCAGGAAGCAGGACAGTAGAAAAAGAAATATGAGACAAGGTTCTAAAAACAATTTAATGAGGAAACAAACGTACAGGCATTCTTCTGGCCACTCCTAGCCGTCCCTCCCCCGTCCCAGCCCCTTCCCCAACTCCGGCTGCAGCCACAACACTCTGCTGACCCCTCGTGGTGGAGGTGGGCAGCGGTTCCCGGTTGCCCGAGACGCCGCCAGCTGGCTCCTCCCAGGCTGGAGAAAGGGGCGAGGCAGTCCATTCCTCCTTTATCCTTTCCCGCCTGGGCCTGGCACCGCAGGGTGTGGAGGAGGAAGGAGAGAAGACCACACAAAGAAACCTGAGAGAGGCGCGGAGAGTTTGCAAGCTTTTGCTAGCACCTCCCACACAAACATTTCTTGGATTGTTCTAAGTAGGGCTGGTATGGAATCCCTAATTCCTGTCCTGTTCTAAGGTGGACTCAGGAAGGCGCAGTGCCCGGTCCTGCCACCTGTCTCGGTCCACCCGGTTGAGGGCGGGATGCGCTGTTTCTCAGGGCAGTTACTATCCTTAGCTCACCCCAGTAGGTAGTATTTGGAGTCTGATTTCGAGGTGAGTGGTCTGAGAAGACAGAAAATTTAAGCAATTTGCCTACGGCTAGGCGGTAAGGAGGAATTCGAACTCTGGTTTAGGATCCCAATCCCTCCTCCCTCCAGGGACTGGGCCACGCCTCTAGGTGCTTCCAGTCCCCGCAATAGGCAGCCCCAGAGGTCAATTACACTTTTACTACAGCGTCTTCAGGGAGGCTTCTGGAAGGATCTCTCTGCCCTGGGGTTATCAGGAAGGAGGTCTTCTCTGCAATCAGTCACTTCCTCTCCCGAGGGGACCACAACCGGGTGGAGGTGGTTAAGCTGCCACCTGCTGCTTTCTCCGCCCAGCCCCACTCTGGTCCTTGCAGGACAGAGGACAGCACATAGCGGGAGGGGACTGTCCTTCCAGCATTCGTTGTCATTCCCTTTGTAATGTCAAGTGTGGAAGATGGAATTTAATTTTTTTTTTGGGGGGGGGATTTAATTTTCTAATAGGGCAGGGAAGACTCCTACATAATACTTCACCGTGCCAGATAGATAGATCCCTAGTTGCTCTGGCGACCTTAATATCCCGCACCTTTCTCAGGAGCCCCCTCCATCAGTCACTCTCCTTGGAATCTGGATCCCTCCTCACGTTCCACCGGGACCCAAACTCAATCCTCAAGGCCGCACCTTCCTGAGCCCTCTAATGCCAGAGCAAGGCCTGTGGCCCCTTCCCTCCTCAGCGAAATGCAAAACGCCTGTGGGTGGGGGTGCACCCCAGTCCAGCCCGCGGCGTCAGGACACTGTCTCCGTTCCGGCCAGGCCTGACTCCCTTCCCCACCCTCTCACGGGATCGGGGGCCGGGGCGGGGGCGGGGGCGGGGACAGTGTGGGACCCTCTCCGGCCACCCGCCGCCCGCAGTTTCACGAGGCGGACTACATGCCCCATGATGCCACGGGGCCGGGCTACCACAAGCTCTGCCCCGGGCACCCGGGTCCCCCTCCCCTCTCCCCCACATCCCCGCATCTCTCGCCGGCCGCTCGGGCTGAGGGCCGGGCAATGCAGCTGCAGGGAGCCGGGGGCTGCGGGCGCGCGTCCCTGCGGCGGCGTCCCCGGGGTTCGCGCCCCGTGCGCCCCCACGCCCGCTGCGGGCGCCTGCTCCCTCCGCCGAGCGGCGTCTTTGTGTGCGGGGGTGTGGGAGGTGAGGCGCGAGTCCGCGCCGCGCCGCCGAGCGCCCGCTCCCTCCCCGGGCGGGTGGGGGCCTCTCCGCGCCGCCCGCCACCGCCTCGCGAGGACGCCCGCGGCCCGCGCCGCCGCCGCCCCCGCCCGCCGGCGCCGCTCGCACATGCCCGAGCCGCAGCCCTGCGAGCAGGCAGCGCCGGCCCCCCGCCCCGCGGCCCCGGGCCCCGGTTCCGGCGCCGTCCCCCCTCCCCGGCCGGGCGCCGCGGCCCCGGCATGAGGAGCGGGCGATGATCCCAGCCAACGCCTCCGCCAGGAAGGGGCCCGAGGGCAAGTACCCGCTGCACTACCTCGTGTGGCACAACCGCCACCGCGAGCTGGAGAAAGAGGTCCGCGCGGGCCAGGTAGGAGCGCCGTCGGGGCGCCGCGGGGACCCCACGGCCGGGCACGCCCGCCGGGGTGGGGAGGGGGCGCGGCGCGGGCTGTCCCGCCTCCCTGGCGAGTTTGCAGAGCTTCTTTGTTCCCAGCCGCGGCTTTTGTGCTTGTTGACCGGGTGAGGGTGATGGGAGCGGCCCCCGCCCGCTCCGCTCGGGCTGGGACCGGGGAGGGGGGGCGCACGTGCTTGGGACCCTCCCGGGTTGGGGTCGGGGACGCGGTGCCCCTCCTCGGCCGAGGCGGAGGGCTGCGGGGAGGGGCTGCCGGCTCGGGGCTGTGCTCCATGTGGTGGGAGAGTCCACGGAGCAGCCGAGCGGCGACACCTCCCGCGCGAGTGTGCGGAGGTGGGCAAGGCCTGCCTCGGGAGGGGGTCACAGGTCAGGGATCAGAGACTAGGCGGTGACACTCCCGGGCATCCCGGCCCCACCCAGTGCCCTCTACCCTCGGGCTGAGCGCTACATCTGTTTGTTCCGATTGGGTCCCTCAGACCCCAGCGCCCTCTGCCTCGGGGAGCGGAGAAAGAGACCCTCCCCGCCCCCCATTGGGACCGCCCAGAGGGCCTTGTCCAGGTGCTGAAAGGAGCTCTCCTGCCCTCTGGTGCTGGGGCCTGGCTCCTGGGCGCTGAGGAAGCCAGGGGCCACTGGCTGCAGGAAGGATTTGAGGTTCTTTACACAGAACTCCCTGGTTCCTGCCAGTCAGTGAGGACGGGCGGGTCAGCCGACTTTGGCTGGGTGGTGGCCTCCCAGAAGACAGACTGAGGGATGGGGTCTTTCGGTCATTCTTCAGGACCAAAGCAGGCCCAGTTCACAGGTAGCTCTCAAATCTGCCTTTGGACCCCAGGCCACAGACGGGCATTTGGGGTATGGACAACTCACCGTCCAGGGTGGGGAAGCTGGAGCCAGAGCTGGGCCCAGCCTGCCCTTGCCCTGGTTTGCCTCAAGTTGAGGCCTGCAGACTTGGCCCAGATCCCAAGACCCTGGGGGTATGGGAGTGGTTCGTTCAGGAGTTGTCCCCTTGGGGAATATGCCTTTTGAGGGCCACTTCCTGAGTCACAGGAAGTTCAGTTTGAGGAGCTGTCTGCTTCCCAAAGGACAAGTGAGCTAGAGAGCAAGGTGAGGGTCAGAGAGTCTCTGAAGTCCATTACTGAACCCTCAGAGCAACAAAGCATCTGCCTCTGCAGAGTAGCCCTAGGAACTGTTGGGGTGACTTGAACCTCCAAGCCTCTGAGCTGGCTGGTATATCTACATACATTCTACCTCTGCTTAGACAAGGGCACTCCAAGTTGCTTCTCGGACCGTGCCTCTGTCTGTCTATCATAAAGGAAGTGCTTTGCAGCCATACAGCCCTGATAAAGGAAGTGAGGCCTGAGTGATAGGTACTCCTGGGGAACGAAGATGAACAAACCAGGCACATCCCCTGCTCTCAAAGAGCCCCTGTTCTGGTGATGTGAGTGTGAACAGGGAGTAGTGTGATGTGCTGGGTGCTAAGACAATCCAGTCTCTTCTGACTCTTTACTGTTTCTCTTCCTTGAGGGCCAGAGAAGACAAGCTTTCAACACAGGTTACAGCTGGAGGGATTTAAATCTGATCTGAGAGGAACTTCCTGATGGAGTGATTGATGATTGGTCCAAGGATTGTTAGGCAGAAGGCGAGTGGCTGAATCTCCAGAACGTCTCCGTTGCACTCCCTTGTCTGAGGGGTGGGTGGTTCTCTCCTTGCTGAGATCAGAGAGGCAAAATGCCCTAGGAGAAAAGACTCTCACCTAGGCCTCTCTGAGTGACAATACTCAAGTCAGCCATCTTGCTGGAGCGAGACTGGGGGCGAGGGGGGGGGAGACGGGAGGGGGAAGCACTGGACCCCGCTGCATGTGTGTTTCTCTTTATGTCCGGTTGCCACGGAAACTCAGGAAACTCGGGCCTCACCCTTGTCCTCACCCACTCACCTGCACTTCCCTGCTGGGCTAGTGTTTCCTTGAAAGGGATGCTGCCTGCCTGATCCAGGATAGCAGTATAGCGGGGAATGTCAGGGACTGGTTGATGTTAACCCTTGTTCAACCACAAAGGAGTGAGGCCCAGTCCTCTCTTTCACTCCAAGGGTGCTGAGAAAAGGAATGCCAGTCTGTCTGCATGAGAGAGGCCCCTGGATGTATCTCTACTCTAGGACTGACCCAGAGTGGCCCTTGAATCCAAATGTGTACTACTCAGGGTCCCAGGGAGAGCCGAGGGCCCCCCCAACCCAGCCCTTTCCTGCAGGGGATGGGCCAGGGGGCAGCCACCTAACATCATAATGAAGCCCCTTATGCCCTAGGCATCCCAGCAGGAGTTTCCTGATCTCTGGTCTTCTTAGCACCAACTGTCACAGAAAATATGCAGGCTTTCCTTAAGCACACAGCAGCTGGGTTTCCCTGGTCTTCATTGGCATAGC